ACCATCTTCATTTATTGATTATGTGAGGGGCAGTGCGAATCTTTTTATCACACTCCGGAGAAGCTCAGTGTCTTCTTCGAAGAACGTCTGTTACTACTAATTATCCACTAATGACTGTGTTTTACCTCAACGTGGCGCAGTGAGATAACTCTAAGAGAGGAACGGAATGGGATTAATTCTCTATCTATCGTATACTAAGGCTGTTTCTGAACTTCAACTCGGCCAGGAATGAACAAAGGATTAGTTCTGTAGACGTTTGCTTCTTCGTCTCGCTACCTCTTCAGAGTTTCCGGTGTCGAACTCCTAATAATATGTATTACCGAGGTTTAACAGTTGTTTAGAGAGAAGCGAATTCATGAACTAACCCGGCTTTCGAGTTGAGAGAAGAGGCGGATACTAAATTTACCCGAACCGATGAGTACAAGGAGAACTGGACGGGAGGAATAGATGACGTTGTGCGAGGCAAGCTTTGATTGAAAAAGGGAATCTAAGAAGATTTAATGGATTGCCGCTCAGTATACACCAGGCTTCGAGTTAATAGTTGAGAGGCATATTTCGAGACGAAAACGGCAGAACACAGCAGTACGAGATCGAACAACGGCATGGGAACTTTCAGGAGACAAAAGGAATAGCTTGTTGGGGGGGACCATGAGCTGAGCATCTGATACGACTAGTAACGTATCGCATCGCACCGCATTTTTGTTGGCCGTGCACGTACACTCCTTTATGCACCCTCCCAAAGTGAGAACAAAGAAGACTGCGCAAGCTACGTATGATGGAAGATGTTTGTTTATATACAGGGTTGTAAATTCGAATGTCTTTATACACCTTCCTAATGTGAAATCAGAGAAGCTGTGTAAGATGGAGGGCTTTTTTTCGTTACATCCAGGGTTCTGTACGGCATCAGATTCAGGTGTAGGCGCTGTATCACTAAAAGGCCATAGACAGGAAATGTCGTAGTCAGGAAACGCTCGCGTGCCACACATCCGTCAGTGGGTGATTGGTGTCGGCGGCGTTGAGAGGACAGTACACCTATTTGCAAGCTACCAGGGAATCCAGTCAAATCAGCGAGTACTAAGAACCTCATCGGCATCACACAGGTTAGAGACGTCCGTTACCCGGGTGCTGATGAAGCTGGAGTCAGTGCGTAATGGATACCCGTCGTTGTCAGGGCGCAAGGATGCACTGAGAGGCGTACGTAAGCCACAGATCCGCAATGGGGGAGGTCTCTCAAAGTTTTAACCACTTGGATCAAGCTGTGGAATAGAGTAGACAAAGGCAAGCTCAAGATTGAAAACAGCGGCAGTTACACGCCTAATTAGCACATCCGTACCAATGGCGACCTCCACCAGTGTCTCCTTGAGCGACGTACCCACTACGATCTTGGAGCCCTCCCATTGACTCTATGTACCGGACTCGGAGGTGACGGCGGAAGCAAAGAAAGGGGGAGATCATGAACTGGCTCAACCGTTCCCAGTTTAGGTAATCCCGGTCCGAATGGTACTTCGGGCCGAACATCCTTTCGCTGCGGGACTTGCAATCGAACATTGCATTCTCCCATTTCGGGGCGCCTTTCACGGGAGTGCTTATCGATAATCACCCGACTGTAGCTGCAACAACCCGGAACTTGAAGGTTTTCTGTTTCGTACCTGAGCCATGTCCACCAACATTAAACTTGTGCCTGCGGCCTGTTCCTCTCTGGAAGACCTTCCTTCGATGACTAGTATCTTTGTTGCCTTCTCGCCGGGTAATTCTTGAGCGGCTGTTTCGTGGAGGGAAGATTCCCGGGTACTTTGTTTCATTGCTTACGTCGGAAAATCATCTGTTTCAGACCTTCGCCATCCTCATCTGCCATATTTTCTGCATTAGACTTCCGCTTGTTCCCATTTGCAAAGACGAGATCGACCTGTCTCTGTTGTCTTCGCCGCTGATCGAATAATTCTTGAGCTCCGTGGAACGAGCATTCCCGGGTGCTTTGTTTGTGATGGCCAACCGGGCCGTCATGAAAGGCGTCTAGCCGATAAATGGAATACAGGTGAGCTCCGTGAGGAATGCATCATGGAGCTCGTTCCACGATTCTTCGTTGACTTGGATGACTCACTCCCGAGTTTCTACATCACTCCACCACTCCCCTAGTAAGGATGCTCTCCAAGTGCCACAGTCAATTCTTCCTTCTCGGATCAATGACGTCGACGGATTGTGTCGATACGCCACCTCATTGTGATTCAGTGTGTTTGCTTTTCAAAATCGGGGGCGATGACGTCTCTTGCTTGGTTGTCGCTGGTCTCCATTATTGGTTAGGGCGATGACGGGTCGTGCTTTCCGGATTATGGCCTTCTCTTGTCGTTCTTTTCTTGCCACGTTCCTCTTGGCCGTGGCCGTGAACCCTTCATTCTTGCTATATACTACTGCAAGCCATCATTTATTCATACACAAGCAATTATCCTGGTATTAGATGTTAATCACAGGAGATGCACGTCTCGTATTCCAATGTTTCCCTTCGACGACGGGGATGAACATAACTCGGCTCTTATTTCACCTCTCATCATTGTTCTGTTATTTAACTAGCTTTTCACGGATTGTGGCGCGGTCTTCTGCTGCTCATTCTTCTCGCGTTTCTTCTCAATGGGGGATGCCGCGCCTCAGATTAAAGACCGATCTCTGCATGTCAAGGTTTTCTATAGGCACGTCCCGACCATTGTCTTATACATCCCCTTCATCGACGACGTATGAATACTACCTTTTGAAAACGGGATGTTTTCATGTTCTGCGCAGAGTTTCGATAAATAATTCGCATCTCGGTTGTTAGACTATTTGAGGGTTGACGACGTCTCTTTCTTTTAATGCTCTCTGTCTTGTTCTGCCGTTCGCACCATGACGCTGGTTTTCCGCTGAATAAAGTGTTTGTGAATTTCTTGATTGGCCATTCACGAGAGACTGTAACTGTCCTTAAAAAGTAGCTATTTTCCCTCATCCGTGCGTCTTCCTTCGATCGTGGCGGCCACTAACGTATACGTGCTGTTATCCTTTGGGATTGGTCACAGTGTGATTATTCATCACTATTTCCGTTAGTCCTCGCTGCCAGATCCTAAAGTATAGCTTGTCGTGTTATGGATCACCAAGAATAAGAGCTATATGTTACTTTCGACCCAGCATGTTTCATTACTTCGAATCCCCGATCCCGGAAAGTTCGTCATAGTCATTATCACTACATCAGAACGCTGGGTTTGCGATTCGTCCTTGGCTAGCCAAGACAAGAGAATACGAGAAACGAAGTCCTGACTGTCTAATCCGAAGAGAGAATTTCCTTGACCACTTGTTCCTACACATGTCCATCGAGGCTTATCTTCTATCTTTTCGTGTGGCTCGGACGTTATGTTCATCTTATCACGTGTAAACTATACAGTGAATTAATTGACTGCTTTGAGCCTGCGAAAGCGGGGAAATATCAGCTCACCAGGCTGGTCACACGACTTTGCGACGATGAAGACCCGTCCGACACTTTACTCATATGAAATCGTGGAAAGTTTAGGTAAAAGTCAAATGGAAAATGGAAAGGGTTGATCTGGATTGTAAGGAGTCTAAGAGGAGGATTATACCCAGGGGATAGTGAACTGCTGTGCAGGCATATCCCTGGGAGCGAATGTTCGAATCCTGAAGCTAAACTGAACATCAGAGAAAAGGTTCAATTATGGAGGCAGTACGAGTATAATAGACCCGCTCACTCCTATTCCGGTAAAATTATCAAAGGCGCAAAGTTGGTCTGGAAAACATCGAGGCCAGAGAGGAGACTCTTGACCTGAAACGAGTTTGGTTCGATTTATATCCGGATCGGGAATCGGTATCTGGACGCATCCGATGCTTCCTGGAGGGATCAATGTAACTTACTAACTAACACTTACAACGATATACGCCCCGGAAGGTGAGTACTAGAAGGGGAGTGCACTTGGTGAGTATCCTATCGAATTCTATGCAAAGAAACGAAACTAGTGCTACTACGACCAATTGCCGAGGTTCAGACAGCCTCTCCGGCCAGACGTCGGCCTCTATCCTCGTCCGTCTTCATTTCCGAATCATGCGGAGCGCGAATCTTTTCTCTTTTCTCAGGCTGTTGCGGTTCTGGAGGAACAATGTCGCATCCTGTCTACTAACTTCTAAGGCGCGACAGATATTGTTGGCCTGCTCCTCTCTAATGTCAACGGGCTTACGCTATATTGGTATCGGCATCTTCGCCTGTTGCGAACTGTTTGCTTGTTCATCCTCCCCTTTTGGCGTGTTTTCGATATACGGCCTGGGCTAGTCTTCTCCTGCACCCTTGCGTCCTAGTCCCCTTCGCAGCCTAACTCTCATACCTAATAATCCTCTAGGAATATACATACTGAGATGCTCCTTCAGCGGGTGCACATTCCATCCCGACGGAAATTCAACTTACCGTTGTTGTATATGCTACGCAGTCAAACATCGATCAAACACGAACGAAATTGTTTTTTTCCCTTTGATTTCCAATGTAAGAGCCGGCGAGAAGATCGCCGTCTTTCTATTTCATCTTCCTAATTTCGAAATCTGACGCAAAGCTCGTAGTATGTTTAGATGTGGTGAAGTTGACGATTCGCACGTCTCCTTCGCTACCGTTTTCCAAGTGGCGAAGTGAGGGGTTCGTGCCTTGTTTGACTTTGACAGAATGAAATGAAGACCTACGTGCGAAGCTTTCTTGGCACAGAATAAAGCCGTGATGCTATACTTGACGCACACCGTACCCACCGTTGCAGTACGCTATTAATCCGTAAAGCTCTGATCCTATATCTGTTTGAAAATCAGATGGGTTATCAAATAGCGAGTGATGAGCCACCTCCAATTTGCAAGGTAGAAGTAACCATTTCGGTGATGGTCGGGACTGCACACTCTCGGCCTACTTCGGTGGTTGTAAATATAACGGGCTACTTGGCAAGGGGCTACTCGGCATATGGGGATGGTGAATGAGTTCCATCAAAGATAAGTGTATGTACAAGAGACTCTTGTTTGTCGTACCGCTCATACATTTTCAGAGTGTAAAGGCAGAGCTTTCTGTCAACGATTGGGATGATGGACACAGGCAGAAATCACAACAACGTAGCGGGCAAGAAGAATTCGACGTGGTCGCCTGCGTGGTTGCGTGGTTGCGTGGTGCGTGGCTGCGTGGTTGACAAATTACGGGACTTCGATCAAAAGTTGATCAAGTCCATCAAACGCGACTTGAGTCGACGCGTTCCGTTCTTTTCTGTTAGTACTTGCATAGAATCAGCTGGATTGTGAATTCCTGAATGTTTAAATATGACAGCTTTAGTGTGATATTGAAATGCTTCAAAATATGGTCAATATCATGAAAATATCATTCAGACTGGATTGCTAAGTTTAAGAACATCAAAAGTATTGTAGCTGAAGTAAATAATTTTACAAGTATCCTAACAGTATAAAAAGGCCTTAGAGGTGATCTGCCAAGCTAGAAGCAATAAGGTACACAATGTGGGGTTCCCAGTTGATCGGACATGATGAGAAGAATACGGAGTTCTACACTTGATATGAACAACACCAAAGAAACAAGCGAATTAAGAGGCAATTATACAAATGATACACTTTCTGAGGGCAAACTTATATGGATTAGCGTGGTGCCTGCGAGGTGCCTGCGTGGTCTGCGTGGTTGCGTGGTTTGTCAGCGTGGCGGTGCGTGGTCAGCCTGCGTGGTGTGCCTGCGTGGCTGCGTGGCTGCGTGGTATGCCAGCGTGGTTACTTGCGTGGTCAAGGTATATTAGTACATAAGGAACGAATATTCTAGGGAGAATTAAATGACCAATTTGGTCAGTATTGGAGCATTCAAGGAGTAATTGACATGATGTCAACGTTGAATTGATGTTCATAGTGTCATAACATCTTTGGATTAAAGACTTGATGCAGGCAAAATGAGAGAGTAGCTAAGTTTTGATATTTATCCTTCTCATAATCATAGATACATGCATTGAAGATGCAATGGCACCTACAAATCCGAGATTTGAAGGTTTAAAACCTTTAATGGGCAACAATTGAGCATTGAAACATTTTCGAACAAAGGTCTGTTTCTTGCAGACAATTTACCAATGAATAAGAAATACATACAAGTATATGTTTAATGAAGCATTCTTATCATTTCGCAGTATATATGTACAGTCAAGGCAAGTTCAACTCAAGTTCAACTACGGACTTTGCGTGGCCCGCGTGGCCACGCACTACGCACGCGTGGTACCACGCAGGTGACCACGCTGAATTTCTAGTGCCCCAACGTAGCACTACAAGGAAGCTTAAGAGTGAAGCGAGCACGAACGAGGTGAGGAAATCAGGGAAGACATACAAGTATAGATTTCGCACCCAACTGACAATGATCATTACTACCAGAAGAAGTAAAGACGCCCCAGAAATAGAAAGATCCACGGTACTTGGAGAAGCACCACTCCCGTAATGAGACACTACGAAAGACGTAGGGATGGGATGGAGCTACGGTCCAATAAACAATTATGAAGGGATAGTAAAGCGTCGAATAGATGAATCTGATGGAGGGAAGAGGGAAACCTCCGAGAAACTTTATCTGGCGTGAGAGCGAGTCTTTTAGCGGGTCAGGGTAAAAGGGCAATCATATTCGTCTGATGCTGATGGCTTAGAGTGTGGGAACAGAGAGCGCTTTCTCGGGCAATGCCAAGACTAGGGCTCGGGGATGGTGAGATGGTTGTTTAGTATCGATGCAGGTCCTGCATAATCGTAGACGAGATCATCCAAATGGTACGAGTTTCCGCAGCGCGAAGGGAAGAACGTCTATGACTGACCATCATCCCAAAGATGGCCGTTTGACAGTCAACGATTGATAATGATGGGAAGAGAGTTGTTCAGTGATGCAGAGAAAACCCGGAGAAATGATAGGAACAAGACAAGGAAAGAATCAAGGACGCGGGGAAACGTGACGGGAACATGACCAAGGTACAGAAACTTGAAGAGAACGGCAGCCCAAGGATAGCCAGGCAGGTCGAGAGAAAATATAGCACATCCTCGTCTGATGTACTGTTAGTGATAACAAGCTGTGCAACTTCCTTCGATTTCCGACAAGCAACCACACGACAGGTGCTTTGGTGGCCGACTTGGACTAATACACACTAAGCGGATACCCGCAGAGACAAGCGAGTTTCTAAATCCGCATTTCTCGATAGATGCTGCTGGGAGCAAGAGAACAACATCGGGGTGGAATCAAAACTGCGCTTGATGGAGCTTGATTGTTTTACGACAACGATTATATGTATGTCCAGTCTTCGGTCAGGGCGACTATGGCGTACGGCACCGAGGGTAAGGGGCCGTAGAGAAAATTGAACAGCTGCCCGAGTCGCGTTTTAGGATGATAGTGTCAAACAAGCATTGAGTAATGCTGCACACCTCGTTCGCCTCTTAACCCGCTCACATGGATCCCGCCTATTGGCACCAGTTAGATGGAGGTACCGGTAACCGGTAACAAATTCAGGAGAAAGAATCGTGAACCAGCTCGTCCCGTTTGGAATTACCGGTCCGAGTGGAGGCTTTTGGCAAATAAATACTACTCGGGCTTGACTCGGGCCGACAGCCAAGTTTTTCCTTGGGTTTCCCCGATCCTCCACTCCTCTCCCCATACAGGTGTACGCCGTCGTAATTCGTGGACTCAATGTTTTCATTTTAACTCCTTGTTCTCTGATGTTATGTGCTATGTTCCTTGTTTAATCCTCAACTTTTGCTTGCTACCGCTTACCGTTGGCTCATCGCACAGTTTTCTCCCGGAGAATGAATGAGAACAACTGCTAAGTATGTGATACACAATTTTGTTTTAATGGCTTCAGGCTGTTCTTCCTGGCTTCTGGTTCATGGCTATGCTTGCTTGCTGCTTTTATATTGCTCCTATGGCAGAATCTACCGAAGAAACTACCCAATCTTCTCCAGTGCTACTAGGCTCAGCTGAGTTACTCGCAAATATCTTCCACCACGAAAATTGTCGATTGCTTACCATTCCAGACAATCGCTTATCCCAAGTACAACCACCTACAATGATTACCCGCTGATCCTGACTATTATAATGAATTGTAAGTCCTTGTATCCATCCCGCCAGGCATATAAGGCACTTACTCTGCTTTGAAATATATGCATACTGAGATCTGCTAATATAAGCTGGTGCGACATGTATGTTGGCATGCACTGACTTGTCATTGACATAGACGGCCAGATTGTCACAGTCATGTGATCTGACATGTCAACTTCCTGGAATCCTTTCAAAGACTCTCGGGGCTTCCTCCTGGCCAATATCGCTTACTTTAATATTTTCGTATACAGTTTATGTATATAGCTTCCTTTGAATATACATACCTTGGGGATTATCTGGGATATAAGGGCTTATATTATCCAAATGAGATTCAAAGTCAAGAGTAACCTAACATCTCTACATCATCCATGTTCTCGAACCCTTCAGAGTCAACAGGATTATCATCTTCGTCGCACCAGCATTCCTCCCTACCCTCATCTGAATCACTATCATTCTCTTCATCCCACTCGACATCATCCCACTCCTCTTCATCATCGGATCCAGCCTTCTCAGACTCCCCATTAATAGAGCCCTGATCACTCCCTAGAGCCATACTCGAACCAGAGGATATATCCGACTCCTTTGTATCTTCATCTGATATCCTCGCATCTTCCATATCTTCATAATGATCTGAAATGTTGAACGCTTCACAAATCTCTTTCCGAAGCACCTGGGTTTCATGCCAAGTGTTCTTGTGCCCCACACCAAGACCACAAAAGCGCATGAGCATGTCTCTGTCTACAAACCTAGTGGAATGATGGTCAAAACATGAAAAGATAGGAAGACTGAAAGCGTACATGTTTACATAGAAGCGCTCCCAGTCTTTGTCTTGTTCATCGGGGCGTCGAGCAATAGACGGTGGAAGAAAATCTGAGGTATGGCCCCTTGCAAACACTGGCTTCAAGTGAACGGCTCGAATCACATCATCTGGATTAAGAAATCCAAATGCATCTGGATCGTCGCTATCCATGAACCCAATACAATGAGGCCGTTTGGCCTTGAAGCCACCAACAGACATTCGATCCGAATCAAGACCATACCACCGAACCCAGAGAAAGTCCACGTGGAATGGTGCTGGTACAATATCATCGGAGTCAAGGTCATTGTACTGGGCGTAGGTATGGAAAACTCCAATGACACGAGCATACCAGTAAGGATGAGAGTGTTTTGTGTCATTGGCAAGGACCATGACATCAGATCGGGTGCGAGGGTTGATAGAATCCTGGTCTCGGCGAACGTCGTATGTGGTGTAGTTAATTTGAAGTATTTTGTGACGGTATATTCGATTGTTGACAAGGAACAGCGAATTGTGATGGTTCATAGTGACCGTAGGATTGTCTTCGTGCTCAAAGAGACGGTGCAGGATGTGATCTTTAAGCTTTGGAATGAAATCCTAGCAATCAACTATAAGTCAACTGTTTCATTCATATACTAAAAACTCACCGCCACCGCCAAATCCTTTTCATTATCAGCAAGCCATAGATTGAGATCCAGAGGGTAACGCTTTGAGTTTGACATCTGGTAGTGCCCTGCTGGATTTCCTGGAGGGAGCGGCTCCTTCTCATCTGGCCGAAGGCTTGCTGTTTGCTTTGTCCCACTCCTCTTTAACTCTTCTGCACGTCTTGCATAAATACGCTGAAGCCATCGCTGCCGCTGCTCCAGAACAGCAATTTGTCGAACATGACCACGTTTGTTCGTACGAGCATAGAAAAGCTTCACACGATGATGCTCTTGTTCTCCCTAATGAGATTTATATGAATTTCTGCGAAATAAGTAGAGATTCTCATTCATTAACATACCGTCTGTGTACTATATGAGTCTGTTGTACCATAACGTCGAATAGCTCGTGGGTAGTCGCCAAACGAGTGGAACTTGTAGGTATTGAGATTGAACCGACGGTGGCCCTTACTGGTAGAGGCCTTTTTGCTCTCGGATTTGGCAGAAGTCGTGCTCTTTTTCGCCTGCTGAGCCTGACGCCGTAGCCGAGCTGCTGCTTCTGTGGGAGTCTCCTTGGTCTGGAATTGCGGACAGACTTTTGTTTCGAATGTGCGAAGCTGATATCCCAAAGAAGTTGTTAAAGCATCGTAAACTTGAAGTGTAGATTCCGTATGCAAGCGAAGTTTTGCAAAGCCATGCCATGCTGCGAGATCAAACAGATTATCGAGTACGATGTTGTTCTCTTTTTTGGGAAGTAATCCCTCAAAACAAGGTAGAGCGCACTAGAGCACGGAATTCTGAATATATTATCCAACACTAGTATATGTTAGGACAATCGCTTACCTGGAGAGCGTCCTCGTAGTCGCGGGCTGCAAATTTCTTCTGAGCTGTTGTATCAGTTCTGAACTTGCGAATAGTCGATAATCCAAAGGTAGGAAGTGAACGGAACCTTTGGCGGCTACTTAGCCTCATAGTCTAACACTAAAGCATAGTTACTGACCGTTTATTCACCTTCTGAACAATGTCTGAACCATACGAATGGCAGATGCGGACCAGATGGTTGAAGTACGACTTCCAGCCACCGATCTCTACTTCGTGCATTTGGTCCGGAACAAACAGTTCATAAAAGTTCACATTTTCTGCGAGCAGAACTTCGGAAAATGCATTCTACAACCAAGGATTAAATTTTGAGCAGATACTGCAGCGTAAAAACACCTTACACGGTTTGGAGTCAATGAGTGTGTCCCTAATAGATCATTGATAGCTTTGCCATCAACTGGATATCCTCGGTTATAGATCCAGTCTTGAGCCATTGTCACGTCATTTTGTCGGTTAACAGAATCAACACGAGCTTGAGTCTCTCTGCGTCTCATATCTAGTTTCGTTCCGAGTTCACGAACCTTGTCTTTGACGATAAGGCATCTTGGACATAGGCACTTGCCGAGATGCTTGATTGAGCACAAAAGGACCCTGCAATGACCATTGAGTAAGATATACATCTAGAGTTTAGTTAGATGCAAACGTACTTCTCAGGATAATCTGCCGAATATGTAAAAAACCTGGGGTAAACCCTCCGTTCCACCCCATCTGCACAACGAATCACAATGCCATTCCGATATGCATCCATAAACTGCTCATCCAGAAGAAGGCGCCAAATGCCCTGCATCAGTTCACGTTTCAGGAATGTGAGCGTAGCATCTGATGGGGGTACACCATATGCCTTAACATACTCATCCTTGATCCAGTCTGGGAGCTATAGAACATATATCAGTGACATAGCATGCGAACAAATAGAAATCAAAATACCGAAGGAAAGTAGGCAAGATGATGGGATGCAAATGCGGTCATTCGGGCTCGGACATATTTCGACAGCAGCCCTAACGACGCGTATGCTGGCCACAAAGACGCATCACCAAAGTTGGTCAAATGTGTCGAGTCGGAGTAGACCATGACCGGCGCAATGACCTGCTCAAGATTGCATCCTGGGAAAGGCTGAACGCTTTCTTCCATTTCCAAGAATACGTCAGATGAATAAACCTCGCCAAATATTCGTTCTGAATGAGAAGAGCCCGGGGGATTCCACATCTGCGTAAATCCTTTGATGTGGAAATCATTGAACTGGGGATCCTCAAAGGCAGATCGAATGATGTCGAGTAAGGAACGATGCCAGACATTTGGGATGTCGACACATGGACAAGGATCTTCCGGGACGAGTGTAGGATTGGGGGGAGGGAGCGGTATTGATACGTGGTCTTCGGTCCAGCCATCATGTCGAAAGGGAGAGGCTGGATCCTCTTCAGGATGATCCAGTCTTTCAGCCTCTCGTGAGGCCTCAAAGCCATGCAGATCTGACTTCTTGAAATCAGGCATAAGAATAACTTCGTTGACCAACCGATTGAGATCTCCAAGGGTCTTTGTTGTTGATGAATAGAACCATCTCATCAAGCGACATACAGACGCATTGAGAAATGGTGAGAACCATGGCGTGTTCGATGTCGAAGCATTTGGGAAATCAGTACGGCCTGTATTTGAGCCATAGATGCAAGTAGGATCAGGTTGCGTCATGGGATCCGGAGCAACAGCGAAGGTGGGGGCATCGACAACTGTATCCAGTGTTACTACCTCATCAGGAGAAGTTGATGGCAGGCTGTTCTTGTATCGTTTGAACATGCCAAATTCGTCCGGTTGGGTGTCAATATAGGACGGTGGCTGTGGAGATGGTGATGGTACGGGTGATGGTGATGGCGATTTATGCTTGAGAGGAGGAGGAGGAGGAGGGGGGGAGGAGGGGGAGGTTTAAGTGCTGCATATTGAGTTATGGACTCGACTGCCTTGGATGGAAGATAATCATATAGACGACGCGGAATCATTCGTGTTCGACGAAAGCGTCCAAGTTCAGGTGCAGGCTCGGCTTCAGGTGCTAGCTCTTCACGTGAGGGGGAAACTGTGTTGATATCGTCTGGGGCTTCCATCACAATGTCGCCATCACTGTGGTCATTGAGGATGGGCTCAGATACCTTAGAGCAACAATTAGGACACAAAAATTGCCAGAGAGACAATGAATGCACCTGAGATACCGATGGTAGTATGCTATGTGCCTCGTCACTCAGCAAAGATGGCGTCTTCTGCTTCTTCAGGGCAGAAAGGCTGACTTTCTTGGCAATCTTGATTCCGGCAGACTGCAGACGTTGTACGAGCTCTCGTGTACGGGATTTGTGTCCTGAGCAGCGAGTCTTATGAGCACCAATAGCATGTGGAGTATTCAATATCTTTTTGGTACATGAAGGGCAAACATATTGCGGCATGAGCGAACAAGGCGGTGACAGAGATATCAGGGGTAACAGGTCAAACGAGCAATCTAAAGAACGGTTAGCAGAGGAAAAAAATTCTGACCATAAACAAACCTTGTAAATGAGTGTCTGAGAGAAGACAGTAGGTGATAAGTACCACTGCAGCAGTGGTACGAACGGTACAGATGGCGGGCGCATCCAGTCACGTACCACGTGACATAATGCTGATGTCACAAACTCGACGCGTACCCATTTTGTGACCTCTTTCTTTCTTCCACCATGCCCAACGCAGCCCAAACCAAGCCCAAGCCCATCACTAAACCCAAGAAATCCTCTGCTCAGCCTGTTCCTTCTACTCATGCTATTGTAGCAAAGCCCAAACCGGTCCAGAAGCGATATCGTAACAGTAGCTCCGATGTCGAATCTGAAGAAGAGCACCCTGCATCGAAGAAAGCCAAGCCGTTGACGAAGATGAAGCAGACTACAAAGGCCTCGCAGTCCAGCAAAACCGAGGAATCCAAGAAGGCCAAGAAAATTGGTATCCGGAAGCTTCCTTCACCGCCTGTGACCTCTGATAGGGATGACCTCGAGGATGCGAATGACGACTACGAGGACGAAGAGGACACTTCTGCGGTCAAATCAGATAGCAGCGACGACAACGATGGTAGGGTTGGTGGTGACACAGTGAAGATCAAGAGCAGTGACAATGATGACTCGGACGAGCCAGTTCAACCCAAGGCCAAGGCTTCTCGTACTAAGCAAAAACGATACAAGGTCCTACAGCAAATTACATCAGAAGATGGGAAGGCACCAGAAAAACGCAAGGAGAACCTGGAAGAGTGCGTATATGCGTTGTTATTCTTGTTCAGTCTCTAACAGATTAACATCAAGGTGCATAAAAATTCTGTCTGATGCTCATAAGTGGGGGAAACTCATGCCTCGTGCTATCAATCTATGGGTCGACCCAGAAGATGTCCTCCTTGAAGGCATTGAGCATTCTCTAGGTTCTGACAGGTACGCCATGTTGGGCTCGGTGTTTTTTTGCTCACACGTCCTTTGTAGCTCTTCAGATAAAGGACCAAATATTCATGCCTACGAGATTCTAACATCACTGTGGTCAATCGACCTATCATCAGATCTCGAGTACTTCGTGGACGCTGATGATGGTATTTCGAAGATCTGCACTGCGGTATGTGTACAACCATTTATCGTACTCTTACTGATGCCCTATGCAGGTTCACAAGGGTTTCAAGGCTGGACATCAAGAAGACACGCACAAGATTCGCGAGGCTATACTCAAGATCATTGTGAAGGATCCTCGCAAGGAAACACTCTCAATACCGGTCCCTGTCATCAAACCAGCGCAAGGCTTCAATTACTTTGAAACAGCTCGACTTTTATGCCCTCAAAACTATCTGGAAACATTTGATAGCGACGATAAGTAATGATCTCCACGGCATTTATACCCTCTGTCACTGATATTCCATGTCAGATGGCGTCAGCAGCTACGTGAAGGGAAGATCCGGATCACTCATTGGGAGCTGCCATCTTTTTTGTTTGACCAGTCGAAGGCTTCGCTCGATGATGATCTTGCCGGATGCATGGAGGGCTATGTCCTCGTCAGAGTACGTGTCCCTCACTGAAAACTCACATGACTAATTTCTTCCATCAGACCGTCAAGCACCTTCTTTTGAGCGATGGTATTCCAGGCAAAACCAAGGGCCCAACTCGCCCACCAATCGCAAAAATTTACAAGATCAAGACCATCACTGGCCGTATAATTGCATACGGCGCATGTCAGGTATGATTGCTCTCTTTCAATGGCTTTCTCTCTCCCTGAAGCTAGGCTCGCTACGCTCTTTCCTCCGTCGATGGATGGACGCGCTGGGATGGGAAGTTCAATCTTGCAAAGCTGTATGACACGATAGTTGATATGTACGAGGACTTCCCTGAAGATCCATGGGCCGTTCAGTCCCTTGCCTGGTGGAACAAGTAAGTCATATGTCTTTCACGTGTCAATAGTTTACGATGACACGAACCAGGGAAATTTTCGGGAATTCAGCCGGTGATGACGACGAGGATGAAGATGACATGGTACCACCACCAGAAAGCACCGTTGCCAGGATGGCCGAAGCTCGCCGACAACGTCAAGAAATTCACAAGGCTGCTCGTGTCGCTGCAGATGTTGGTGATCTCCTTCGAAATGGTGGATTTCCATTCACGAAGCCTGAGAGCACGTAGTTTGGCTTCTGCTTCGTACGTGTCTTTTGTCTCCTTTGAGCCATCTGTTAATCAATAATCCCAGATGATTTGGGATGTTGCTCTCTAAGGCTCTGCACCTTGAAACCTGTATGCTCTCTATGCTTTGCTTTGCTCTCGAGTCTCGATCTGGTACCTATGCTTCATGCTCATGCTGGATGGATGGACTGCTACTTGCCTCGCAGTGTATTTGTATCCCTAATACCTTTGTTATCATGCTTATAATGTAATTTGAGCTATTTGCTTGTTCTCTTTCCAATACTGAACTGATATTTGAGGCCAAGAACGCTAGCATTGTCTAATGTTTCTATGTTCAGCTGCAATCGCTTGTAAGCAGCTTAGATAGGCCAAAACTACTTACAATATCTCACAGTCCAGGTGCAAGTTATACGGCATTGTACTTACTTGTGGCCCTTATAGGGCCCTTCCATAAACATTGCAGTAGACTTATCATAAGTTTGAGTTATGTTATAACGAAGTACATGCTCTGAAATGTATGCGGGTGCTTATATTTAATTTACAGAGGATTGCGGTGGTGAGAAGGGCCTAATATACACTGTTAAGGTTTATATATACATGGCAAGCATTGCACATTTTTCGTGGTGTCCCTAACTCTGGCATACGAAATAAACCATGATCACACTTCCTTATAACGTTAATTCTCGAGGAACTTCTCAACCTAACCACCTAAGACCAGAGAGACTGCTTTAGAAGCGCACAGTCTCTTTATTGCTGGCCTCCCCGCAAAAGCATTCGCCGAAGAGTACTTAGTACTGCTTGTCGAAGATCGATACTACAAGAGTGAATAGTCGTTCAATGATAATACATGCTTGTAGCTACGACGGGTGACTCGAAGTCAGAGCTGTACAATCGGTATGTATCACGAGTTCATGCTTTTCATGGGCTGACCGATCAGTCGTACAGATCACCGCCCTTCCCACCAGAACTGCCCAACCCAAGCCCAAGTACCAGCAACAATCCCCCGGTTCGGGATGTCCTTTTACCTACGCCTGAGTGGCCTCACAGTCCGTATCGGAGCAGACGACGTGGAGAATGTGCCACGATTCTACATAGATCGTGCTGTTACAGGTAGGGCTGAAATCACGCAAGAGTTATGATTCCTTTCTTTATTGATGGACGACGTGACGTCCGCGGGGTTGAAGAATGATGAAGAACAGCAGCAGAAGAGGAGGTAGAAGAAGCTAACATTTGTCCCAGAAGGATACAAGGATGACGAAATAGAAATTGACGAAAAGGTTGAACCTAGATATCCATCTGAAAATAATTTCATCGAGGGACGCAAGATGCGGGGCAAATATTCAGTTACACCATTACGTTTATGGTGCTCCGATACCTCCCCTCAACTCTTTAGGATTCTCAGATGTAGACGTTTTGAATGCTTTACACGCTGTGATCAATTCTGTCAGCAGGGGATTTGACTACTCCGAAAATACAAGCGTTTCGCAGAGTAGTCGCACAGCCAACGGAGTAATGACCTATCGTCTCTCCCATGGGAGCCGGCTACTCCGGCACCACATTTATTTTACGAGAGGTTTAACCTGTATGTTATGGGGATATGGTAAGGGCCGTAAGGCTGTGCCGGGGAAAATATTAGGAGAGAGAAAGATGTTAAGGAGATCCTTTTTCATTTCAACAATCACGTTCGATATTGAACATGGCACTCGGCCATTCCGCCCATAAAAATTTCAGTAGGTGATTTAGAAGCAAATTAAGGATGAGGTTTAGAGACGTCGTAGTTAGAACTGGAAGATTTACAAGCACGTTTTGAAGTATTATTATAGAATGCCTGCGCTTGCTCCACGGTTTCCATCAGTTGTTCAAAGAGTAGGCGGACGATTCATTTTCTGATACTAAAGTACACCTACCGCAGAGGAAGCATTCAAGGTTTGTAAGTACCGGGTAACGCAGAAAACCATTGTGTTGGTCATTATTGGAAGAAACAGGAGAAGGATAGCAGTGCTACCTGGCATTTTGACGCATCGCGTGCTGGTGCCAACAGTACCGTGACCCAAAGCGGGAACTATGACTGATGCTACAATCAAGCTATAACTCGGAAGGTTCTCTGACCGATATCTACTTATCCGACTGGTTCAAATCACCATCGATACTTTAGACCAATTCGTCGTTCCATTGATGAATTGTCAGTACTCCTAAATCCTTTGAACAAACTAAGACTCATCTTCGGCGATTCTGGCGTCTAGCGAAATGCTGATACCATACCGGGCACACATGATGTCCACTCCTTAATAGAAGAAATACATCACTGATCGGACAGTGGTTCAATCAGATTCATTTCCATACGGATCCCACAATCTTTTGAATCTTCGTGATCTGATGCCTGGAGTTCCAGTTGGATGATTTCGTCAATAGCGGTGCTCCTTTCGGAATGCTGTAGGAGTGATTGGGCGTCGTCAGAGCCGGTCCAGACCTTTGATAATCGAGAAACTCCATTCATAAGGAAGAAATCTCTGGGAAGAGTTGTCTCCCTCGAAGAGAAAGGATGTTATTTTCGGAGCTAAACAACGGCTGCAAGGACCACCTATCACTTTTGCAACTGATGTAAAGCATATTCATGTATTCCGTTGATAGATGCTCCAACCCCTTCCTCTGGATGTTCTACCTTTGTTACACGAACCAAACCGGCTCATTGCGAAGATTGATGAAGATCCGAGGTTCGAAGAAGGGGGGCTCGCGGACCGCCGCAAGACCTCATACCTTATACATCTACTTCTACATTTCCTGTGTCAGTCTTGTCCATCCTACTTCAACACATTGGGCGTATGTTGATTCGATCGACCGTTACGAGGTGTCTTTTAATCACGACGGCTGGCGGTACAGGAAAGGTCGAAATTGAACGCTTTATAGCTTTGCTACTCGCTATCGCCTTAACTCCCATCATCTGCATCACGAGTGTGTCTTCGGAAACTAGCAGTCTTTAGTCGATGGAGCACAGACGGTGTTCATTGATTCGCTGACAAAGAAGGGATTCGATTGATAGCACGAAATTTGGTAAAGGAAACGGGGACTAACGGGGACTAACTATTTGTACAAGTAGTTATGCTTTACCGAAGCAGTCCGTCCACCGGACGCAAACAGTTCTCCAAACTTCTATACGGACCCACTAGCCGAAACACGTTACACACGCTATGGCTGACTTCCCGGTGTCATCTTACGGTTTCTTTCGTCTTCTAGTAAACTCGCGGAGCTCCCTCCAGAGTGAATATACCATTCGTGAACTGACTGGTATGGTATTCTGGCGCTCAATAGAGGCTTAGAATTAGATTCAGCGAACGATAAAAATAGCACAGCCTTGAGAAGCAAAAACACAGATGGTCTGTGCAGTGCACCTGATAGTTACCATCAAAGGTATAATAAGTGTCGTCGCCTCCATATTGAGAAGATTGGCAGACATACATGATATGAGACGCGGGTTACAGATGTTGGAAAATGTCGTGTTGAGACACAGCATGGGATAAGATGCTTTGCACGCCATAGGTGGAAGTGCGCCTGATACGTGACAATGTCAATCACTCGAACTGACAAGATGACTCGAAATCAAAGCACTCTGATTAGGAAGACAACACCTGAAACAACCATAGGAATACATACAGATATAGGCCGCGGTTCATATCGCTCTACAAAGACCGAACAGGTGATGGTCCCGACAAAGCCTTTGGCGACGGGTAGCATTGTAAACAGCTGGGCACATAGTCCTTCGTACTCAAGTCCATTAACGACAGTTGGGGCAAAATACGAGATACACGAAAATAGTAGGCAGACGGTGATGAAGACGAGATAATGGAAGCACAGCCTCCAGTCTATCAGCGTATTCTTGGTCTGCGCCCATGTAATTATGGTGGCACACAGACGCTTCGCCTCTGAGGCGCTTGACGGCGAGTTCTCATTCCTTTGCAGATAGTCATGTCGCTGTCTCTGGGTATGCTGGAAAGAAGAAGGACATCGCCACCGCCAGAGCACATGATAGCGCGCTCTCGATGATGAATAACCACCGCCACGCTTCCAAGCCCTTGGGGCCGTTGATGAGACCAACGCCGTGTGTTCTTGGGGTAGATACCAGTTGTTGAAACGGTCGGTCAGAAAAGAATGTTGTAAATCACCAAAATAGAACTGACAAGCCAAGGAAAAAAGTAGATTATTCCTGGATAGAAACCTATGACGGTAATTAGGCATTTGCATTCTACTGAAAACGTGTGACATACCCGCTTTAAACATCCCTAGAAGGAAGTGAAGTCCCGTCAGCGCGCTATAGCTCTTGAACATAAAATGATCATATCCGTTCCGCCCTTCCTGAATATGAGCAACACGAACCAATGCAGGAGAGTAAAATGACTGAGGTCTCAAACGGTGCACAAATAATGAAGAACTACTGTCAACGCAGCGGAGAACTGGCCGCTTGTTGAAGACCTGCAACAATGAGTCACCGCTGTCGGTATTCAATTTTTCGCATTTTTCTGACGGACAATTTAATTAAGAAAGCGATCAAGCATCATCAGATCGGCGTACGATATTAACGCGGGCGAGGAAATTGAGGATGTAAATGAACATGCAACTACGTACGATCCGGAGATTTAGCTGTCGGAGGAGTCTGGCAGGGAAGTGAACCAGCATCGGCTTGTCGTCGTGGTTCGATAGGAATGGTAAACATACCTCTTCTCAGCGAAACGGTCCACAGCGATGACATCTTCGGGTGATGAAATTCCCTCATCACTTGAAAGGCCCTTCTCGAAGTCATTGTCAGCGGATGAGAAGGGAGCAATAGCTGTCTCTTCCATTTCCCGAAGGGCTTTCAAGTTTAGGATTGCTAGCGTTCATCGATACTTCTGGTTGGCAAGGGAAAGACACGTTCCCTTCCTGATGCAGGGAAGATGGGAGTACTGGTCCACTGGCAACCATCCTTTGCAATATGAAGGTGATGTTTATGATGTTGGAAGCTCGAACGGAAGCAAGAGGCCGGCGCAGAGTACATTTTCCCGCAGTGAGGCTGTGGACTTCCATGTCAGTATAGGACCTTACGAATACGATTATTGCCGCAGCCTCACCTCACCTTGCCCCGATATTCCACAGTTCTGGGTGTTGAATCTCCGTATACAGATCGTAGTAGCTTCATTCACTTGCGAGACCCAAAGGAATGAATCACGAGGCGAACGCCGCATTCGAAATTATATCAGAAGACCGCACTGCTCTAATAGAAGCTCAAAGGCAAAACCGGTTGACCATCATGACGTTCTATCAAGGAATGAGATACGAGCGTTTACATAGCAGTAAACTATTACCTGCCGTCGACTCAAACACTTGTTGCGGTTTCCGAAAAGTGGTAGAGTAAGTTTAACTCGATATAAAAATGACCAGATGTTGATACCGGTGTATCGTGCAAGGCCTGTTGTCTGAACGAAGTGGATTCTTGCAATGGTACCTTTTGAGATAACGCAGGTTCTATGGCGAACTTCCGTCGTGCGATGCAGAGGAAATCAGTGAAAGTCTGACTGTGGGACCTGGGTGGTGTAGGGCACCCTGATGTCTTCTTCAGCTTGATAGTACTGCTATTTTCGATGGAAGGTGTTTGGAAGAGAATTCGCAAAAGGAAACCGAAGGCAGCTGAGGAATGCATGGAGCAAGCATGGAGTTCAAAACTGAGCCCGGGGCCTCGGACCGGAATAGGCTTGGTGAGTCACAGTCACAGTCACGGCTCTCTTGCTCTTTTCTCGACCATCAGGCTCGTTATACCTGTTCTTGATGCTGCCCTCTTCTACTGCCGAAAACCCCAGACGCACAAAGTCGTGCTTTTCTTTCTGTTTTGAGTAACTGGTCCCAATGGTCTGTCGCTCTGTGTTTGATAGCTGTGACTTCAGCGGGGAGGGCTTGTTATAGCTGTGTCTAGTATCCTGAGCACGCGCTACTAGCTAAAGATGGTGCGTATCTGCGTCCTGTCCGTTTACAAGTTCGGACTTTGGCGCGCACGTTGGAATGAATCATCGTCCCTGGGTTTTAGAAGGAAGCAGGAACTCAGAAACCGAAGCTGTGAAAGAGTCAGTCAGGGGTATGCACTTTCTTCCTTTCCACGCTATAGCTCATCGTGAAACCAAGCTCGCAATTCTCAACCTCACGGAGTCCCGATGCCGCTTAACCAACCCCGTCGATGTTGTTATGACTATTGCAGTACGGAAGCTCGGTACTGGCGTGAGGATGATGGTACTCTACTGCGAGGTAGATCCGATTCCAAAGGCGTCTCGTTGTCTAATGTAAGGCTTCCAGACCGTTCACGTCATTTAATTCACTTCGCGCAAATGTCACTACAATTTAGCGCGGACCGGTCAACAGTGTTTATCGGCGACCGACATTCCGAAGGTGAAGGCCCCTATGTCCTTGTGCTACTCGGCAGAAACATCGCTTTGGGAGCTCTCGTTATGGTCGTGCGGCGCTGTGAACGATGGCATCGAACTCGTAGGGAAGACGAGAGAGTTGGTCATTGGTGGAAGGTGTGTCATGTTATTTACCTTCTAGGAACGCGCCGCTCATCTAAGGCGAAGCTTATCGACTCGATCGTTTCACCAAGACATCTATAACATTGGAACATCCCTCCTGTAAATGTCGCAACATCTCTGTTCGGACGAATTGACAACAGAGAACTCCGTTACATACCATACGTGTTATGAATGGTTACTCCAAGTCACTACCCCCCCGAAGACCGAATCCTCTCCTCTCCTCCCCTCTCCCCCTCCCGACAATCACCCGCCGTACCCCCTACCCGATCTTTTTTGATTACGTTCCCCGCCTCCTCCGTTCAATTCCCTTTTTTCTCGGGAAAAAGAAAAAAAAGAAAGAGCACAGCCTTCGCTCGTTCGTCTCTTTGGTGACAACTTTCTGAATATGTAGGATTCTCACACGCTCTCGCTTGCCTTGCCAAGATACGGCGTTTGAACTTGAATGCGACCATTTACTCCCACGTTGACGAGGGACCGCGTCTCGACTTCTCATCCGAGAATCTGTGCGTTTTGATGATGCGTCGATGAGGTGCGAACTCTTCTAGTGTTACGTCTCTACGTATCGACCTCACCTGGGCTGAACTTTGCCCTCTCTTCGTATCCTCCAACACCCCTCCCCCTTCCCGCCCTCTCCGCTGCAAGTGATAATGATCCCAGACAACCCAACGAGTGATGGCCTCGATTCTCCAGACGGGAGGGAATGATGCGGGATCCCCAAACAGAAAATGATGCGGAAGATTTTCAACGTAGCGAGTGAATGCTGCGGCCGTGATGAACGATTACTCTTACTCTTACACCTACGTATTACTAGTAAACCGTACAATATGATATGTGAAACGCGAGCTCACGGACCCACGATTCGGGAAGCAATTTCTCAAGGGCGTGATGAATACTGACAAACAAGATACCTACATTACTACATTGCTGTGAAACGTGATGACCAAAACAAAATGCACGGACCTACAACTTTGGTCAGCATCACGGACGGATTCATTCCGACTGTTACAAATACGAGATTTGGAATGATAGTTACAGGACTCACAGAATCCGCATACCAATCTAGTTTAATAACCATACCGAAACGGACAGGACGACGTGGATAACGAAATATCGTCCCTAGCTGCGTTCTTCAAACGACACCAAGAATAGACTCTGAACGAAATCACAAACACGGGAAAAGATCAGAAACGTAGTCTCAATATTTCAGGGAACAGGCGATGAGGAAACAGTAACGGAACCCCACAGTATGAACGCCACCCATTAATAGACTCTGATGCGAGAAAGAATCACTAACGCGGGAAAGAGGCAAAACTTCGGCTTCGGGGGGAAACTTTATTTAGCGTGAGAGCGAGGGCGTGGGGGAGTAGAATCTATAATGGGAGTCGTTGCCGAGACAAAGGGGAGGGATGCTACGTTGAACTTAAATGCCCGCCGTAAGAAAGGAAGGGAGAAACTAAAGGGCCTGGACTGTTATTCAATGTAGAGAAAGGGAAGGGACATGAAAGGAACAAAGGAAACGAAAGAAGCAGGACGCACGAGACCTTTGAGAGGTACGAGGGACAAGGGCAGGGAGAAAGATGTGTTGGATAAACGCTGCGCTATACGAGAACTGCCAGTAATTTTGGAGGGAGGGTGATAGTCAGCCTTTGAGGGGTCGACATGTAGCGATGCTATGTAGATTGCCGACTCGGAGAGGACGCAATACAATCCAATACAATGTACAATATAATCCCATCACCGGTGTTTTGTTGCCCGTAACGCGGGCATTCGTACACTATAAGTATACCATCCATGAATAACAAGTATAGGCTGCTGGCTGTGTCGAAATGCCTGCCGCCCAAGAAACCGTCGATATCATTGATATGTGATGGGAGGGTGGGGGGGATCGAATATAATATTATTTTACGAGACGTTGGAGGGCAGGCATGACGGGAGGGTGCGCTGCGAGGAGACCGCGGATGCTGCGTGTCACGCAGGGTCAGTCGGTGTGGAATAGATACCCGCGTCGAGGGTGGCGCACGCAAGAGGAAGGGAAGCAGACTGTGGGAGCATGGAGGTACGCGGGAGAAGAGGAGGAACAAGGTACGCAGGGGAGGGTCGGGGCTCGGGGAGTAAGATGAAGAGATGCTAAGTTGTAGAGGGAGAGTCGAGGGGAAGGATGCATCGCGGATGAAGAGATGCTGACTTGTAGTGTAAATCATCATTGATATGTGACGGGAGGGTGGGGGGTTGAATATTTACGAGATGTTGGAGGGCAGGCATGATGAGAGGGCTGCGCTCTTGGTTGAGAGGATCGGGGATGGTGAGCGTAAGCTGAGGACTACGCCAGGGTCTGTCAGCGTGGGATGAATACCCGATCGGGGGTACGACGTCGACGAACCTTGGTCAGTGTAAGGGGAGACGACAGCGAGCATGAAGGTACGCGGGAGAAGAAGAGGAACAAGGCACGCGGGGAGGGTCAAGGGTCGGGGAGCGGGTGAAGAGATGCAAACTTGTAGTGCTAAGTCCAGGGAGAGGGCAGGCATGACGGGAGGATGCGCTGCGCTCTTGGCTGAGGGGACCACGCATGCTGCACGACAAGCAGAGTCGGTTGGCGTGGGATGGATACGCGTTCGGGGTTCACGTTGTGAAGGGGGCGCGCCTCGGCCAGTCGGTGTAAGACGAGGGGAAGCAGGCAGCTAGAATGAAGGTACGCGGAGAGGGTCAGGGAGCAGGGAGCGGACGAAGCATCGCGGATGAAGAGATGTTGACTTGTAGTGTAAATCCCGGGTGTCGGGTGTAGTAGCAGGGAAACAGAGTCCTCGAACGGTATCAGACTGCATATCTCTACGCAAGACTGCGGACGTATGATGGGGGCCGCTTAATTGCTTTCATTCACAAGCGTAGGGATACGGTCGAAACAAGCTGTAACCAGAGCCAGGGTCGGTAGCATGGAATGGATACCCGTCTCAGGGCCTTCACTGGGAGCTGGGGGGTGGCGCAACTACGCTGAGACGTCGGGCAGAGGCGCATCCGCATCTGGGGTCGTTCACCTGCTAACTAAGCACCCTGGAGCACGGCAGATCAAACGTCCACTGATTTATCACGCACCGCTGATCCGCTCCAGTGGAGGGCGGAGAGATCCGACGAACTGGAAAATCATTCATTCCCAGTTTAGGCAAATCCCGGTCCGAATGGGCGCTAAAGGTAAATAAACGCCAACTCGGCGGGAGTCGGGCCGATGGTTCAAGGTTTTCCCGATCCTCTCCTCTGCGCTTCCTTAACCATTGCTGCTGCTCCTTTGAGCCTGACCTTGTCGTTCTTTATCTTTGCTCGTGTCTCCGATGTCTGCCTCGAACTCATAATTTCAGTCTTTGCCTATGAGTGTAAAAAACCCGTATTTCTGCCTCTCCTCCACCAGCGCCATCGGAACTCGTATGGCTCGCCACTTGCTACTGGATTCAAGCTTTTTCTCCTCTGCAAAGGTTCGCCAGCCGGGATCTACCAAGTTCAATCATGGCTCTTGATTCCGTGGAATGAAGATCTGCTTGTCATTTGTCTCGCTGGGTGATATTTGTTCTCTATCGCAGGTCGCTACATAAACAGCGAACAAAACAAGTGCCTTGTAATTCATTCCAACCTCGCCCAACGATTAACCTCCTTTCGTCCGCACCACATCTATCTATGGAAGTATGTGACTTGATAAACCGAAACTCGGGACGTTCCCTTTCTCCCCAATCAGAGACTCCTTCACATCATCAATACACCGCCCGCTCAGTCTTCCTTTCGGTGTCTAACCCGGACTGCGGCTACCTGACTTGTGTCGGGACGCCACCCTCAATCATGACATTCATTCAAAATCCAGGGTGATAAATAAATTCTTCATTGTTCTTCTTTTCTCCCCCGCACTGAGGAATGATGGCGCCTCTTGCTTTTTCATAAATCGATCCCTCTCCTTTGGGGATTATGACGTCTTCTATTCCTCCGCACTTTCATTATCCCGTTTATTGATTTTAGTCATGACGTCGTCTGCTGTCAAAGTCACGCTTTCGTTTACCGAAAGGTTGATAATGAATCTTTGATTTCGAAAAGTGCACGAGATACAACTAATTGTTTTCCATGCGAAACGTCAGGAAATCTTATCATAGCTGCGATAAGAAGAACGTTCGCTGCATTCGAGTTCTGCCCTGCACTCCACGAGGAGTCGAACCCCGTCCCTCGATAAATACATGCATTCTGATTCGCCCTCTGAGGGGTCATGTTGCGGTTATCATTTATTAGAGTCAGCACTTATTCCTCTACATCATCCCCGGGTACGTGATAGAATCCCGCTGCATGCTCTAACAACGATAAGCCATTTGGTATCTGACGTCTTCACATGCTTGCTTATTATCACGCGGCTCGAGCTTTTCCAGGAAGCAAAAGACGGTCAGCGCCGAACGACGTTTTGTTCAACGAGTTAGGAAGGGATGCCATGATGCCGGGAATGAGAGGAGTTGGGGCGCGGGATTTCTGAACCTCGGGGAAAAACTGTGTAACCGCGGCACGAAGCAGAGAGGACAATCAAGGGAACAGGTGTTAACCCCTAGGTTCGAATTAGGCCTTGGGCGGGAGAGGGAACCACTCGATCCGGATCGGGAATCGCTATCTGTGATCCCTCTTTGGCTGCTAGGAAACATAGTCCGCTGCTATGATAGCCAAAACGAACAGTCCATTCTCCTACCCTAGGCTCTCTATTAGTCTCCTCTTGGGCTATCCTTCATTGTAACGTCGCTGAAACGCTTAACGAGATAAATTGTCTTGCTTTACCGATCTCGGTTTGGATTGCAATTGGTTGACTGCCACAGTCTACTATGGAATCCAATGTGAGAATCGCCAAGATCATCTCCGTCTTTATACTTCATTTCAAAATTCGACTTGAACTTGAAGCTGGTAACATGTTTAGATGCAATGTTGACTCCTTCACTACCGTTCCCAGTGACGACTCCTAAACCTTGCTTATACTGCGAACTACTATACGCCACATTTTGTCCATTCTTTAAAGCCCTGATCCTAAGTAAGTATCCTAAAACAATTTGCATATCGAACGGTTTATCAAATGCTCAGTGATGAGCTCACTTCAAAATTGCAAGCGGCCTAAGTTGAAATTAAGGTGGGCATGTCGGTGATGGTCGGAGCCTTCTCTTCTAGCCTATCTAGGTGACGTTATGGATGATACTTCGGCTAGTTCTTGACGCGACGGAAAGCGCGTAGTCTACGCAAAAAAAAATTCTCTTCGTACAGATATGGATCCAACACGCCCTTTGTCGAGAGGCTTTGCGCCTCTTGAAGCAGGGGCCCATTTGGGTCGCTTGGATATCAGATGCAATCGTAAATAAACCTCGAGCGCGGACTAAAAAAACGAGAGGAATATAATATAGTCTTATATCCTTAACTGGAAACCAAAGGGCGAAAACTGAAGAGCCCCAGCAACAGAGAGGAAACAAACACATTTCCACATCTGAATGAATGAATACCTGAGGAAGGAACTACAAAGGAGCCAGTCCTGGATGAAGCTGCCACCAGGGAACCACAGAGAGACGTATGTAGGAATGGAGAGAAAGGCCTAGTCGAAGGGAGAAGGGAAACCTCCGAGAAACTTTATCTGGCGTGGGAGGAGATGTGCTCCTTTATTGCTAGCGGGCTAGGGAAGATGAACTCTATCCTGGGGAGCGTGTTGTCGGATCTCAGAAGCGAGCCCTTGCCAAGACTAATAGGGTTGGAGTATGCCGAGATGGTACTGATGCCAGTCCGTTCGTTCGTCCGTCTGATATCTACATCGAGGATCAGCGAAATGATTTTCTGCAGGGGAGGGGAGGTTCCATCACCCAGCTGCCAAAGATACGGATTGACATGTTGATGATGATGGTCTGGGGTCGGAGAGTTACTTCATGAAGGGCCGTATCGCCCAACTGGGCCGAGCGCATCTGATTCCCGACTTGGATACTGCTGACGACGCATCACCGGTGTTTTGTTGGCCGTATCGGATTCGAATTCACGGGCTGCCTGGGAAAAAATCCATTCTTACATTTCTAGAACAAAAATACACACCCCGAGTCCAGCGATTTTCCGAAATATCCGCATTTTCCTCAATCCAAGAGCAAAGAAGGACTGCGCGATAATTGTTAACGCCGGGGTCATTTAATATGACATCGAAAACTGCGGTTGATTAATTCTTTTTTTACGAGAACGTTTATTCTTCTTCCTTACGTGCGTATACAAGGTCCATGTACGGCACCGAGGAGGGGTCGGTGCAAGTCTGTATCAGGGGACAACTCGGCCATCAACAGGCAGGGGTGATTGAAAATTGAGCTGGAGGTTATGGATACGAGGGGGCAGACAGAGGGTATCCTATACCAGGCCTCCTAGCCACCCTTCTAGCGTGAACAGGTTCCGCAGACGTAACACTCACCCATGTATCCCGCCTACCACCAGAGTGTGATGTCCGTTAGCGCCTCGTATTTTGTTTGAACTTCTAGGCACGACTACGGGAGTATCGGTGCGGAAGTAAAGAGGGATCGCAAAATGGCTCATCCCGTCCGGAAATATCGGGCCGATTGGAAGCTATTGGTAAACAAACACTCGGGCCGAAAGATTCTTCCCGGTCCTTTTCCTCGCTCTTTGCTGGCTCTTGCCGCTACGCCTACAGCTGTACACCCAGAGCCGCTGTGTCCCTAATCAGATACGACATTCGATGTTCGTCCGAGTCGCGTCCGATTACCAGATCTACTTTCGACTGCCAAAGTTCGAGTCTCGACTTTGAATCTTATATACTCCGTTGGCGCTGGAGATTATCAGTCTCCATTTCACAACAGATCAAGAAGCTATCCGAACGTTCTTTTGCTGCGACGTCTGGGGATTTCTTTCTTGCTCGTTTGTATGAATATCCCGGACGAAACATTGCCCTTGGTACGTTTTGCTATCTTTTTCATGCAGAGTCATAGATAAAGACTCTTCGTTTATCCAGCTATCCGTAGGCCAAGCTGCATCACTCCTCCAAACCCTCCCTGACGAGATAAACTGCACCGCATTGCAAGAAAACCTCAATGCTCTAGTGCACTCTCAGTCTAACCACGAAGGTATTGCTTTAGAAACGGTGATGCTAACTCCTCAGCTCGTTGCACATCATTATGAGGCGCTTTTTTCTGATGCTATTCTCTGCGGAAGCTCACAGCGCTCAGAACTCGGTTGAATATCACTGGATCAGTACATCTTTCGGCTTACCGTCAATGCTCCAACCCGCTGATCTCAAATATCGAAGTCTACAGCCACAATGTAATGCACAGCTTCATCCTGATTCTCGGTTACTCGCGTACTTGTCCTGAGTGTTAGTAATGGTGCGAGGACATGTTCTACGGTATCAGACTGAGCTGCTTTGATCTGTCTTTTCTGTATTTCTGTTAATAACATCCAGATGCACGTTCTTATCTCTCCTCGCCCTCAGAATTCGTGTTCAAATATCTGGGAATTTTTCGTCTACGCACGGACGTTGTACCCGGACTGACTTGATATATCAACTTTGAGCGAGCTGGGATCATAGAAAAAAGCCGCTCGACCATCGTCCGGCACTCTCCCCATTCTCACTTTGGCCACCTTTTCATGTCGCTTGTAGACATCTTCCTGGCCGAAATATTTTTTGTCTATATTCGCAATTCGCATCAGACACCTTAACTCGATCGCTCATTCTCTTCCTTGGGCGTAACTGTCACGGTCGCGCTTATGATAAAATGGCGGTGCTCCCCCATGTGGTAAAAGATATTCGCAATTGATACTGAATGTCGAATCCTGCGCGCTTGCGACCCAATCTCCACGTGCATGCACGTAAAGTTTGTAAGAGTCTTTCTAATAATCAGATAATCCCGCCGTCCCGGAGCACGACCCTGCGAGGTAGGTCCAAGAAAAAAAAACGTCCATTCGAAGATATTGAAACGTTCTCCGCGCTCTCAGAACGCCTCGAAATTTATCTTCCCTCATTCGAGTCGACCTTTATGATCTCCTCATCCAATCCGTCGATCTAGGCGAATGCACACCTTTAATACGGAACTGGCCAGGAAGACGAGGGTCAACGAACCCGGGACAAAAAGATAACCGGTACCGGGTGCATGTGAAAAAAGGCAGAGGTTAAAAAATTTGCGGGACTTTAGGGGGGAAAGGGTTAGTATGCCCATGGGTATGTAAAAATGAAATGCGGCACCGAGCTTAGTTGGAGCCTAGTGAACTCGGCGCGGGAGCAAGGCAACACTCATTTGGGATGACACGCATATGTGGACGTTTTCACACACGTTAATCAGGCACAATATATCGACATTGTCGATCTATAGGGGAGAGTAACCGCTGACCCCTATGAAGGAGAAAGTAAACGTCCAACCGATATTTTGCCGTCGCGAAGGCGGGGGCCTGGAAAAGACCAAGGCGGAAGAGGAAAGAGTCGGGACCCCTGAGAATATTGTAGATCTAGACCGGGAATCGGTCCCCTTCTCCTTCCGGTGTACGAAAGAGTACCCTAGCGAGAGAATCTTGTAGTCTAGGACACATACACTTAAGCGAATCGACGCGGCCCTTCTTCTCGACCGTCTTCATTTGCTGATTATGCAGGGGGGCAGTGCGAATCTTTTCATCAGGATCCTGAGAAGCCTCAAGCATCTTCGTCGAAGATCTATATATTCCCGAGGTTTAACGGTTTGGAGAGAAATGAATTCATGAACAGATCCGGCTTTCGAGTGGGAGAAGAGGCGGATACTAAATTCACCTGACCCAATGAATACAAGGAGAATTGGACGTGAGGAATAGATTACCTGCGCGAGGCAAGGTTTGACTGGAAAAGGAAATCCAAGAAGACTTAATGGACGGCCGCCCAAAATAGACCGACCACAGAGCTCCTGGCTGGGAGCAGAGAGACGTTATTAAGACGGAAACGGTAGAACACAGCAGTACGAGAGAGAACAACGGCATGAGGACTCTCAAGAGACAAAAGGAATAGCTTCTTGGAGGAGACGGTGAGCTGGAGCATCTGATGTGACTAGCAACACATCACACCGGAGTTTGGTTAGCCGTGCATGTGCATTTCGTTATACACCTTCCCAAAGTGAGAACAAAGAAGACTGCGGAAGCTACGTATGATGGAGGATGGTTTTTATACGGGGTTCTGAATTCAAAATCTCTGTATACACTTTCCCAATGTGAAATCAGAGAAGCTATGTAAGATGGAAGTCATTTTTTCGTTACATCCAGGGGTCTGTACGGGAATCAGAGGCAGGTGCTGTATCGCTACGAGGCCATAGACAGGAAATGTCGTAGTCAGGGAACGCTCGCGTGCCACGTACTCGTCGGTGGGTAGTTGGTGCCGGCGGCGTCGAGAGGACAGTACACCTATTTGCAAGCTATCTACCAAGAAATCCAGTCAAATCAGTGAGTATTACGAACCTCATCGACATCACATAGGTTAGAGACGTCCGTTACGTGGGCGCTGATGAAGCTAGGGTTGGTGCGTAATGGATACCCGTCGTTGTCAAGGCGCAGGGGAGCGGTGAGAGGCGTGCGTCAGCCACAGATCCGCAATCGGGGAGGTCTTTCAAAGTGTTAATCGTTCAGGTTTATCATCTCCTACCACTTGGATCAAGCTGTGGAATAGAGCAAACAGAGGCAAGCTCCAGATTGACAACAGCGGCAGTTACACGCCTATTAGCACATCCGTACCAATGGCGACCTCCACCAGCGTCCCCTTGAGCGCCGTACCTACTACGATCTTGGAGCCCTCCCGTTGAGTCCATGTACCGGACTTGGAAGGTGACGGCGGAAGCAAAGAAAGGGGGAGATCATGAACTGGCTCAACCTTTCCTAGTCTAGGTAGCCCCGGTCCGAATGGCCCTTCGGGCCGAACATACTTCCGCTGCGGACTTGCGATCGAACTTTGCATTCCCCCATTTCGGGGGGCCTTTCACGGGAGAGCTCATCGATAATCAGCCGACTGTAGTTGCACCAACCCGGAACTTTCTGTTTCGTACCTGAGCCATCTCCACCGGCATTAGACTTGTGCCTGCGGCCTGTTCCCCTCTGGAAGACCTTCCTTCGACAACTAGTATCTTTGTTGCCTTCGTGTTGGGTGATTCTTGAACGGCTTTTGTTTCGTGTAGAGAAGATCCCCGGGTACTTGGTTTCATTTCTTATGTTGGAAAACCATCTATTTCAGATCTTCGCCATCCTCATCTGCCATATTTTCTGCATTAGACTTGCACTTGCTCTCTTCTGCGAAGACGAGATCGACTTGTTTCTGTTGTCTTCGCCACTGATCGAATAATCCTTGAGCTCTGTGGAACGAACATTCCTGGGTGCTTTGTTTGTGCTCGCCAACTGGGCGATCATGAGAGGCGTCTGGTCGATAAATGGAGTACGGGTGAACTCCATGAGGAATGCATCATGGAGCTCGTTCCACGATTCCTCGTTGACTTGGATGAGTCACTCCCGAGTTTCCACATCACCCCACCCTGCTCCCAGTAATGATGTTCTCCAAGCGCCACAGTCAATTCTTCCTTCTCAGATTACTGACGTCGACGTATTGAGTCGATACGCCACCTCATTGTGATACATTGTGCTTGCTTTTCAAAATTGAGGGTGATGACGTCTCTTGCTTGGTTGACACTGGTCTCCGTTATCAGTTAGGCGATGACGGGTCTTTCTTTCCGGGTTGTGGCCTTCTGTCCTTGTTCTTCTCTCGCGGCGTTGCTCGTTCCTCTCACCTGTCGTTTTGAATGCTTCATCCTTACTATATACTACTGCAAGCCATCAGTCATTGATTGTACAAGCAATTATCCTGATGTTATGCAATAATCATAGGCGATGTACGCCTGGTATTCCAAGCTTCCTTCAACGTTGGCTCTTATTTCACCTTCACCATTGATCTGTTTATGTAACTCGCTTTTTCACAGATTATGACAGTCTTCTGCTCATTCGTCTCTGATTCATTCTTCATTTGAGATGTTGCGCTCCAAATGGACTTTCAATCTGCACGCCGATGCCTATGTGACGACAACCCGACCGTTGTCTTTTACTTCGCCTTCATCAAGGACGTATGAATACTACCTTCACGATGACGGAATGTTTGGATGTTCTACACAGAGTTTCGATATACCATTCGCCTCTCAGACGTCTCGTTCTTCCGATGTCCCTACCATAACACCAGTCATCCATTTAATAAGCCCTCCGTCTGACTAGCTTAATTAGCTACCCACGAAAGCTCGTAAGCATCCATATAAGATAGATACTCAGTTTCAGCTTCCTTCGTTCGTGGCAACTATTTACTTACGATTATATACGCGTTGTTATTCTCTAGGATTTATCGCGCAATGTGATAGTTCACGACTAATTTCCTTAGGCCTCGATGCCAGATCCTAAGCAATAGCTCATCATGCGTTATGGCTCACCAGGAGAAGAGCCACATGTTACTTGCGTAAACATGATAAGAGGCCCAGCGTGTTTCATTGATTCGAATCCCGGATCCCAAAGTAAAGTTCGTTATAGTCATTATCACCATATCAAAACGCCAGCTGTGCAATTCTTCTTCAGCTAGCCAAGACAAGAGTACACGAGAAACCAAGTCCCGACTGTCTAATTCGAAGAAAGAATTTCCTTGACCACTTGTTCCTACACATGTCCTTCGAGGCTTATGTTCCATCTCTTCATGTGGTTCGGACGTTATTTTGACGCGGAAAACTATGCGGTGATTCAATTGACTGCTTTGAGTCTGCGAAAGCGGGGAAATATCAGCACACCAGGCTGGTCACACGACTTTGCGATGATGAAGACCGGACCGACGCTTACTCATGTGAAATCGGAGAAAGGTTAAAAGTCAAATGATAAATAGAAAGGGTTGAATTGGGATTGTAAGGAGTTTATGAGGAGCAACTATACCCAGGCGATAGTGAACTTCTGTGCAGGCATAGCCCTGGGAGCGAACACTCGAACCCTGAAAGTAAGCTGAAGGCAAGCTGAAGGGCGGAGAAAATTTCTCAAATATCAACGTAGTACGAGTACGAGTATAATATACCGTGGGCCGCCCACCCCTATTCCGGTGAAATTATGAAAGGCGCAAAGTCGGTCTGGAGAAGATCGAGGCAGTAGAGTAGACTCCTGACCTGAAACGAGTTTGGTTCGATTTAGATCCGGATCGGGAATCGGTATCTGGACGCATCCGATGCTTCCCGAAGGGATCGATGTAACTCACTAACGCCTACAACGATATACGCCCCGGAAGGTGAGTACTGGCAGGGGAGTGCACTTCGTGAGTATCCCATCGAACTCTAGACCAATTGCCGAGGTTCAGACAGCCTCTCCCGCCAGACGTCGGCCTCTACCCTCGTCCGTCTTCATTTCCAGATCTTGCGGAGCGCGAATCTTTTTTTTCTCAGGCTGTTGCGGTTCCGGCGGAACAAGGTCGCATCCTGTCTACTAAGGCGCGACAGATATTGTTCAACAGGGCTGCTCCTCTCGAATGGCAACGGACTTATTCTATATTGGTATCGGCATCTTCGCCTGTCGCGAATTACTGTTTCTTCATACTCCCCTTTTTGGCACGTTTTCGATATACGGCCTAGGCTAGTCCTCTCCTGCACTCTTGCGTCCTAGTCCATTTCGCAGCCTAACTCTCACACCTAATAATCCTCTAGGAATATACATATTGAGATGTTCCCTCAGCGTGTGCACATTCCATCCCGACGTAAATTCAACTTACCATTGTTGTATATGCTACGCAGTCAAACTACGATCAAACAAGAACAAAATTCGTTTTTCCCTTTGTTTTCCAATATCAGAATCGCTGTCTTTATATTTCATCTTCCTAATTTCGAAATCTGACGCAGAGCTCGTAGTATGTTCAGATGCGGTGAAGTTGACGAGTCGCACATCTCCTTCACTACCGTTCCCAGTGGCGAAGGGGGGCAGGCCTTGTTTGACTCTGACAGGAACGTGCGAAGCTATCTTATTACAGAATAAAGCTGTGATGCTATATTTGAGGCACACCGTACCCACCGTTGGAGTACACCGTTAATCCGTAAAGCTCTGATCCTATATCTGTTTGAAAATAGGACGGGTTATCAAATAGCGAGTGATAAGCCACCTCCAATTTGCAAGGTAGAAGTAAGCATTTCGGTAATGGTCGGGACTGCACACTCTCGGCGTACTTCGGCGGTTGTAAATATGACAGGCTACTCGGCACGGGGTGTTCGGCATATGGGGATGGCGAATGATTTCTGATTTTCTATCAAAGCGAGGTGTATGTACAAATAAGTAGACACTTATTTGTCGCTCTGCTCATACATTTTCAGAGTGTGAAGGTAGAGCTTTCAGTCAACGATTGGGATGATGGAACAACATAGCACTACAAGGAAGCTTAAGAGTGAAGCGAGCACTAACGAGGTGAGGAAATCAGGGAAGACATACAAGTATAGATTTTGCACCCAACTGACAATGATCATTACTACCAGAAGAAGTAAAGACGCCCCAGAAATAGAAAGATCCACGGTACTTGGAGAAGTACCACTCCCGTAATGAGACACTACGAAAGACGTAGGGATGGGATGGAGCTACGGTCCAATAAACAATTATGAACGGATAGTAAAGCGTCGAATAGATGAATCTGATGGAGGGAAGAGGGAAACCTCCGAGAAACTTTATCTGGCGTGAGAGCGAGTCTTTTAGCGGGTCAGGGTAAAAGGACAATCATATTCGTCTGATGCTGATGGCTTAGAGTGTGGGAACAGAGAGCGCTTTCTCGGGCAATGCCAAGACTAGGGCTGGGGGACGGTGATATGGTTGGGTGGTATTGATGCAGGTCCTGCATAATCGTAGACGAGATCAGCTAAATCGTACGATTTTCGGTAGGGTGAAGAGAGAAACACCACAGCTTGACCATCATCCCAAAGATGGCGATTTTACAGTCACCGATTGATAATGATGGGAGGAGAGTTGTTCAGTGATGCAGAGAAAACCCGGAGAAATGATAGGAACAAGACAAGGAAAGAATCAAGGATGCGGGGAAACGTGACGGGGTCATGACCAAGGTACAGAAACCTGAAGAGAACGGCAGCCTGAGGATAGCCAGGCAGGTCGAGAGAAAATATAGCACGTCCTCGTCTGATGTACTGTTAGTGATAACAAGCTGTGCAACTTCCTTCGAATTCCGACTCGCAACCACACGACCGGTGCTTTGGTGGCCGACTTGGACTAATACACACTAAGCGGATACTCGTAGAGACAAGCGAGTTTCTAAATCCGCATTTCTCGATAGATGTTGCTGCGAGCAAGAGAATAACATCGGGGTGGAGTCAACACTGCGCTTGATGGAGCTTGATTATTTTACGACAACGATTATATGTATGTCCAGTCTTCGGTCAGGGCGACCATGGCGTACGGCACCGAGGGTAAGGGGCCGTACAGAAAATTGAATAACTGCCCGAGTCGCGTTTTAGGATGATAGTGTCAAACAAGCATTGAGTAATGCTGCACACCTCGTTCGCCTCATAACCCGCTCACACGGATGCCGCCTACTGGCACCAGATAGATGGAGGTACCGGTAACCGGCAACAAATTCAGGAGAGAATCATGAACCAGCTCGTCCCGTTTGGAAAGACCGGTCCGAGTGGAGGCTTTTGGCAAATAAATATTACTCGGGCTTGACTCGGACCGACAGCATGCTGACGTTCAAGTTTTTCCTTGGGTTTTCCCGATCCTCCACTCCTCTCTCCATACAGGTGTACGCCGTCGTATCCATGGGCTCAATGTTTCTATTGTAACTGCTTGTTCTCTGTTGTTATGTGTTGTTAGAATATGGATTACTATTTTTAGAAGAGCGAGCTTGCATGAATATTCTCGCTCGTTCTCCCCATATTCCCCGGGATGCTTACTCATTTTATTAGTGATACATTACTCATTTATTCTAGTACATTCTACGTATTCTGGTAGTATAAAAGCTGTGTAGTTAGTAGGGCATCGCTAGCGCGATTGCCGTGAACATTAGTTTCTTTTGTGCTTACCTGTGAACCGCGAGTTCTTACATGTGTTATATTCCTTGTTTATTCTTTAACATTTGCTTCGCTACAGCTCACCGTTGGCTCATCGCATAATTTTCGCCCAGAGAATGAATGAGAACAACTGCTGCTTGCTGCTTTTATATTGCTGCCATGGCAAAATCTACCAAATAAATTATCCGGTCTTCTCCAGTGACTATCCGGCTCAGCTGAGTTACTCGCCAATACCTTCCCTGACTTTGGCGCACGAAATAAACCACGACCTCACTGCCTTATAACGTTGATACTCGAGGAGCTTCTCAGTCAAATCACCGAAGACCAGAGACACTGCTCTCAAATTGCGTGGTCTCTTTATTGCTGACCTCCCCACAAAAGCGTTCGCCAAAGAGTACTTACTGCTTGTCGAAGGTCGATACTACAAGAGTGAACAGTCGTCCAATGATGGTACGTGCTTGTAGTTATCACAGGCGACTCGAAGTCAGCACTGTACAATCAGTATGTATCACGAGTTCATGCTTTTCATGGGCTGACCGATGAGTCGTACACAGATCACCCTTCCCGTCAGAACTGCCCAACCTAAGCCCAAGTACCAGCAACAATACCCCAGCTCGGGATGTCCTTTTACCTACACCTGAGCGGCCTCACAGTCCGCATCGGAGCAGACAACGTTGAGAATGTGCCACGATTTACATAGATCGTGCTGTTACAGGTAGGGCTGAAATAACGCAAGAGTTATGATTCCTTTCTTTATTGCTAGACGACGTGGAGTCCGCGGGGTTGAAGAATGACGAAGAACAGCAGCAGATGAGGAGGTAAATGAAGCTAACATTTGTCCCAGAAGGATACACGGATGACGAAATAGAAATTGACGAAAAGGTTGAACCTAGATATCCATCCGAAAATAATTTCATCGAGGGACGCAAGATGCGGGGTAAATATTCAGTCACACCATTACGTTTATGGTGCTCCGATACCTCCCTGAACTCTTTAGGACTCTCAGGTGTAGACGTTTTGAATACTTTACACGCTGTGATCAATTCTGTCAGCAGGGGATTTGACTACTCCGAAGATACAAGGGTTCCGCAGAGTATTCGCACAGCCAACGGAGTAATGACCTATCGTCTCTCCCATCGCAGCCGGCTACTCCGGCACCACATTTGCTTTGCGAGAGGTTTAACCTGTATGTTACGGGGATATGGTAAGGGCCGTAAGGCTGTGCCGGGGAAAATATTAGGAGAGAGAAAGACGTTAAGGAGATCCTTTTTCATTTCAACAATCACGTTCGATATTGAACCTGGCACTCGGCCACTCCGCCCATAAAAATGTCACTAGGTGATTTAGAAGCAAATTAAGGATGAGGTTTAGAGACGTCATAGTTAGAACTGGATGGTTTACAAGCACGTTTTGAAGTATTATTATAGAATGCCTGCGCTGGCTCCACGGTTTCCATCAGTTGTCCAAAGAGTAGGCGGACGATTCATTTTCTGATACTAAAGTACACCTACCGCAGAGGAAGCATTCAAGGTTTTGTAAGTACGAGGTAACGCAGAAAACCATTGTGTTGGTCATTATTGGAAGAAACAGGAGAAGATTAGCAGTGTTACCTGGCATTTTGACCCATCGCGTGCTGGCGCCAACAGTACCGTAACCAAAAGTGGGAACTATGACTGATGCTACAATCAAGCTATAACTCGGAAGGTTCTCTGATTCGGTCAACTGATTCGAAACCGAGATCTACTTATTCGACTGGTTCAACTCACCATCGATACTTTAGACCAATTCGTCATTCCATTGATGAATTGTCAGTACTCCTAAATCCTTTGAACAAACTAAGACTCATCTTCGGCGATTCTGGCGTCCAGGGAAATGTTGATACCATACCGGGTACACACGGTGTCCACTCCTTAATAGAAGAAAGACATCACTGATCGGACAGTGGTTCAATCAGATTCAATTCCATACGGATCCCACAATCTTTTGAATCTTCGTGATCTGATGCCTAGAGTTCCGGTTGGATGATTTCGTCAATAGCGGTGCTCCTTTGGGAATGCTGTAGGATGATTGGGCGTCGTCAGAGCCGGTCCAGACCTTTGATAATCGAGAAACTCCATGCAGAAGGAAGAAATCTCTGGGAAGAGTTGTCTTTCTCGAAGAGAAAGGCTGTTATTTTCGGAGCTTAACAACATCTGCAAGGTCCATCTATCACTTTTGCGAGTGGTGTAAAGCATATTCATGTATTCCGTTGATAGATGCTCCAACCCCTTCCTCTGGACGTTCTACCTTTGTTACACGAACCAAACTGGCTCATTGCGGAGATTGATGAAGATCCGAGGTTCGAAGAAGGGGAGGGTCGCGGGCCGCTGCAAGACCTCATGCCTTATACGTCTACCTCTACATTTCTTGTGTCAGTCTTGTCCGTCCTACTTCAACACATTGAGCATATGTTGATTGGAGCGACCGTTACGATGTGTCTTTTAATCATGACGGCTGGCGGTATAGTAAAAGGACAAAAATGAACGCTTTGCGACGCTGCTACTCGCTATCGCCTTAACTCCCATCATCTACATCAGGAGCGTGTCTTCGGAACATAGCAGTCTTTAGTCGATAGAGCACAGACGGTATTCATTGATTCGCTGACAAAGAAGGGATTCGATTGATAGCACGAAACTTGGTAAAGGAAATGGGGGCTAACTATTTGTACAAGTAGTTCTGTTATACCGAAGCAGTCCGTTCACCGGACGCAAACAGTTCTCCAAACTTCTATACGGACCCACAAGCCGAAACACATTACACACGCCATGACTGACTTCCCGGTGTCATCTTACGGTTTCGCCTTCCAGTAAACTCGCGGAGGACGAGGATGACAAGCGTTCCCGCCAGAGTGAATGCACCATTCGTGAACTGACCGGTATGGTATCCGGACGCTCTCCTCACTTTGTAAAAATAGAGACTTAGTATTAGATTCAGCGAACGAGAAAAATAGCACAGCCTTTAGAAGCAAAATCATAGATGGTCTGTGCAGTTTTCCCGATAGTTACCATCAGAAGTATAATAAGCGTCGTCGCCTCCATATTGAGAAGATTGGCAGACAGTCATGTTATGAGAGACGGATAAAAGATGTTGGAAAATGTCGTGTTGAGACACAGCATGGGATAAGATGCTTTGCACGCCATAGGTGGAAGTGCGCCTGATATGTGACAATGTCAATCACTCGAACTGACAAGAAGATGACTCGAAATCAAAAGCACTCTGATTAGGAAGACGACACCTGAAACAACCATAGGAATACATACAGATATAGACCACATTTCATATCGATCTACAAAGACCGAACAGGTGACGGTCCTGACAAAGCCTTCGGCGACGGGTAGTATGGTTAACAGCTGGGCACATAGTCCTTCGTATCCAAGTCCATTCACGACAGTTGGGGCGAAATACTAGATACCCAAAAATGGCACGCAGACGGTGATGAAGGCGAGATAATGGAGGTACAGCCTCCAGTCCATCAGCGTGTCCTTGGTCGGCACCCATGTAATTCTGGTATGGCCCAAAGATGCTTCGCCTCTGAGGCGCTTGACGGCGAGTTCTCATTCTTTCACAGATAGCCGTGTCGCTGTCACCGGATACGCCGGAAAGAAGAAGTACGTTGCAACCGCCAGAGTACGTGATAGAGAGCTCTCGATGATGAATAACCACTGCCACGCTTCCAAGCCTTTGGGGCCGTTGATGAGACCAACACCATAAGCGATACTGCGTCAGCAAGTGAGGTACACGCGGCGATGAGAGAAAGGCGAAATGCACGCTCTTGAGGTCGGTACCAGCTGTTGAAAATAGATAGTTGGTAGGCAGTGTTCTGAAACACAAAAATAGAACTGACAAGGTAAGGAAGTAGATTATTCCAGGAGAGAACCCTGTGACGGTGATTAGACATTTAAATTTTACTGAAACTGTATAACATAGCATACCGGCCTCAAACGCCTCTAGCAAAAAGCAGAGACCCATCCGTGCGCTATAGCTCTTGACGCATGAGATAATCATATCCGTTCCGCCCCACCAGACCATGAGGAACGCGAACCAATGCGGAGGAGAAAAATGCTTGAGCATGTAATTTGACGGGGTCTCAAACAGCGCGTAAGAAATAAAAAAACACTGTCAGCACAGTGGAAAACTGCTCGCTTGTCATGTCGAGGACTTGCAACAATGAGTCACCGTTGTCGGCACTGAGGATTTTCGCATTTCCCTGACAGATAATTTAATTAAGAAAGCGATCAAACATCATCAGATCGGCGTACGATATTGGCGCGCGCGAGGAAATTGAGGGTGTGAATGAACATGCAACTAGGTACGATCCTGAAATCTAGCTGGCAGTGAAGTGAACCAGCATCGGCTCACTGTCCTGGTTCGATAGGAATGGTAAACATACCTGTTCTCACCGAAACGGTCCACAGCGATGAGTTCTTCGAGTGATGACGGTTCCCTCATCACTTGAAAGATCTTCTCGAAGTCGTTGTCAGCGGATGAGAAGGGAGCGGTATCCGTTTCTTCCATTCTGGAACGGGTTTCAAGTTTAGCATTGCTGGCATTCATCGATACTTCTGGTTGGCAAGGGAAAGACACGTTCCCTTCCTGATGCAAGGAAGGTGGGAGTGCTGGACCACTTGCAACCATCCTTCGCGCTATGAAGGTGATGTTTATGATGTTCGAAGCTCGAACTGATGCAAGAAGCCCGCAATGAGGCTGTGAACTTCCATGTCAGTGTAGGAGCTTGTGAAAACGATTGCCACCGCCACCTCACCCTTCAGTGCTCGACAGTTCGAGATGTCGAGTCGCCGTATACAGATCACAGCAGCTTCATTCACTTGCGAGACCCAAAGGAATGAATCGCGAGGCGAACGCCGCATTCGAAATTGTATCAGGAGGCCTTGTGCGGCTCTAATAGTGATCACCGTCAGCTTGATGCTCGATGTTCTTGTTTTTGATGTACTTACCGCTCAGGCAGATGTCACAGCCTACAGCCGGTAATCCAAGACGGGCGTTGTTCCATTTGCGCTACATTTGGAGTATTTACTAGAGAAGCTTGATCTTCCTGTCTAGGAAGATCAACAGCAAAATCAAATCCATATATAAGGATATCGTATGCAAGGCAAGGAAATAGACATACGCTAGTGGAAGTCATGGTCGTCTCCGCCGACACATTAGGAGTCCCCGTATAATATCAGAAATACTGATTGTACATTGCGAAGAAGATGAGGTAGGGTGACGTTCGTGTCGCCTTGATAAAGCGTTGAGGTGCCGTAGATACCCATAGCCTAGCTACGGCGTCAGGCCAAAGAAGAAAAAGAACCGGACGAGAGACATCCTTGACTAATGCCACAATGGTACGAATCGAAGAAACCAGGCATCGTAGTTGTTGCGCAAATCTCATGCACATTCCGCTGCATAAGGTCGCATATATGTTGTCCTAAATTCTGTGGATGGTTAATGACTGTGAAGGAGGTTGTATCGTTGTACTCACAGCGCGCAGGCATCATCTTCTCAGCCGATTACAACATCGAAGGCAAAACCAGTCGCCCGTCATGACGTTCTACCAAGGAATGAGATATGAGCGTTCACATAGAAATAAATATTACCGACCGTCAACTTGAACACCTGTTGCTGCTTCCGACAAGTGGTAGGTACCTCTAACAGATGCTGATACCGGGAACTTGTACAGAGTCTGGTGTCTGAATGAAGTGGACTGCTGCGATGTTAGCAGAGAGGACGTCGCCCAATTGTGGAAAAGACTGACGGATGTTGAACATTTGAAGGTAGGTAGAACTGGGTTCCCAAGATGATCGAACGGCTGTCGCAGTTTAGGTATAGTGAAGGTTTGACGGTCGTATCATTATAAGGCTTCCGGCAGAGGTAAGGGAAGGAAGTGCGAGAGATCCGACATGACCTGGAGTGCATTATATGAGAATTGCTAGGTCAAGAAACTTAAGACGGACGCACCAAGAATTAATCGAGCGATAGACGGAGATGAACATCACATGCCGGCCGTTCCTTCAGCTGGACCAGTAGAAATGAATTGATGAGCTATCTTATTGGAAGACAGGTAGCACAGAATTTACCCTATCTTCATAATGATAGCCCTTGCTAGATCATAATGAATGAGTTCCAGTATATTCACCTTGTATATTAATACTCATTTCGGAAATTTGGATATTAGAACAGTTATAATATCCTCAGAGACGTCCATTTTGTTAGGGGAGAAGCGCTAGTTTTGTACGATGAAGAACATGAGAAAAGTTGCAACATGGGTCATTGCAACTCACTGCATAGACAATGTATTCAACACCACATATTACATCACTTCGTACGCAAAAATGGGCACCGATATTTTGAAGAATTTCAAGTGCGACAAGGCACCTTTGAGCGTAGGCACCCTGATGTCTTCTTCAGCTTGATATTAATACTCCTTTCGATGGAAGGTGTTTGCAAGAGAACCCGCGAGAGGAGACCGAAGGCAGCTGAGGAATGCATGGATGAATATGTGGTTCAAGTTCAAAACTGAGGCCGGGGCCTCGGACCGGAACAGGCTTGTTGAGTCACAGTCACAGTCACGGCTCTCTTGCTCTTTTCTCGACTATCATGCTCGTTATGCCCGTTCTTGATACTGCCTTCTTCTGCTGCCGAAACTTCAGACGCACAAAGTCATACTTTTTTCTCTGTTTTGAGTAACTGGTCCTAATGGTCTGTCGCTCTGTGTTTGATAGCTGCGACTTCGGCGGAGAGGGCTTGTCATAGCTGCGTCTAGTATCTCGAGCGCGCGCTACTAGCTAAAGATGGTGCGTATCTGCGCCCTGTGCGTTTGACTGTTCTGAGAGACCGGGCTTTCTTGACAGATGGCCTCTGTGCAAGTTCGGACTTTGGCGCGCGCGTTGGTATCATCGTCCCTGGGTTTTAGAGAAAGCCGTAACTCAGAAATCGAAGCTGTGAAAGAGTCAGTCAGGGGTATGCACTTTCTTCCTTGTCACGCTATAGCTCACTGTCAAATAAAGCCGCAATTCCCAGCCTCACAGAATCCCAATGCCGCATAACCAACCTCGTCGATGTCGTTACGACTATTGCTGTACGGCAGCTCGATGTTGGCTTCAGGATGATGGTACTCTACTGCGAGGTAGATCCGATTCCCAAGGCGTTTCGTTGTCTAACACAAGGCTTCAGACCGTTCACGTCATTGAATTCACAAATGTCACTACAATCTAGCGCGGACCCGCTCAACAGTGTCTCTCGGCCACTGACATTCCGAAGGTGAAGGCCCCTATGTCCTTGTGCTACTCGGCGGAAACATCACTTTGGGAGCTCTCGTTATGGTTGTGCGGCGCTGTGAACGATGGCATCGAACTCGTAGGGAAGACGAGAGAGTTGGCCATTGGTGGAATGCATGTCATGTTATTTACCTTCGAGGAACGCACCGCTCATCTAAAGTCTCATGTAGAGCATGGCGAAGCTCATCGACATGGTCATTGGCCGACGACATCTATATCCTTGGACCATCTCCCATGTAAATGTTGCAACATAACTTTGTATGGACGAATCGAGAACAGAGAACTCCGTTATGAACCATACCTTTTCGACTGGGCAAGACATATACTTGGTGCAGTTTATCACCATGGCACCATGGCGTCGCAGATGAATTTTAACAGCCGACGACATTGTGGCGATCAGAAGGATGTACGTCATTTACTTCGTCTAAAGACATGACTAACCCTCATGTAGTGCCATCCCCCGGACTCGAACCGAAGCTTTAGACCCTGATGTAGTACACTGTAATCATTGGTAAACCAGTATCGCACAATTATAATAGACATACCATCTACAAAACCGAGAAAAGATAATATCAGCAATATGAGCTGACCCACGGAATCGATCCATGAGCAACCCCTGCGCCATTGTGCCCTTGATCTACTTCGGCGTGAGAGCTCAGACTCCAGAGCGGAGGATGTCGAATGGCATATGCGTTATCAAGGTGACGAAGGGAGAGCATTTCCTATTCCCTACCCAAATTTATACCCACACGACTGCGAGTGCAGTGGCCGTGGCATGCACAAAAATCTATACAGCGTGTCCATGAACGAGCACAGTGGACTCGAACCACTTGCGTTTCTCAGACGATTTGCCCGATCGTCTATGATGCCTTGCCATTGGAGCTACTAACCCTGTATTTATAATATTTGCATAGAGAGATAAATACTTGCAAAAAAGGTGATAGCCATCACGACCTATCTCTAATCAGAGCTGACCTACGGAATCGAACCGCCGATGTGTACCAGTATGCCCTTGATCCATGTCGGCATGAGATAATGAGGAGGGATGAACGTGAGGAAGAGCACAAGCTTCGAATCGAATAGTCCCTTTGTTCTTGAATCTTGTACTGCTATCATAAGGCAAGTTAATTCAAAATTCAAAGTTTCGGAGGCATAAAGCCCAAAAGTCTTTCAGCTCTAACCACCGTCTTCGATATAATCGTGACATGACCGATCTCAATCTGCTCGACGCTGATCCTGTTACGTCGACTCACCTCAATTTATTGGCAGAGAAAAATCGTATCTTGTCTTGTTCCAATTTATGGCTCGATGGCCTTTATGACGAGCATGGATACAAAGACGAATAAACCCCAAAACCTCCCAAAAAAGCCTCAGTGTACCTCACTACTATTGGGCGGAGTCGAACCGTTGTGTAGATGAGACCTCTACAGCTAATCCAGGATGACTGCACGGGACTCCGATGGGAAAGACTCGTGTTTGGGTATTCGGGACGTATCATGAATTATGAGGAAGGGTACGGGTGAATGGATCTACAATTAAGAACCTCGTAGGTACAGGTACAAGTTATGAGTCTGAAAACATGCTGCCAGCTCAGAGCCGTTGATTACTGACACTGCTCTAGTGCTATGACCGGTAGTCGATATGGAGGATATCCAAGTCATCGATGTGTTGGTTGACGCCAAGTCGCAGAGGACCTTTGCGGGGAGCTCTGCCAAGGGAGAGCTAGAGGCGCTTGGTCTTGAGTCGATCCTATTGGCTAACCCACTTGACTAGTGTTGCCAACGACTGGACAATATGTATAGATATAAAGGAGTCATTCATATATGAACAACAGTATATGAACGAAATATCGAGCTCAATTCAGGGATTTCCCCATCTGTATGTGACACCACTTCTAGTTGCACTTGGTATCATAGTAAACTTGAGTTGCAAAGCACTAGCAACAATATTAGACAGAATTACATATAAACCGCATACGGCATACCTCGTAATTATCAGCATTGACAACCTGTTCGGTGGCAAGAAGCCTCTGGTCGTTAGCACATCCATAGCTGACGTCGAGAGTGTCGGAGGTCGCATGAGTGAGCTAAATAATAGAAACAGTAAGCTTGTGTATCAGCGTATATTTACAGTTCTATCACGTACCTCATGGAGGACAGTACTACCTCGAATATTTCGGGCTGCCACAGTAGTGTTTCCAGCCCGAAGATCGGTCTGGGGAACCTCACTGAAAAAGCGGTCACAGAAGTACACCTGGCCAAACGAACAAATCATCAGATCTAGTCGGTTATAACATGCGGATGGTGCAAGACGTACATTCGTAGTGGCTATGGCCGTATAGGCGACAGTACTGCCTCTACAAACACCAAATGGATCCGTGCAGTCCATTCTGTGGGATTTTTGAGAAGTTGAATAGGATGATCAGTGGAAATGACATACGTCCTTGTGTTTGATGTTTCATTTGCGACTCTATCAAACACCGTGAGAACTTCGGCTGTCGGAGTAATGCCGTAGTAACCGGTGTAGAGAGAATTGCTACCATTCGCGGAAATATAAGCAGACGCAATAGAAGCTAGGGTTTTCCCTTCGGTATAACTGAAACATATTTTAGAGGACTTCAGGCAAGATATGAATCGTGCTTGTACCAACCTTGCGTCGATAAAGCTCTTTTTGGAATTATCAGTGCAGATATCAACTGCACACTTATCCAGGACGGGGAGATTCCGTTTCACCAAGTCTCCGGAGATGTTCACATTGACAGAGCTGGAGGATACCTAAACCTGATCAAGACTTATGCCAGAGGTGAGTCTAGTCTTGGGACTGATTATCTGGAACGATGTAACAGGTGAGAATGTGAATGCACCAGCACCAACTGAAGCAAAGTCAAAGAGTGCAGATACTTTGTAGAGATCATATAATAAAATTAGCAGATATCAATAGAGTCTATTGATATCTGCTAATTTTATTATATGATCTCTACAAAGTATCCGCACTCTTGTAGTATGCACCCTGTCGGACAGGGTGCATACTACTTACAATCATGTTCAGCAGTAACTGACTGCCCAGAAGATATGAATGCAAATGCAGAATCATCAATGTCTTCCAAAGAAATTGAAAGCTGCAAAAACAAGTAAATCGGGTGCCCGAGAGAAATCAGATTGTGGAAAACTACCTTTATCCCGGTGAAAGGAACAGCCACTCCATCCTTAGTGACATTGAAAGAGCGTGTCGGAAGAATGTCATCCAGAATTGTTCCGTACTTCAAGATCTTCACTGACTCTGAGCCAGTGTTGGAAACGGTTGCCGTGAACTTGAGATCGTCGATACTGGTGATATTGGAGGCTGGTCCAGACAGAGAGACGCTAAGACTAGCATCTCTCTTGAGAGGACTGGTGAAGCCGTATAGGGTGAGACTGAGAACGATCAAAGAAGTGAGCATGCTATGAAGTCGAGAGAGTACTTGACTGGTTATTGAAGTAGTGCTCCTGCTGCTTAAATATCATTTGATATCGTTCTATGAAATCATCGTGACAAAGGAAAACATACATGACCGACGTTAGTGATAGAGCGAAGAGAGATAGATGTCCGGAGGTGGTTTCAATGGGGAATGCCGGGCCTCTGTGCCATAGGCCATCAACATTCAAGTTCTTGGCACCAGAAATAGCTCTCACGCTTTCGCCCTTTCTATCGTAAAGGAAAATCCAAGGTGACCTTTGAGAAAGAAGAGTGGTTTAATTCAAATAATTCGAGCTTCTTGATTATGAGGCCCTCACCTGTGATGTAACTGCTGTCCAGGCGTCTTGCCTTAGTACTGGGAGTGCTGGGAGTCTGGTTGCCAGAACAGGAAACACCGGGAGTCATGTCGCGCTAGGTGAGCCCTCAAGCTTATCGGTATACCGACAATTCTCATTGTCACTGATGCTAGTGCCGCACCTCCAGGAGTTTCGGAACTCTTCACGCGACTTCAACGGGGGGGAGGAACTTACTAAGTTCGGCGCTATCGTGGGAAAGAATGCCCTGTGGATGATCGGGACTTGAAAGAAATTGAAACCTCACAAAAGCTCTGGACAAGGGGTGGATGCAGTGATTCATAAAACTTCAATTATTCGTCTGGTATGACTGTGTGAAGCTTAGTTCAAATATCCAGGCAGAAAGACTCACAAGTCCTCTGGAATCAATGCGGACGCCGGACATGTATGCCGACCGATGATATCACGTTCCAGTTTCATGAGAAAAAACTACAAATATAAAGGAAAACGTTAATTACAGCACAAAGATACTGTACCTCGGGGATTATCTATCACCTTTCAGGAACCATTGATTATAAAGCTCGGTCGTTTCACGAGAATACCAAAAACTCACAAGTACAATTTGGAGCAGTATGGAAGCACGGTGCTTGGCTCATCCGAGTGTGCTGAACGTCAACTTTGGTTCACATTCCGATACAGCTGCAAGAAAAGAAATCAAGTACACGTCGTGACAGGAAGATTGGAAAAATTTAACTTGGCTAGCCATTCAGAGTTTAGTATATCTCGAGGACCACAGCTCCCTGTAGCGATTCCTTGGAGATGCACCTTGAATGAACAAGTGAGCTAGGCAACATTCCCGAAAGCAATATGATGACCAAGAATTAACAAAATTACCTTGGAGAGCTATTCAGAGAGCTATATGTCTCTCTGCCTGTAGTGCCTCGAGTGAATGGGTGGACACTGAACTTACCATTCTCTCTACAATCGGCTGTCAATGAACGACTGAGAGGAGAAATTTTCCATGCCGGTGCGGCAGAGCCTTTATCACCTCGCCTTGCCATGACCTCCTCCAATTCGTCCCAGCTGTTTTATCTTAACTCAGTCCCAGTAAAGCAAAGAGCGAATGAAGCACAAGGAAACACCCAGACAGTAAGAACGGAGAGTGTGATCGAAACCAACAAGTGCCAACAACGAAGCAGACGGCCGGAACGTTACGGCCCGGTATACCTACCGTTAATTTACTCTCATCCTGCATGGACTTCTTGTTAATGGGCTAGTGCGGAATCGCAATGCGCAAGTTTTCTCTTTTATCACAGGCGTAAAAAGAGATCGATAGTCGGCCTAGAATGCTACGCCACCAGCTACCTTCCACCCAAATATGCTGAACTCGCTTTAATCATATCCGCCGCCCTCTCCGCAAAAATATACACCGGCGCTTGCACATGTCCTGACGGCACGAACGGCTAAACATGCAATGTCACCAAAAAAGGCAAAGAAAACCAAAGAAAAACACCCACAAAAACCGAAGCATCCACAACCCTCACCCCCTCCGCCCCCTTCAACGTCAAATCTGGGTTCACAACTCCCCAATCCGCACCAAAGGGAGACATGCTCGCTGTCCCAACCGGGTGATAAGCACTGGACGCTCGATCCTTGATATCACCCTAAGTCGTGTTCGTCACAATCTCAAGGATATACCCCTCCCAAACTCTCGAGTTGACAAACCTCTTTATACTCTCGATGGCGTAGTGCAGGATAGCTAGGTCTTGTGGGTGGGAGAAGTAATTCGGGTTGATGAGCGGTGGATCCAGAGGGTTTGTACTGTTAATGCGTACACTCCCGCCTGTATCAAGTCAGATGGAGGAGAACATGCTGTAATAAAGCCTAAGACGTACGTGATCGAGGACAGAGCACAGAAGGTACGATCACAAAGAAGTTCCCCGTCTCGGGAGGAGGGTCACTAGTAACACCGTTCTACAGCAAAGAGTCAGTTTGTAATATAAATCATGGAACATTTCATCGCACCACAAACGCTAGTTCGTAATGAGCAGTCTCATTTCCCGCGCACGGCTCTTCAGTCCAAACACCTGCATTATTGGGTACACGAAGAAACCCGAGCTGATTTATCAAGCCCGTCGTCAAAAAACCCGTGCGATTGGATTTCCATTCCACCAAAGAATCACGCTGAAAAGTGGCGTTCCGGAAATATACGTTCTCAACCGCCTTGGTGTCGTTGATGGTGAACGGAACATCCCATCTAACATGGTCAGACAAATCCTTGCCAACGTCGCTGAGGTTCAGAGTGGACGGAATTCCTAGATCTGCAAGTTCACTGCTGTCGCCTATACCAGAATGGAGGAGTATATGCGGTGTTCCGATGACTCCCGCAGAAAGGATGATTTCTTTCAGGGATGGAGGCGTCAGAATGTGTTTGGTGACTACGGAAAAGTTGACATCAGTAGGCCGCAGTGCAAACGAGAGGAATTATCATATACCGCCAGCATCCTGAGTAAACTCGACAGCGCCAAATGTTAAATTTGCCTTACTGAATGGGAGAATTCGGGTTACATGGGCGCGGATAAGGATGTGCAGATTGGGCCGGTCAATGATCGTCGGCCCAAGATACGACGTCTCTGAACTGCTGCGAGTACCGTGTCCAATTGTCATAGATGCCCAACCTGTGTCGTACTTAGCAAGAATTCACAGTCAACTATAAGAACTCACCAATGCCCAGCTGGTGCCCCGAATTGTAATCCAAGTTGAAAGGGAACTCGACAGGAAGCTCCGTCGTCGCCTTGATGACACGCCCATCGGCAAGTCGCGGATATCCCGGGAGAGAGACTGAGGTGACCCCATCGAAGCCATGGACCGAAGCATTGAACTGGCCGGTGGTATTATGGTGGTCAGCAGGAGCAACGAAGTGTTCGTTCTGACGTAGCAACTGCAAGATCAGCTACGAGGTTCGAAACAAAAAGAAAGTTACGACAGACCTTGCGAATATATGGCTGCAGAGCATCCCATCGCCATCCCAGGTCACCACTGATCTGAGCGTAACGATCATAATCTTGGAACGAATTGCGGGTATATGCCATAGCATCTGGGAGCGAAGTCATGTATCTATTCCAGCTCGCGGGACCAGGGCGACGTACTGATAGCACTACTTCCACCCAAACCGAATCCACGGGGATATGCTATCGAGCGTCCGTTCAAGCTATCCTGCTTCGTCGTGGTGAAGTTCCAATCTAATGGTGATCCTATTACGCGAGAACAATAGAATGCTCCTTGGGTCTCTTCCCTATCCTCCACTATTTCGTAGTGGAAACTGTGCTTCTTGCCGCGTAAACCCTTCAACCTCTTCATTCCAAGATGCTCCGGCGTCGCCTTGCGTTTTTTGCAGTTCACCCAGAGCTCGTCCTGGCCATAGCAGGCGTTGTGGTGCCAGTCATAGTTCCCCTTTGAGGGAACCTTCATACCGTCAGCATGTCTGCGCAATGTGTTGCAAAGCCATGTAGGATTGTTCAGTTTCTCCATCTTTGTGAGATACTTTTCCTTCGTGGTGCGCGCGGCCATCTGGGGAGACAATGATGCTAAATACTCATACATGTCTTCATCATCTGAATTAAGTTCTGGCTCATATCGGACAGTGAAGACGTCGACCAATTCTCGCAGCAGCTGATGGAGACCGTTGACGTCGAAAGAAGGCAGAGAAAATGCATTCATCAAGACGCTGTGTTTGTTCGGGCCGCCGGTATCTCCACCAGGCTCAGTTACGGCTTCCTCAAACCACACCTCCAGATATTAGTGCAACATAACGGGTGAAAGTGTGTTGCAAGTATAGTGGAGAGCGACATTCAGGAGAACCCACAGGGATGATTCTCTATCGTCTATCAGGGTATTTGTGGTGCCGAGGGAAGTCAGAAGCCGAGCAGATAAGAACTGCCATATGCCCTGAATGATGATAGTAAGGAAGGGTACGGAGATTGCATAACAAAAACTTACAACTCTTCCCATGCGTCTGTCGCCATCTCCGTCAGTAACAATGACGCAATGATCCCAATCAATGAGGAATCCTCGGTAATTTGTGGTGATCATAATGTTTCCGACACTGACATCTCGGTGCACAATGCATGCCCTGTCGAACGCCACCTGGTGAGCTATATAGAAAATGATGAATCAAAATAGTCAGTTCTGAGGAATAATAAAAGGCAGCATAAGGCATACCTTCCATGGCATCTGCGATACAGGTCACCAAGTACTTGACGTTACCGAAGGTCGTCATCTCTCTTACGATGGTTTTCAAGAAAATTCGATGAACCTGCAAGGTCGGGAGGCAGTAGATCTCGTTGTCGGAGAGTCTACGCGACGACGACCCTCTGGTATGCTCCTGTCTCCTGTGTGATCGTAAACAGGTCAGGAAGATCTCCCCCTGCCTCCATCTCAGCGACATAGGGCACTTGGTGCTGGGCTAAAAGACGGTAGATATCCGATTCTTTCGCAATCTCAGGTGACTCTTCACGCCAATAATCCTTCATGAACAGCAACCCTCCACGAGGCTTGGCAGGATCACGAAGATCAGGACTATCCAAATCGATGGCCAGAGACCGACGAGTCGATCGCCCAAATGGTGAGAATGCGCCGTCATCGAACTTGGGAGCACACACCACGAATCGCCGAGCTTTCCCGTCGAGGGTCATGTCGATGCGGAACAGCTTCTGGTCCTCAATATTGATCTCTTTCTTCACCCTAGACCCCCATTCACCATGCCACATATCCGTGTCGTACAGGCAGAATTTGGCCCGAGCAAGTATGGCGTCCGGGTCGTCATCAGCAATGGAAGAAACAGTCTGTCTTTCCCTCGTTGGCTAGGTGTTAACTGTGCAAATCGCTTGTAAAATTCAAAGATCAGGGTCGTTTCCTTGGTGCAGTCGAACCTCTTGCTGACGATGGCCCCGGATCGGTCCCAGCGTATGAATCGCGCAAAGCGGCCACAGATGAGATTAGTAAAGAGGTGGGAGCGATATTGAAGCATCATCGTGACGCCGGCATGGAAAGATATCTATCCGCGTGTCTCGCGTCCCTTGACGGAGTTGTTCTCGAAAGGAAAAACCGATTGCATAAATGGGGCCGGCCGCGCAGGCTCTGCAACGTCATCCGGTACCGCCTCAGCGACGTTGATATCTTCGTCTCCTTCTTCTTCTCCCTTCGATTCATCGTCTTCGTCGCTTTCATTCTCCTCTACTTCATCTTCATCTTCCTCCTCCTCCTCCTCTTCATCGGCAGGGGACTCGTCGTCTTCCAAATCAACGAAAGCATCGTAATTATCATGCGCCTTCAATTCTGTCTGTGTCCATGAGCCAGTGATTGGTGATCTGGTCTTCTAGCATGTTGTCCGCGTCGTACACTCCGATATCCACTGCAAGATTATCACAGTTTCCATCTGGGTCACGCAACTTGCCCAGTTTGAGGGATATCGACAAGTAGTCCGGGTTCTCTATATTCTGAAGCGACATGAGCCAGTTATTTAGAGCCTTGACCTGAGCACGAGTAGTTAGTAGATGAAGAATACAGGAAATTGTTGAATGACGGACATATCTCTTGTACATGTAAGACTCACGCAGGCCTACCATGGAAATGAGTATATTCTTCTTGGACTTGCTTGGTTGCTTCCGCCTGTAGTTGTGCGGAGTAGTATCGTTCCAAGGCATGTACTGCTTCAGGAAAGCTCTCGCTGAAGGACCAGAAATAAAATGACCGCCCGCTTCGCTGGCTATATCTCTGTGTCTCTGTCGAATTTTCGGAGTATCAAAAGAGAATTTTCTATGCCCTTGGGTTTTTTTGACAACGGGAGTGTGGTCCATGCTGTATTCAGGGAGGCGAGGATGGTTCGGAGGACTAACGCGACCGGTGGCGCTGGCGGTGGAGTCAGCTGGCAACTGAAGGGTAGATCATTTTTAAGGTCTGCACGGAGGAAAGGTTTGTGAGTGAAAGCGAATGAGGACCGGAAGAATCGCCGCAAAGCCAACGCGAACAACGATTATCCATTGACATAAAAAGAGAATTACCTAGATAGAACAGTAGTTTGTTCCCCGCAGCGTTATATGACCTTGCATAACAGGTAGTTTGACACAATAAAGTGGCCTAGTGAATTCGCGGTCACAGTGCAAGTTCAAGTTGGCGATTTCAAAATCCGACCACGGGTTCGCGTCACTTTATCACGTGTTGACGCGACGAAGCTGAATTTGGATTGAATCACGATAATCTATTGTTCCAACTTCATACTTGCCTCCAAGAAAAGAAATATGCAGCTCCGGACATTAGACAACTGTAAGGACTCTCAAAACAATTGGTGCCATTCAGATGTAGTCGCGAACAGCGCCGGCTGCAACTTGGCTAGGTTCAAGGCTGGCTATCGGCACAGGTAAATTCGGTTTCCTTCTGCCAGTTGCTATACCAATGGCGTCTCCATATGTTTCCCAACTCTTATGATAGTAAAGTAAGTAGCAGTGGATGCAATGGTTCGTCAGACTGCCATTATACAGGCCCAAAATTTCCCCAACAACTGTGGCGCTGGAGTTGCGGGAGAGGCGGTAGCAACTTTACACCGTTGGCTGCGTGATAAATTTGAGATAAGTAAGCAAGCAAGCAAGTGGAGAACTTCGATGGATTGTCTTTGTTATCTGTTTCTGAGTCGCTGACATTACCAGAGCATATTAATCTCAAAGATCTTCTCGTCCTGCTAAATCAGAAGACGTAGAACACGACTCCTGTAAAAAATAATGCTAACATCGCCAGAATTGAGACAGTCTGCATCAATTTGAGCTGGAGAATTTCGTACTACCTTTGCGGAAGAACCTGATATCGTACAGGTGGAAGGTCTCATGGGTGTCTGATCTTGAAGAATTCATGCAAAGGGACTGGATATCCCGAGGTAATAATAAGTATACAGTCATGAGGGTATCTGAGTGTTAAAGAGAGCGAATAAATATAGGATAGCAATCAAAGCAGAGCATATCTGTTCAAAGATCAGACGGGGTGAAGAAGGGACAGAGAGAGATACGCGTACACGACTGATAAAATGTATTGGAAGGGACATAAGGAGCACCAGAAATAGGAAACGACCGGGAAAGGATAATAAGAGAGCAGCCAGGTCGTGTATAACCAGAGGATGAAGTTCAGAGTAACGTTGCACTCGCAAGACTAGCCCGAAGGATAATACTAAATAGAGAGGTCGAAAGGATGATAGAAAAATATTGAGTATACGCCGGAAAATATGCAACAGAACAGGCGAAAATGTACTCACTCTGAGTGGGCAAATTTCAATGATCAATAACTATCATTTATAAGCATTAAAAAAGAAAACAACGCGCCTTCCACGGTGGTCATTACGGACGGAAGCGTAGCAATATCAGTCGCTGTAATTACACTAAGATATATGCATAAGTACCAAACAATGAAGACCATGTTAAACATACTGAATATAGATCTCCCTCTCCGCCAGTTCCGAAAAGCGAAGCTTGAAGTAATCACGACCTGCCCGGGCATCACCTGGTTCACCATCAAAGTCCTGAAAGATACATCAGAGAAGGCTATACAGACGCGCGGGAGAACATCACATACCGGAAAGAAGTTTTGGATATCAGAGTAAGGTATTTTCTTTTCGAAGAGGTCGTTCTTGTTCAAACATAAGATCTAAGCACACGCGGATATGAGCTTCAGTCATTGCAGGAGTAGTTGGACAGTCCTACGTACAATCGAAGTGTGCTTGAACCAACGCGAATGGCATATAGTATCCCATACGGTCATCGTTTCTTGCATTCGATTCTATCAGATTACATCAGAGCGGTGATTTGCCGAGTCATCACGGTGAATCACTTACTACACTGTCATCTTCCTCCAGGCCCTGGTCATAGCAGTTCAGGCTGACGAGGAACAGGATACTCGTCACGTCCGGGAAACAGTGTATCCACTTTCTACGCTCAGACCTTTGGCCACCGACATCAATAATCGTGACCTCGCGTTCCCAGAGATGAAAGACTGTTTCCGTGATCCCAATCGTCCGAACACAGCACTGCATGATATCTTGTTCAGTTGGCTGATACCGGGGGTCGAATAACCGATCGAGATCCCAAAAAAAATACCCCAAACTACGCCCTGTAAGAGTGGCGTAACGAAGAACGGGGGATGGAGGACTCACTTTTCAGGCAAGGCTGCTTCATTTCCTCTCTGCCAGGCTTTCTGAACATCAGGATCACCCCATAGCGCCTTGAGTCGCTCATAGTACCATCTCGGGAATGGCTCACCGTCCCTTAAACGAGGCCAATGCATGTTTCCCATGTATATCATCGAGTCGAGGATACAACTCTCTCCATTGACAAGATTGTCAAGCGTACTCTGCCGATAGTATTCGATTTCTTCCTGTGAGAATGGCATGTTGCACATGAGACACATTTGCTGTCCGAGTCGCAACGAATGAATATTGTATAGTACAAAGTTAGTAGAAGCGCACCTTTAGCAGAGTTGTCTTTCCGGAATCCCCAGTTCCCAATAGCAGAACCTGTATATGATGTGTGAGCAGGTAAATTCGAAGCACGGTACCGTATACGTACCTTGACTTGCTTTTCATTGGCCTGACGGCAGTCTCGCTGGTTAGTACTGAACACACGCCCAGCTCACGAGCTGAAGCACACCTTCTCGAGTTCCCCCTCGGCTTTCCTATGCAAGTCCTTGTCTGCATCCGTGACCTCGCGTCGAGAGGACGAGCATATGCCCATTGCGTTGATATGGGGCGGGTAACCGCTGGTGAAAGAGCACAAACACGACTAAGCGCCGAGCTCCAGCGATAATAGAATAGGTACATGGCTGTGGTGCTTACCAAGACTTGGCGTCAATTATTTTTGTGACATTTAACTTTTGATCAACTTAGGTGATAAAGCGGGGCGCCGTGGCAAGTCCGAGACCTCAAATAGTTTCTTTGGTGAACTGGTAAGTTATATTTTACATGCCATACAGTCAACACAAGACTATTTTAACGCGATCTTTCACGATACCAAGCTGCCCCAGCTTCTTTAGATCATCGTTCCACATATTGTTCTCCATACTAATCACCGACTCTTTCTGGAATATCCCATTCTGCCTCCAGTGCCCGACCACCAAAGAGACGTCATTTTCATGTAGGAGAGTGTACAATCCATCGCGGATCAAGTAGTGGTGTTTGGCGAAGATATCGATTGTGTGGGTTACCCCGGTATGATCTGTGAGAATCAACTCTCCTCGTCGAGGAAGCCCTGCGTTTGAAGCATCAGCCAATCCCCGGATATGAGCAGGGTAGATACAGTTTCCCTCGAACCAGTCGATATCTGTCTCCTCCATCCGATTACCGGGTTTCTACAAAATAATGAGAATCAATCGAACTTTTTTTCGGCTGCCCAATATAGTAATTCATAGGTACCGGTTTTCTTTCAACAGCGACTCAACACCAAGAGCAACAGTAATGATAGAATAAACAGTTTAGAATTGATTCCCGAAGCAGTACACAATGTTTTGGTGTCATCAAGTCATGCAATGGAGCCTGCAGTGATGAAGAAAATACCGCTGATTTGGGATTTGACAGACCAGATTAGCGGATTCACGAGGATCACAAACCAAAGGCCTGGGTGGTGATATCAGAGCCTTTGATGGATAATTCGGAGGAATATAGCCCAGTTGTACGTCAGGAAGGTATAATTCGCAGTGCTTATGCATTTGGTGGAATCCAAGATGGGGAATTACTATATTGGGCAGCCGAAAAAAAGTTCGATCGATTCTCATTATTTTGTAGAAACCCGGTAATACTCGACCAGATGCTAGGATCAGTCGGGAATGTCGTGTCCATTACCTGTGTGCACGATGGTCGCCAATATTTTCTTCCGTCCCCAGGCTCGGGGTAGCAGAAGAATAAATCCGCACGGAAAGAGTACATCATGGCGTTAACGAGTTGTTCCCATGCGCTCTCCTCTGACTGGTTTGCATCGTATATCGTGATATACCGCAGCCTGAGACGGTACACCAAGCCTGCAACTCTGTCGATAGGATTCGTCGACACCCGTGTCCGCATCTGCAATATGATGTCTTTTGCTGAAAACACATCCCGCAATGATTCCAGTTTGTTACGGAACATCGTTCGGGTGTTGTCATCGCTGGTCTCACCTGCGATGATCGCTTGATGTTGATATCTATCTCTGGTCTCCTGAAGTGTCCAGGCTCGATTGAACCAACTCCTCTCACCTACCAAGTACGCTGGTGCCCAGCTCAGTGGCTGACCTAGTCCACAGAGATAGCACACCATCTGCACTGAGCTTTCATACACATACCCGATCGTGGGTACGTCGAGCTTCCACTCGTCGATACGGAGAGCCTCCCCGCGGAGATCCTCCTCACGGTAATCCTCCCTAAAATCGTACTTCTGCCTCAGACACAGAACATCGAGCCATACATACTCCACTCCGAGGACTCCGAGGAGGTTCAATAACTCTATCCGGATCAGGTCGAGGTCGGCGTCGTTCGGCAAGGGCACGGGCCACTCGCATCCATTGATAGGGGTCCACACGTCCCTGCGATCATTAGCATCCATCCACGCATGTGATATTCCCTCTACGCGCACACTCATCGGAGAGCCACGGCTCGCGACCCAGTACGGCACCACCCGATTAGCACACAGATCCCATATCCGCCGAGGAGGCACGGACTTCCGGCGGATAATCCTGCCATCGTGGATCACTGCATCTCGTCGCATCTCTCCGTCCTTCACTTCCCCCTTGTGCAAGTTGGTGGAGGTTCTTACCCAGGACGAGTTGTAGCGAAAATGGGCGTAGGCGGTCCCGAAATCGTAGTTTCGTTCGATGCAGGAGTTGAGGAACGAGTGCAGGGTGGGATGGCTGTCTAGTCTATATGATTTGCCGAGTGTCGCGTTGAACTCGTCCAGGATTCCAACGATACCGAGCGTGGTGCATGGAGTATTGGCGAGAGCAGATGGTATGACCTTTATACCGGTGTAGGATCGTTGCTTCAACACTGGGATTGTCGATCCTTCTCGGCCCGTCTCAGTGTACGCGTTGAGTGTGATCTTCGGAACTTTCTTATCAACAGGACTGATCTGAAATATGTTACTCTTTGCAATCTTGGGATGATTTTTAACGCCTACCTCTTCCTCCAAGAATGGTAGATGTTTCATGAATTTATCAGATTCGCCTTCCAGTTATAGTAAGTGAGGATGTGAAGTATCGAACACAAGACAATCCCACGTACAAGCGCCCATCGATAACCAACGTAGAAGCGCACTGAGAAGCTGTGTTAGTGAGTAGCAAACAACGCGTACCTGATTATACGGGCCCACCATCAGTGGCGCTGTCGACGCCCAAAGATAACGTCAACGTCAAAGGAAATTTATTTCGTGAATCATGATAAAGAAAGGTAGAGGTTCTCGAAAATGACAGTGGACTCGATATATGCTGATGATCTCAAAGAGATGCCTGCTAGAGATGTGCACGTGAGTCGTTTGTCACAATGGAAGTTGAACGTGAGGAGGCGTACACGTGTGGCCAATAGAATGTATTAAATATTCTCACCCCAGCAAGAAAAGAATTCAAAACAACGTACTACAATCCAGCCGAGTTGCTGCATTCCACAGTCCTACCCGAATAGTATCGTTCAAACATCTACGTGCAAAGCAACGAAGGTGGAGAAATCGACAGCCCACAATACGGCAACCTGACGAGCCCGGCAAAAATCACTAAAAACCGGTTGAGTTCAAGACAAGTTTGGGAGGAAACGAATACTGACGCACGATTTGCCTGTCAGTTCTACGGCAGGACGACTCTTCTGCATCGCAGGTCCCTCATAACACGTTATGCGTAAGCCCTTGTTCAGGCAATAACTTCTTCAGTGAATAATGGTGCCACGGTTCCGCCATCGCGGGATGACTGTGAACAACAGTTATATTAGAAAGAAGTCGGAAGCACGAGAGCAAACGTACCTGGAAGCATGAGACCTCGTATAACCAGTCTCTTTCGGTGTGCCATTTCGTTGAAAGTCACGCACACTGACGGGACCGGATCGTTTACAAACACAGCCGCGGACTCTGCAACAACCAATTTCCAAGTACTCTTGATTCTTGAAGGGGATTCGAAGATCAGCTCAATGCTCCCCGTCCACAAAAAGTAATAACGGCGGCAGCATACTGAAGTCGTGTCGGGATCCTACGCGATGGCACGGAGCAAAGGTGGACCGGCGGCATTTGCGGCCGAAGTAGGCGTATCGACACGTGATCGAAGAAAGACAGCACGTGGTCGGACTTTAAAAGTCGCGACCTTCAACGGTTGATGCGTGTTACCTTCATCTCTCTACTGTTTCTTAGCACCCACACTTTTCTCCCATCACGGACCTTACAAGATAAATAACTCCAGTCACGAAAAGCTGTATCGCTACCGACACTGACCGTGTTCTCTCGAGTATCGACATGAATCCCACTCCCGTGGTTAACAAAGCCCAAGGGCAGATATCGACTGGTTCGAGGGAAACTGTATCTGCCCTGCTCATATCCGGGGATTAGCTGATACTTCAAACAGAAAACTTCCTTGGCGAGGAGAGTTAGTTCACACAGATCATACTGGGGTGCCCCACACATTCGATATCCTCGTCAAATACCACTACTTGATGCGCGATGGCTTGCAACGGTTCCCAGTCCGTCCTCAGGGATTGTGTCTGAGGTCAACGGATAGTCATAAATGCACTGTAGAGGGAGCGACGAGTGATGGTGAAGGGGTTAGGTTTCAATTTCAACACCCGGGTTCTTTTCGGACCGGGATTTTCCTGACATTGAACACTTGTCAGAGTCACTCGTACGCATCCGGCTTTCCGCCGTCTATCTATCTTTCTGAAGGTTTTCAACTTCAACGACCTTGACACTCTATTGTTCAGCGCTTCGCTGGCATATTCCTACAGTGCGAACTCGTGCTTCATACCAAGTCGCCGTGGTCAATACCTCGTAAACGGTGATCAAATTAAAGGACGATTACTACTGAAGGGCTCCTGTAGATCGATGTCCGGGAGGGATAATTGTCTGTCGTTAACACGTCCCTTTCGGTATCGATTGAGTAGTTATGTATGCCGAGTCCCTGATCTTTCTTTTCTTCTGCTAAAACGTTAACATTCCAGTATCCGAGAATCAAATAAATACTTATCGCAAAACATGAGCCGCGTCTCCACAGTTTTCTGTAAGCAGAACGGGACATCAAGGCATGTAAGTATTCGTTCCTCGAGGAATTTGCACTTGTTAAACTCGCTCAGCTCAGAAGTCTAGTCCATGATGATACAAAAACAAGCTGAATTTGAACGCTCAAGGAAGGCGCCTTGTTGTGCATTGCACGAGAGAGCGCAGCTTGCCCCTGCCCAATGTTCAGCCACTTCAAAGCTGCACAGTTGGTTTAACGCAACAAGCATACCAACGCTAAGACGAGGTCATGCTGAAACAGAGGAATTGACAGACTCGCCCATGGAATCTGACAAGAGTAAACCAAAGCAGGACGTCTCACGTAAGTTGATCAGAAGTTAAACGTCACAAAAATAATCGACGCCAAGTCTTGGTAAGCACCACAGCCTACCTATTCTATTCTCGCTGGAACTCGGCGCTTAGTCGTGTTTGTGCTCTTTCACCAGCATTTACCCTCCCCATATTGGCGCAATGGGCATATGCTCGTCGTCTCGATGTTATGTGGTCACGGATGCAGACAGGGCCCTGCATAGGCAAGCTGAAGAGGAGCTCGAGAAGGTGTGTTTGCTCGTGAGCTGGGCGTACGCTCAGTACTAATCAGCCACACCGCCAGGCCAAGGCGAAGGTGGCGACACAAGTCAAGGTACGTGTATATGGTTCGATGCTCAGAACTTACCTGCTCACACATCATATATCATATACAGGTTCTGCTTTTGGGATCCGGGGATTCTGGGAAGACAACTTTGCTAAAGGTGCGCTTCTACTAACTTTGTACTATACAGTATTCATCCGTGCGACTCGGACAGCAAATGCGCCTCATCTGCAACATTCCATTCTCTCAGCAAGACATCGAATACTATCGGCAGATGACGCTTGACAATCTTGTCGATGGAATGAGGTGTATCCTCTACGCGATGGAAGACATGAATCTGAGGGTTTCAGATGCTAACATAAAATATATCGAATTCATGTACTGGCCTCATGTGAGGGATGGTGAGCTATTCCCGAGACGGTACTATGAGTCACTCAAGGCGCTATGGGGTGATCCTGATGTTCAGAAAGCTTGGCAGAGAGGAAACGAAGCGGCCTTGCCTGAAAAGTGAGTCCTCCATCCCCCGTTCTTCGTTACGCCACTCTTACAGGGCGTAGTTTGGGATATTTATTCTCGGATCTTGATAGGTTGTTTGACCCCCGGTATCAGCCAACTGAACAAGATATCATGCAATGCCGTGTTCGGACGATTGGGATCACGGAAACGGTCTTTCATCATTGGGAACGCGAGATCACGATTATTGATGTCGGTGGCCAAAGGTCTGAGCGTAGAAAGTGGATACACTGCTTCCAGGACGTGACGAGTATCTTGTTCTTCATCAGCCTAAATGGCTATGACCAGTGTCTGGTCGAGGACAACGATGCGGTGTGTGATTTGTCGTGATGACTCGGCAAATCACCTCTCTGATGCAATCTGATAGAATCAAATGCAGGATGCGATGACCGTATGGGAAGCGATATGCCGATCGCATCGGTTCAAGCACACTTCGATTGTACGTAGACTGTCCAACTCGTCTGCAACGACTGAGGCTTATATTGGCTTGTGCTTAGATCTTATTTTTGAACAAAAATGACCTCTTCGAAAAGAAGATACCTCACTCTGATACCAAAGACTTCTTCGCGGTCTGTGATGTTCTCCCGCGCGTCTGCATAGCCTTCTCTGATGTCTCTTTCAGGACTGATGGTGAGCCAGGCGATGCCCGTGCAGGTCGTGATTACTTCAAGCGTCGCTTTTCGAAACTGGCCACTAATACTGGTCGGAACACGGAGAGGGAGATCTATATTCAGTGCGTTTAACATGGTCTTCATTGTTTGGTACTTATGCATATATTTTAGTGTAATCACAGCGACTGATATCACTACGCTTCGGCTTGTAATGTTCACTGTGAAAGGTACGCTGTTTACTTTAATTTTTATAAATGATAAACATTGATCATCGAAATCTGCCCCCTCAGAGTGAGTACCGTTTCGCCCGTTCTGTTGCGTCTCGCCTTGTTTCTTCATCACTTCTGACGTATACTCAATATTTTTCTATCGCATTTACGCCTTCTCTGTTTAGTGTTATCCTTCGGACCAGTCTTGCGAGTGCAACGTTACTCTGAACTTCATCCTCTGGTTATACATGACCTGGCTGCTCTCTTCTCTTCCTTTCCCGGTCGTGTCCTATCTCTGGTACTCCCTATGTGCCTTCCAACACATTTCACTAGTCTTGTACGCTTGTCTCTCTTTGTCCCTTCTTCACCCCATCTGATCTCTGAACAGCTATGCTCTGCTTTGATTGTTATCCTATATCTATTCGCTTTCTTTAACACTCGGGTACCCTCACGACTGTATAACTACCATTACTTCGGGATATTCAGCCCCTCTACATGATGTTTACTTCCATTGTCGCTTTTCAGCATCTGACGTACATGAGACTTCCACCTGTACGAAAGCAGGTTCTTCCGTAAAGGAAGTACGAAGCTCTCCAGTTCGTATCAATGCAGACCGTCTACATTCTGGCGTTGTGAACATCCTGTTTTACAGGAGTCGTGTTTTCACGTCTTTCGATATAGCATGCGCGGGTAATCTCTCCGACTCAGTAACAGTTGACAATTACGAATCATAGTTCTCCCCCTACCGTTTCGAAATATTATCACGCAACCAGCTGTGTGAAGAAGCTACCATCTTTCCCACAGCTCCAGCGCCACAGTTGCTGGGGAAATTTTCGGCCTGTACAAATGAACATGCCGGTGTTTATGAGCTGTCTTTCGGGCATAAACACTGACATGCCCCAGCAGTGATGTAGTTATTCAATCCAAATTCAGGTCGGTCGCGTCAGCATGTGATAAGGCAACGCGAACACGTGGTCGGACTTTGAAAACGCCAACCTGAACTTGAACATCCACGACGCCACCTATTGTGCGGAACCATTCGTTATACAAGGAAGAGAACGCGACAAAGAACTAACTACTGTTCTATTTAGGTAATTCCCCTTTATTGCAATGGATAATTGTTGTTCGCGTTGGCTTGGCGGCGATTCTTCCTGTCATCATTCGCATTATTATATCTTGACGGATTCGTGCCGTTCACATACTTCTCTCCATGGTAGACCTTACCAACGATCCACCATCTCAGTCGCCAGCTGACTCCGCCACCACCGACACCGTCGCATTCCTCCTCTGAACCGCCCTCGCCTCCCTGAATACAGCATGGACCACACTCTCGTTGTCAACAAAGCCCAAAGGCATCTAAAATTCTCTGTTGACACGCCGTAAATTCGACACACACATAGGGATATCGCTGCCAAAGGAGGCGGTCATTTGTCTCTGGTCCTTCAGCGAAAGCTTTCCTGAAGTAGTACATGCCCTGGAACGATACTACTCCTGACAGCTACAGGCGGAAGCAACCAGGCAAGTCCAAGAGGAAGTTGCTCGCTTCTATGGAAGGCCTTCGTGAGCCTTACATGTACAGGAAATATGGCCGTCGTTGTGCTATTTCCTGTGTTCTTCATCTACTGACTACTCGTGCTCAGGTCAAGGCTCTTAATAAATAGCCAGTGTCGCTAAGTATAGAGACACCTGGCTACTTGTCTATATGCCCCAAGTTTGGAAAATTCCGTGACCGAGACGCAAAATTTGATAATCTTGCAGTCGATATCGGAGTGTACGACGCGGACAATATGCCTGAAGGCCGGACCGCCGATCACTCGCTCATGGAGACGCAGACCAAGCTGAAGGCCCACGATAATTACGATGCTTTCGTTGACTTGGAAGACGACGCGTCCCCGGTAGAGGAGGAGGAGGGGGAGGATAAAGGGGAGGCGGATAATGATGATGAAGACGATAAATCGGAGGGAGAGGAAGAAAGAGGAAGATATCAGCGTCGCTGATGCGGTATCGGATGACGTTGCAGAACCTACGCAGTCGGCTCCATTAAGCAACCCGTTTTTCCTTCTGAGAACAACTCCGTCAAGGGACGCGAGACACGCGGGCAAATAGCCTGCCATGCCGGTGTCACGATAATGTTCCAATACCGCTCTCACTTCTTCCCGACTCTGATATGTGGCCGCTTCGCGCGATTCATACGCTGGGACCGATCCGGGGCCGTCGTCAGCAAGAGGTTTGACTACACTGAGGAAACGACCTTGATCTTCAACTTTTACAAGCGATTCCTCCAGTTGATACCTAGCCAACGAGGGAAAGACACTGCTGTTTCTCTCATTGCTGATGGCGACCCCTATGCCGTGCTTGCTCGAGCTAAAGTCGGCCTGTACGATATGGATATATGACATGGTAAACCGGGGCGTAGGGAGAAGCGAGAGATGAATATCGAGGACCAGAAGCTGTTCTGCATGGATGTGACCCTCGATGGTAAGCCTCAGCAATTCGTGGTGTGTGCTCCCAAGTTCGATGATGGCGCGTTCTCGCCCTTTGGGCGATCGACACGTAGGTCTCTTGCTATCGATCCGGATAGTCCTGATCTCCGTGATCCTGCTAAGTCTCGTGCAGGGCTATTGTTTATGCAGGACTACTGGCGTGAAGAGTCACCTCAGATTGCGAAGGAATCGGATATCTACCATCTTAGCCCCGCACCGAGTTCCACACATAGCTGAGATGGAGACTGGGGGAGATGTCGCCGACACGACCACGATCACGCAGGAACATGTACAAGGGTCGTTGGCTCACAGACCCACTGACGACGAGGTCGACTGCCTCCCGACATTGCGGGGCCACCGGATTTTCTTGAAAATCATCCGAAGAGATCTGATGACTTTCTGCTATATCAAAGACCTTGTGACCCTGTATCGCGGATGCCATGGAAGGTATGTTACATCCTTCCTTGTGCATTTCTTCTGATCTAACCATTTTATTGTTGCACATAGCTCACCAGGCGGCGTTCGATAGGGCATGCATTCTGCATCGCGATACTAGTGTCAGAAACATTATGATCACCCCAAATCATCAAGGGTTCCTCATTGACTGGGATCATTGCATTATTCTTACCGACAGACGTGGCGAAAAAGGCATATGCCGAACCGTAAGTTTTCTACGCAATTGCCACAACCCTCTTCCCTTATTCCCTCATCTTCTAGGGTACCTGGCAGTTCATGTCTGCGCGCCTTTTGGCTTCTTATGGGACCTCGCACACCCTGGTAGACGACAAGGAATCATCACTGTGGGTTCTCCTCTACGTAGCTCTCAGATATACCCGCAAATCATCTATACCGACTGTCTTATACGATGATTTGAAGTCATGGTTTGAGGACTCCGTACTCCGACCTCGTGGGGATATCGGTGGTAGAGGCAAGAAAAGTGTGCTGAAGAACCCTTCTGACCTACTTCCTTCGACGTCAACGGTCTCAATGAGTTGCTGCGAGAACTGATGCATGTCTTTGCTGTTCAATACGAGCCGGAACCCAACTCAAAAGACGAAGACATGTACCAGTACATTCTGGCATCATTCTCTCCCCAGATGGCCGCGCGCACCACGAAGGGGATGTATCTCACAAAGATGGAGAAACTGAATGGTCCTGCATGGCTCTGCGACACCTTGCAGCAGACATGCCGAAGCTATGAAGGTCCCCGCAAAGGAGCACTATGATTGGCACCGGAACACCTGCTATAGCAGTAACGAGTTCTGGACCTCAAGAAACGCAAGGCGACGTCGGAGCGTCTTGAGACGAAGAGGGTGAAGGGTCTAGGCGGTGAAACCCTCAGTGTGTGCTACGAAATTGCGTGGGATAAGGAAGAGACCCAAGGAGAATGACCCATAGATTTGGAGGAACGGACTGGGGACTTGGTTTAGCAGCGGTTCAATCAGATTAGATTTCATACGCATCCTCCAATCTTTTTCATCCTCGTGATTTGAAACCTGAGCTTCAATTTGGGTGCTTTTGTCAATAAAATGACGCTCTATTAGGTGCACTCCAACAATGACTGAGCGTCGTCAAAACGTTCTAAGCCTAGCAACCCACATAATCAAAAGTATTCTTTCAGAGACGAGACATCCATCATCGTCGTCAAAGTGTCCGTGTATGGACAACGGTACGGATATCTTACCGGAAGAGAACGGCCGTTATCTTAAGAATCACAAAACGAGGATCTATTTCTTTCATGGCTCGTCCGCAGCATGTTCGTGTTCTTTCGTTTGACAGATACAGTAACTCCTTATATTGAATATTCTGCTATCCTTACTCTACGAACCAAACCAGCTTACTTTGGAGATTGATGAGGTTCCGAGGTTCGAAGAAGACATCACGGGCAGCCGCGGGACCTCATACCCTTATACGTCTACCTCCACATTTCTCGTGTCAGTCTTGTGTCGTACTTCAACATACTGAGCATTTATTGATTGAAGCGACTGTTACAGAATGCATATTGATCACGACGACTAATGGTACAATAAACGAGCGAAATCGAACACTTTAAAAAGTTGTTACTCGCTATCGCCTTAACTCCCATCATCCGTATCAGGACGAGCGTCTTCAGAAACTAGCAGTCTTTCCTCGACGGATAATCATCATCATTCGTTCATTCACTGACCAAGAAGGGCGCCAATCGACAGCATAAACCTGGCAAAGAAGAGAAAAACTGATCATTTATGCAAATACTTCTGTCGTACACAAAGCAGTCCGTTCAACGGACACAGAAAGTTCTCAAACTTCTATACAGATACCCGAGCCGAAACACGTTACACACGCCATGGCTGACTTCCAGGTGTCTTTTTCTGGTTTCGTCTTCTATACAACTCGCGGAGGATGAGGATGACAAGCGCTCCTGCCAAGAGGAATGCACCATTCGTGAAGTGACCGGTACGATAACCTGGCGCTTCATTCGCCTTGTAAATATATACGCCTAGAATTAAATTCAGCGAACACCACATATAGCACAGCCTGCAGAAGCAAACTCACCAGTAATTTGCCCGATAGTGCCGATAGTGACCATCAGAGGTATAGCGAGCGTCGTTGCATCGGTGTTTCGAAGATTGACAGTCAGCCATGTTATGAGAGACGGATTACAGATGTTAGAAAACGTCGTGCTGAGACACAGCATAGCATATCGTGCTTTGAACGCCGTAGGTGAAAGTGCGCCTGATACGTGACAAGTCAGTCAGTTGAACTGAGAAGTACATGGCTCGAAACCAAGCGCACCCTGGATTAGAAAGACGACGCCCGAAACAACCATAGGAATCCATGAAAATGTAGACCACATTTCATATCGATCTGCGAAGACCGAACAGGCGACGGTAGCGACAAAGGCTATAGCGAAGGGTGGCACGGTGAACAGCTGAGCACGCAGTCCTTCGTATCCGAGTCCATTCACGATAGTTGGGGCGAAATACGAGATACTCGAAAAGGGGACGCAGACGGCGATGAAGGCGAGATAATGGAGGTATAACCTCCAGTCCATTAGCGTATCTTTGGTCTGCAGCCATGTAATTCTTGCATGTCCCAAAGACGCTTCGCCTCTGAGGCGCTTGACGGCGAGTTCTCGTTCCTTCGCAGATAGCCATGTTGCCGTCTCTGGGTAGGCTGGAAAGAAGAAGTACGTTGCCACCGCCAGAGCACATGATGGTGCGCCCTCGATGATGAATAACCACCGCCACGCTTCCAAGCCTTTTGAGCCATTGATACGGCCAACACCATAAGCGATACTGCCTCCGAAGGCGCCAGCAAGTGAGGTACACGCGGCAATGAGAGAAAGGCGAAGTGCACGCTCTTGAGGTCGGTACCAACTGTTGAAAATGGATAGTCGGCGGGGAATGTTGCGCAACACAAAAATAGAACTGACAAGGTAAGGAAGTAGATTATTCCCGGATAGAACCCTGTGACGGGTAATTAGACGTTTACATTTTACTGAAACTATATAACATAACGTACCTGCTTCAAACGCCCCCAGCAGAAATCGGAGACCCGTCAGCGCGCCATAGTTCTTAACGCATGAAATGACCATATCCGTTCCGCCCCACCCGACCATGAGGAACGCGAACCAATGCGGAGGAGAAAAATGCTTGAGCATGTAATTTGACGGGGTCTCAAACAGCGCGTAAGAAATGAAAAACACTGTCAACACAGTGGAAAACTGCTCGCTTGTCATGTCGAGGACTTGCAACAATGAGTCACCGGTGTCGGCATTGAGGATTTTCGCATTTCCCTGACAGATAATTTAATTAAGAAAGCAATCAAACATCATCAGATCGGCGTACGATATTGGCGCGGGCGAGATAATTGAGGGTGTAAATGAACATGCAGCTAGGTACGATTCTGAGATCCAGCTGTCGGAGGAGTCTGTGAAGTGAACCAGCATCAGCTCGTTGTCCTGGTTCGATAGGAATGGTAAATATACCTCTTCTCAGCGACACGGTCAACGACGAAGAGTTCTTCGGGTGATGATATCCCTTCATCACTTGAAGGACCCTTCTCGAAGTCGTCAGCTGATGAGAAGGGAGCAGTACCCGTCTCTTCCATTTCAGAAGACTTTGCGAGCTTTGGATTGCTGGCGTCCATTGGAACTTCCGGTTGGCAAGGTAAAGACGTACTCCTAGCAAGGGATGAGAGACGGGGAGGAGAACCGGCAAAACGTAGTCATCGTCAGCACTATGAAGGGCTGATGTTTACGATATGCGAAGTCCGGTAAAAGCCGGCGCAGGCTGGTAATGAGGCCGTAACGTTAAGATCGTTGTAAGAGCTGATGAAAAGGAGTTACGCCTCACCTTGTCCTCGCTCCAGTGCTCCGCAACTGTATACGTCGAGCAGCGTATACATTGCCGTAGCTTCATTAACTTGTATTGTATGGGTCACGAAAGAGATGAACCACGAGGCGTCTCAATAGTTTCACCCCCGCGCGCCACACATCAAATGATACCCGAAGACCGCATTCGGCTCTTATAGGGTTCAGGTTGATTCCCGGTGCTCTTGGTTTTGATGAACGTCCTTCCGTTCACGAAAATATTAGGGTACGGTTATGCGGCAGTGTGATTCACTGCCAGAGCGGAATGCCGTTCAACTGGAGTGACTATATTTATAACTCAGGGCTCAGCGTCTCCAAGCTCCTGCCTTCATCCTTTTAGCTGCTGTACATTCAAGGATGAAGGCTCTGAGGTCTAGATCCAACCTCAATTATATCGCACAACGGACTAGCCAATTGAGGATGTCATTGTCACTAAGTATGTGTTATGCCATCTCCCTAAGGCTGTATAAGCGAACGTCCATTCAAGGCGACTGAGTCCTACCAAGACGCGCTACGTCGTGTCATATATTGCAGCCTGTATAACTAAAGGTAGGCGTTTGCGCTACCAGCCATGGTTCGACAATGAAATGGCGAGCAAGTCGTTCAGTTACACACGAAGCTCCTGACCGCAATGGCCAAGAATTTTCGGCAGCACTTGTTGCTTGAAAACCCAATCAACGCAAATAAACGGGCTAGGAAGGAGTGACACGTTTCTTTGACTTCACCGATAATAGCGCCGAAAATATTTTGATGCGAGTCGGACACAAACTGCGGATGCGGATCCAAGTCAGAACACGAGTGCGCAGTTGGGAACAAAACGGATCCTACAAAGTCGATTTCAAGGTCGTGGTAAGGAATAAAGCTAACAAAGTGGGAGGCTCCGGCCTCAGAGAAAGATATAGAAGTGAAGTCATAGATCAAAAGCAAATCCGGGTCCATAGAAATCCGGCCGGCAGTAACCGGGGCCCGGTACGGATAGCAACAACAAGCACAAAACCGCCGTAGATTCAAAATACTGGACAAAGCTTTTAAGACAGGTCGGATATAACCGCCGTATACGCATCCTTTGGCTGGTAGTTACTGTCGAACAACAAAGGCGTAGAACTGGCGCGCCAGGAGTTCTGAAGAAAAATAATTTAGTTAAAGTATTGGAAACCGAAAGGACGTGACCTACGGCATCGCTGACTCCCCAGCTAGTGATGGAGACACAGGCAGAATTGGCCAGGCAGGCATCAACAACGGTGGTATAGTCATCGGCGCTTGCATCGACAATATCCAGCTCGGTAATAGCAACGTCTGTACCCGCCCCTGCCAGAGCCGTCAGAGCCGCCGCTACCCCGCTCGAGCCACCAGCCTATTTACGGTTAGAACTAGATCAGTGCCCGAGTGTGCACCAACGTACCGACAAGTGCATCTGTGTACCAATACCGTCGATTAGCTGTTCATCGGCATTGATCCGCTTAACAAGGGAGACCATTCCTGCAGGACAAAATGGGAGAAATCGACATAAGGAAAAGTGATGGCGACGAACCTTGAGTCTTGGCGTTGTTCGAGTCGAGATTGTAATCGTTGATGTATAATCTATACCGCTCGAGTTCAGTGAGAAGTCGTAGGGAGCTGTGTTAAGGCGAACTTTGCCGTAGGATCCGCAGCTCTTGCGGCTTTGAACGCGATGGTGATGAAGTCCTAGAGCAATGGTTAATCAGTAAATAAATACGCAGGGTAATGGAATGAGAGTATACCTCCCCGAGAACGTCATTGAACACACTGGACCGCAGAGTACCGTCTTCATTCAAAACCTCACTGTGGATCATCAGAACGCAGGAATGTCATTGTAACAGTCGACGCACTTGCAAACATCCCACTGGTTGTTCATTGATAGGTCAATTCCGGAGAATGACGGCGCAAGACAGGAGGAACACGTACAGCTATTCACAAGGCGTGAGCGTTAAACGAGGAACACCAACAAACGGTAACGAACACGAACGTACCATAGAGTTTACCAGCATACTGCCCCGCTACATTGGAAATATGTGTTTGAATGACCGAGGTCTTTCGAAGGATCTCTTAGTGTATTGCATTACGGACGTATGACTTTGACTCACCAGTGTATCCGCGTCCGTGATGGCAGAGACCCACGAAGGGAGCTGCGAGTGCCACACTAAACGGAGACGCATATCAGATTACCTGGCTAGAGATAGGTGCTAAAACCAAACCTAAGGTGTGTCCACGGATTTTCTTACTGTTCGAGACAGCCCAGTTGACAAGGTAGTCGGATCCAGTGAAGGTAAACGTTCCTTGGGTACTTTCGGTAGCGTCCCACTAGCAAGCAAAAATGATTGAGCATGATACTAATAACTTGCGCACAATGCCGACCTTCATAGAATTCTCGGGAGTAACCTACGGTTCAGATGTCAACATACAAGAGGCAAAACGTTATAGGAAACTAAACATACGGCCCCGAATTCGGACTCCAGAATGGCCTCGTTCTCTGCAAAGGATCGCCAATCAGCATGTGAATTTGTATCGTTTTGGTAACGAACCGGAAATAGATATGGTATCTTGGTCGGCCGCAGCACCCTAGAGTGAGTTTAGCATGGACAAGGTGGCGAACTATCACAGAACGAACCCAGAAGAGTTTCCCCTTGGCGGTGAACTTGGTATTGAGGCCACTCAGCGCCGCGGAGGACGAAGTGGAGGACGGAGCAGCGCTGACGCACTGCAAAATGGCAGCGATAGAAATGATAGAGATGAACATGATGGTGAAGAGGAATGTTTTCTGCAGCAAGACAAGAGCTCGAATATATACCGGTTTGCCGACTCATTTAACCGAGCCAGCCAGGTCACGGAAACGGGAAGGAAAGGGGACGGAAAAATACCGTCAAGTCGGTCGTCCATTGCAACGAGCAATGAGAGCCCACCAATTGTCCGACGTTTTACCTTCGGCGAAAATAACAGCTGAGACATCGCAAGGCAACATCTGAAGCTCGTAAGGCGTTGCATGATTGACACCAGAAAAAGCGGTCCGAGGACAGAAGATGAAGCTTTAAAGTTCTGCATCAAACAGACGAGGACGGGTCGGAGAATTATAAGCGCGCAAAAAATGCTTGGTCCATGCGACCATGAGAAAAAAAAAGAATGAGCGGGAGAGAAAGTCATTGACAATTGGGTGGGTGACAGAATCGCAGACTGCAAGCCATCATTTAGGTTAGGGTTACAACGGTCACCGTTTCCTGTTTGATACTATGTCAAACTAGCCTCCGCTGCCCACACGCGCGAAGGAGAAACGAGGAACACCACCTCTGCGATCTACCTGACAGATCACTGGCTGCTGAAAACGTTATGGGCGGATGAGTCGAGATGCGTGAAGGAAATGGATTTGTATGAAAAGCAAAACATGACCTAGCCAAACATTCGATCGCTACGCATTACTTTGGACGGCGAATAGGAAGCCAATCGATGCTGTCTCTGTATATGTTCTGGAACGACGGGACCGTGGGTAGGCAGTAGGAACGGCATGTTCTACAGAAGGCCAGGATGTGAGCGGTGAGTTCCTCAGATAGATTGGTCAACGTACATCCTCTAACCAGTTTCCAAGTACGACTCTCCGCTCTATCGAACTTGGACTTCCCACGCCAGCATTCGCTGAACGCAACTCGACATGCCCCTTCTTCCCTGTCGTGGCACCGGCTCGGGGAACTTGAAAACCAGCCTATTCCTACAAAGGGCCGAGGTTTGGAGGTTTGGAGTGAGTCTGGACGGAATGGTTACTCAGTGATGGGTTTCCCAAGACGCGACAAGAGCATGCCAGAGAGTACCATGGACCGATGTGCGACTAGGGACCGCACAAACTGGAAGCGTTACAGATGACTCTGATCGCGCCAGACATCTGCAGCACCATATTTTGGTGACCTTGTTGCCAAAGTGAGAATATAATTAGACAAGGGCAAAGTGAAACGTACCTCCGCCAGATTTTCCGACATTCTAGAATACAGCATCGGCTTGGTTCTGATCTAAGCTTAGCTCTACATCGTTTTCGTTCGTACTATCATCTTCGCGTCGTACTCCTAGGTGTTCTCCGCTCGCTCAACGAAGCCAACTAGTATGTATTCCTTGTCGGTAGCGATAGGGATCAAGGGGAAGAAGTCTCGTGCAACTGGCAGGATAGTAGCAGAGTTCTAGTGGGTAAATTCAGAAAAATGTTGTGTTTCCAGAACAAGAAGACGCACCATTTTCCCTCGGTCGTAACGTAGCCAATTCCTCGCCTAATCCTCTGGCTGTTCCACCTGCAGGCAATCAGACGTCTCGTACTGAAACGGATAGAAAATACTATACCTTATGCGTACCTCTGTGTTCCCAAGATCCTAAGATAGTGGCTGGTGGTGGTTGGAGAAGGAGGTGTGACCGTGACTGTGATACCGACAGTCACAGAAGTGTGACGGTCCCATTTTGGCATGGGGCGCGCTGACTCAGCATTCTTACGCACTTCTCAACATCCATGCTTGAATTGTATCGAATCATTCGAAACATCAACAGAAAATTATTTTCCTATATCAGCTCATATCAGGTCAGATTTCGTCAACCACGTATAACCGTACCCAGCACAAATTGCAAGCAAATCTACGATGCAACTTGGCCACAGCATAACTCATGTCATGAATCACCCCTATTTTTCGCTTATCTTATCTTATCTTATCACGGCATCTTATCGTGGCAAGTCGGCAACTCATCATTCGACTCTCATCATCATTCCTCGTACCTGATCTGCATCATTCATGACCCATGCGGCACCATCCCATGCCAGGGACCACATCACTAGGACTCTGTCATGGGCTCTGCTACCAGACCTTGTAGAAGGCAGCACGATACGAGCGCTGACCTTCTTACTCACGGGGGTGCTTCTAGCATCATCATGCTCCCACCGCATCACTGGGGCATTGCCACAACACAACCATCAGTTCCATCTGATTGGTCCCTGGATCCACCACTCACATGCATGATCCGTTTGATGGCCCATAAACTGATCACACTCTATGGGCCGGATCCTTCTTCACCCAGTCATGCTTCTTTAGGTCGTCTGTGATCACATCCTAGGATGAACCAGCCGCCACGTACGCTCCTCAGAATACTGCGCCCTATGGACGCTAGCCTTCTTACTCGCAGGAGGGCTTCTCCTATACCAAGCACCATACGATACAGAGGACATAGAAGACAGCGCTGCATTGGGACAGCACGCACCGAGACACAGGAGTGGTACATACTAGTAAATACCACAATGTATTTAAACGAGCCTTGCTGTGGTCTTACACCCCAGCTTCGGCTAAAGTTATACACTCCTAACTTTTCACGCAGAAACTCCCTGTTTCGTGCCTAAGGACTATTGTACCTTACCTAGCGATTGCAATGCCCTCTTCACAACTGAATCACCGAACACGAGTGACAGTTTAGAGGCAAACGTTGTCCAATCCAAGTTAGTGCGTTACAACTCAAAAGTTGTAGATGTGAGTATATTTTACTCCATCGTATTTTTTACCTTATGAAAGTCTCCTTATATAGATCCACTCATTTATTATTCCAAGCTGAAAATCACACCAGGACGACGTTTCGTTTTTCTTTTTTGTCTGGGCCGCCAACTTGTCTTTTGTTCAGACACGATAGATGACAATGACTAACCGAGATACACTCCTACCATGGTACAGAGAACCTAATATCTGCTCAAAAGAGACGTGCCGCTATCCGATCCCTTGCTGCAAGAATAAACTGATCGTTATTTTCAGGGTACTACACCGGCAACCTGGAGCCACTTCTCGCCATTCCAATGGTCAAAGCACCCCTCATAATTACTCACAACAGCTATTCCTAACAATTTGAAAAAGATTGACTACAACCAATAGCCATAAAAGCCATATCCTGTCAGGCTTTGTTCAGCCGTATATCCAAGAAGCAAGTCTATCTATACAAGTCTATATGCCCACAACCAATTCTCCCTACCTCGAAAACCGATATAAGGCGGAGAATCCCAGCATATTTTCCCTCATCCCTCTCTGTTCTCTTTCACTCTCCCAGCTTCCTGATCCCTCCCTCTCCCATCCTGTCCGTTCTCATATCAAATGGCTCGCGGACCCTCCAATAAAGCTAACATGGGTACATTGCCCTTCTATGGCAGGCCCAAGTGGCACTCAATTGTCCTGATGCTGATGTATTCTTCCCTTACTGAGAAGAGCACCCAATGCCGAATTTGCCTCAAGGTATATGCCGACCAGAGTAGTCTCAGCCGCCACTACAAAATCCACCTCCCAGAAGGTGACAGGTACACTTTTCCCCTACCATTCCAAGTCTCTCTAACTTATTGTTCCCTTTCCCAGCCGCAAACACCAATGCCCCCACTGCCCCGAGCGCTTGTGGCAGAAGCCTAATCTTAGGGCCCACATCCTCCACAAACAGTAAGTTACTTCTGTGATAATTTCCTTCACAGATACCAACCGTACCCTCGCTGCAGTGCTGGCAAAACCCCCTACAAATGCCCCGGCTTTGGCTGCAAGTTCGTTTGTGGCAACCAAAGGTCCTTCACCCACCACCTCAGTCAATGTGATAAACCTCGTGATATCAGTTGTATCACCTTTCCAGTCCTCCAACTGAAGCATCTCCTTCCTGCTGCCAATGCTGGTTCACAACTCGAAGGCTTCATCCCCGTCCCAACCTCTCCCCAAGCGGATCTCCAGACTTGGTTCCCCAAGGAACTCATGCCACTGTCGGGTCATTCTCACGGAGTCTGTCCCCCAATCCTTGCCTTACCTATGTTCTCTGAACATAACAATTCCGAAAACACTGCACTGAACACGGAAGGTCTCGACCTCAACACGATTGACCAATGGCTAAATTCCATGCGCTCCGATCTTAGCTTCACAAATACAATGCCATTCGACTCTTCTTTCTATGCAGCACCATCCACATCTCTAGGTGATTCATTAGTCTCATCGACGTCGACATCCTTTGTCGAGAGCGAACAGCTTTTGCCTCTTGATTTCAACCAATTGGCGATGTTGAATCTCTCCTTGAATGATGCATCGTCCATGTCTCCCAGCCAACCAACCCCTGCCACAATGGATGTCACCCTCGACTCCTTTTTCGCCGAACTATTTGAGCATTCATTGACTGAGGATTTCTCCTTCTTGTCCTTAGGCATGACTGAGCCGCAGCTAAGCCCGTTCGTATTTGATAGCTTGTCGCCGCCTTCATTCCTGGAGCAGTCTTTATCTAACCTGAACCTCGCGTAGAATGTGAACACTGCTGAATCATTTCTATTGCTTTAAAACTCTTTGCCTCCGGACATTCTATATTCACCTTTCTTATTGTCTTTGCCCTACATTTGAATCATACTGTTCAATGTATCATATACCACAACCACACCACTTTTGATTCTTCTTTGAAAAATGATTTCTACAATGAATTTACCCTTCTAATACAAAACACAATGTCATCCAAATTCTTCACAGATGTTTATCTAGAAAATCTCATAAAAGTGATCCTCGCATCTCCTCATCTCAACCTTCACCTGGCCTCGCTCAACCAAACGATCTAGAGCCTTCATATTCCTCGTCCATTTCTCAGCCTGAATCACATCCTCCTGGCGCATAACCCCAAATGTCACTCTCATTGCTCCAAATCTCCTCTCCTCCAAAATTGTGGCAATCCTTCCCCAGTCGGCACAGCACTCCAGCCCTTCGTAGGGACCATAGCTTGATCCAAATCACTACATCCCTCAAGAACTCCGAAGAAATGCTGTCTAGCACACTCGGAACATGACGAAGGGATCCAAAACATGGAGAGATGAACGTAAAGGTAATTGACTCGAGGGTGGTAGCACTGGATATTCCCATCATTTGTGCGAAGCTTTCAGAGAATACGGAAGTGTGTGGAACAACGACGTGCTTGAGAGACAGCCCTACATTGTTGATGTATCAATATACATGTGGGTATAAATCATCTGAGCCAATGAAGAGTGTCTGTATAGCGGACGTGACCAGAGAGAGAAGCGGCCAGAGACACGAAGATACCTTTTTGATGATGAGTGTACTAATTTTCGTATCAATGGGGTGATCCCCAGAAGGAGACTTGTATATTCCTTCTGGAAGGAAAAAGACTCGCTCAAGCCTGAGAGCCTTCAAACATCGACATAGGCTGATAGAATGTACAAATGCCTGAGGAGAGGAAAACAGGCAGCGATAGAGAGAAAGTCATGTAATGGCGTGAAACGATAAGCAGCTGCCTAGAGACGTGTCGGTCGAGCTGAGCTCAAGGTTGCGTACACCAGGCAGGTATTTCATTATGGTATCTGCATCCTCGTTACATTCAGTTTCTATCCTAAGATATCGGACAGAATGTTTAATAGTTGACTTTGGGTGCAAAATAAGATCCATAATCCCAGTATCAAGAAACAAAGTCAGAATCAACTTGAGAGTGATAGTTCGAAAAAGATGGTATCAAGCGCGCGTGAGCCAGGATCTATAAATGAGACTACATCATCTCAAATCGATTCGCCTTTGGCGGATAAGCATGCGTGAAGTTCTGGAGGCAAATCTGGTGGACGATAAAGCATCCGAAAGGGACGGCGTATTGGTGGCCCAGGCGAGCTGGTTCCGAGTCCTATGAATATAGGATATCTCGGTCATTATGCAGTTGGGAAAGACCCATGGGAAATTCTATTGGTGGAATCAATTGATGGCGGCGTTTGCCGACTATCTCGCTCTGTCCCTTGGGCTTTGGCCATGGGAGTTTTCTATTTGTGCACCCTTTTTCTCCCGGCTTCATCCTCTTTCTCCCGACAGCTCCGTTTCATCGCTGCTTCTTTGTGTCGCTGGTGGCTTCGGTTGTTTTTTTGTTTGTTTCCCCTGTTTGTTGCCTTTCTTAATGTCAATTTCTCTTTGCGTCGTTCTATAAGCACATGCCATATATAACTGCACGAATCTCACTGTTCCTTCATCGTCATCCACCTCATTCATCCTATTGGTCTTTTTAGCGCCTGCCCGTGTATTCATCCTCGTCTTCGTCTTCCTCAAAACCTATCTTCCTCTTTGTCCGCGTGAGCTGGAGCTGGCATACTCTCCACATTTCTCCTGTCCGAATTGGCTTTCTGTGGATAAGTCTGATCAGTACGTTGTCCTTGATACCTTCATCTGTATCACTCACTGATGAGTGATTGCAGTTCACTAGGGCCAATGCCCTCAGAATCGTCTTCATCCTCGCCCTGCCTCGTTACTCCTCATGAATACCATCGAGCACCGGGCTTCGACGACATCGCCTACCTGGAATGTCTGTGGCTTTACCGTCATGTATCTGTAATGCAAAGGTGTCGTCGATTTAACATTCTCAATTGCTCTGTGGTGCTGACCTTTTCTTCCCTCCCTCCTCTGAAGTAGCACACAATGTTTTCTTCGGTGTGGATCGACTTCCGCTGCCTTTCTTGGCGAGTACACCCGCTGGGTCGATGTTGGCTGCAATAGGTTTCCTTCCTCTTTGTTCAAACTGTTTTTGGGTCTGAAATAGCAGTTCGTCGTCTCTGTATCCAGTTTCCAGTTCTCTAATTCCCCTTCCCTGAACTCTCTTTCCCCCATAACTTGTATCTCCTTGATTGTGGACACGGCATCGTCTTTTCCTTTGCTCAATACCTCATCTTTTCCTTCAGCATCCTGTGTAAATTGTGAGTACATTCCCTACCCCCTCCCTCTTATCATGAAATTGTCCACTTACCTTGTCTCCTTCATTACAGGTGGTATATCCATCGTGAATATGGTGCCCGTGATCGTGAAGACCATCTCCTCGATAGTTCCATCCTTCACATTTTGACGCAAGATCCTCCACACCCCTGCGTTCTCATCTCGTTTGATAGATGCAGCGTTGATGATATTGCGTTCCTGTTTACCATGTCAGTATGCACTCTCCGCTCTTCTGGATCCCATATGTCTATCACCTTCATCACCATTTTGTCCTTTGCAAGGAGTCTGACATGATGTACTTTTGTATAAATCTGTTGTAGTTATTAGTCCATGAATTCAATTAAGTATCATTGTTAACTTTTTCTTTTATTTTTTGGAGACAAAAAACATAGGACTCGGACCTGCCACGTGGATGCATTGGCCCTCACCAACTAGTCGATTATTTCCTCCCAAAGTTCAATGGAAAGCCTAGGACTGAGTTGGTAGCGCGTAGGTATCGGCATCGCTATGGCGGGATATCGCTACTGAGGTTCGTGGAAGATGCTTGAAAAGAGAAGCGCGTCGCGCCGTTTCAACACACGTGACCCTTTAGTTCGGACCTGTCAAAACTTGGCAGTCAGTTAGACACTTGCTTAACACTGCGATTCGCTTTGCCTCCTCGGGACAGCGAGCGAAGGTAGCATGTTATTCTCAAGGAACGCTGAGTGCTGCATCCTTCGTCGTATTATTGAAGATTCCGCGACAGTCTGAACGTAGTTTGGTGATACGTCTCCAATAACTTGGCGGATCACTCTACTCTACAATACCCTCTGCAAGATCGTGACCAAACGAACGAAAATCGAACCGTTCAACAAAGCTGGCGGACTGCTCTGCTCTGGAGTCCGACGCACCCCGACCCGAAGCGGATTATCCTGCCCTGACTGTGCCGCTACTGATTGCCTCGACCTTCCCGAACCAGGACGAATCACGATTCACTGGTGGTCGGCTGTTGCTTGAACTTGATTCTAGGCCTGTTACAGCTCCGTTCTTCAATCCCTGGGTTTGCAACTATGTTTGCCGTTAATTCCGTCGCTTCGTGACAATGTACCTCATAGGCACAATTTACCTTTCTTTGAACGTCCGGAACCTTATTATCCGTCTACTTCTCCAATCGCGACCTATGGTTTTGAATTGCCGAGGAAACAAGTATTTTTCACATCATTATGAATGTTTGAACCTCTTCGCTAAGGTCGATGTATACCCTTCTGTCTTCTAAGCATGAGAACGACCTTACTAGACTCGGGCACAAACCCTGAAGGATCATCCAAGGTGAACACCTTATAACATGGGAGTTTAATGATATTAAGCTTTCCGTAACTCCGAAGCTCCTATCGTTGACGCGAACTCCGACTTCGTGTCACCATTGCTTAAGTTTTGTTACCTGATTTTGGCATATCCGTGTTCGAATATTCTCCTTATTGCCAAGTTTTCTGATTAGTTTGGGAGAGCTGGATAGACACGATGACAACGTGAAAATTCTGCGGTGCTCGCTTACCTAGTACCGACTTTTTCACCCCGACGAATAAATGGTGTCATTTTTTCCCAATCGATTACATACTAGACACTGTCATTACATTCGGCTACTAGTACTAGGCTGCAGGAGAATGTTCCGTGGGGCAGTAGAGTGAAAACATCGGAGTTTCGTTCTTTCGAGCCAATGCTGCCTCCTACTCTTACTATTTGTAGCCCTTCATTCAACTTTCTTTGTTCCGCGTCCGCCAACCTTCATGGCAGACTTCATCTTCCAGAGTCAAATGACTCCGAGTTCAATTTCACATCGACGGCCCAAAGATTTTTCTTTCGGGAGTACTACCACCTCTGAGGGCTTCATGCTTCTAATTTTTCCTCAAGGGAATGTCCCATGACATTTTGGGCAAAAACGTCTTCGAAGAGTCCCCCTTACGGTCAATCCTTAAAACCGTGCTAGAGATAACAAGACAGCAACACAGGGAGCCGCATAAAATATCTCCCACCTCCTAATCCCGTCGACAGGAACAATTCAGCCCAATGATGCACTTCATATGGAGCTGTCAAACTAGGGCATCGTTTAAGTTTCTTCGAGATAAGACATCGTGCAACATTTAGTAAGGAATCATGAGCCTCATCCTCTCTTCCTTCATTGGTTAGACCTAGAATTCCCATGACGATAAATTATCAGCTCCGTGATTTTCAGACACGCGTTCATCAGAATTATTGTCCGATCCATGTGGCCTAGAGTGATAAGCCTGGATAAGATGTCGACATGTCGAGAAAGCCATTCGGAAAACGTATGAATTACTCAATCCTAGGGATAGAAAGGACTGATTGCGTTTAAGTGGCGATACGCGTCGGGTCGTTCCCAGTCGACGGACTAAGGAGTCAACGGAATGGATAATAAAACGGACGCAATTGCGCTGATCAGCTCTTCATATGCCCAGTAGCAGCTGCAGTCCGCTGAGGTTAAGCACTTTGACGCGAAGCTCATACGGCAGACTGGAGTTACTGTAGACCCGAGGACAACACCACGGTCATAAGTAAAACAGATCTAGTGTGATAATAGCAGCCCTGTTTTCTAGATTCGGACTGCATCGTTAAGATGGATCCATGAGCCGGTTCATTGGTGCCAAGTCTTCAGAATGGCGTGTCGCGATTGTATCACAAGACGGTCGAAGAAGTCTTCAATCAGAAACGACCGGGGGTCAACAGTGCCTGGGATTGAATCCGGCTGATGAATAGTCCATCTGAATAGGCCACTCCCGAGTTTTTAGGGAGAACAGAGAACCGTCATAATTAAATTCGCATCTATAGAAGACAATCTTACGGAATAGAAGGTACAGAGTCTCCGATGTTTGGAGAGCCCGAAAGAGACCATCTTGACCCGAGAATCGTCTCTGTAAAGCGGAATACCAGCCCATACAAGTGGGTTAGCTCGAGAACTTCGAAAACGAGTTTGCGATTGCGACCAGTATGCATATCACGTCACTTACACGAGGACGCCTTCCTCACTGTGTGGGAATAATTTCTTGAATTTCGTTCTATTCCCTCGAATTACGTCCGGGTCTGTTTGAGTCACATGAAGTTAGATTCTATTGGATGTCCGACACCATTATCCAAACAGAAATATACAAATTCAACGCCCTACGTCCTCCAATTCGCCGAGACGCGTACCTTCATCGGGCCAACCCGAAATATCGTCTAAATTTCCACCAGATAGATTGGCGGAAGCATTAGCCGGCCGCTCAACGTTTCTATGAAGCATCTTCACAGTGGCCTCGGACGCGATTCGATGAGCTAAACGCGCCGAAAAAAATCAGTATACTTGACACTCCTCAGATAAAGACTGACTAACCTTCAAGACTCTCCGTAATCTTCATCTTCAGCTCCTCCTCAGGATCCCCGTCCGTGGTGTTCTTGGCATCCTCGGGCGACATGTGTTGGGGTGGCACGAAAGTGGAAGTATTAGCGGCCAGTGTTTCGGAACTCGTTCCGCTAGGTTGCGGCACTGGAGTGGCAGTCGTTGTAGCAGTTGTAGCACTAGAGTGGGTCATGGCGTTCAGTATAGGATCAGAGGAGTGAAGAACGACGACGATTATATAGCTACTGGGAACGGTCTTCGAACAAAGCAAAACCAAGAAGAAGGACAAGAATGGTTTGTCGTGTCAGTGGCGTCAAGACAATGACCGCGCAACAAAGAAACAACCTACAGAATTGGGAATGTCCTCTGTGAGATCGAACATTGTATCAAACACCAATCAAAAGCACTGGTGGTCTGTTGAAAGCGATAGCGTATCAGGCTACGTGAGCAGATCATTGTCTCCTCCAAGTGGACCGGTGAAAGTAGTGATAGAGAAATGTGCCACAAAGTCAATCTAGCAGAAGGCGCACAGAGGAGGTAAGGCGACTTAGCGATCGATAAGGAATGAACCGACACCTGGGAATACAAGGGAGTTTCCCATTTTACCAGAATACGCGAACCAAGAGACATGTCTAACGTGTAATGTGCGAGAAACGATGGTTCACCTCGTCAACTTTGTCGTCCTCATAAGGGCAAATACATGGGAACGTCCGGCGGAGGAATTGCGGTAAAAAAAACAAGAATCATGGCCTGGCGAGTCGGCCGGTAAGATATTGATGTGTAGAAAACCGACCTTTAGTGGGTTGGTGTGCTTTCTAATTGGAGAAATGAGTATGTCCGATATTCCGGTGGTATGAAAAAAATGCAATTATTTCGTGAGTCTACATCCGCTGCAATAGTGTGAGTGATATGCTGTCCTTCAAAAACAATAATACCTGTAAGCTTCCTATCCACCCCGTAACGCATTTGAAGATAATGAATAAGAGATTTCCTGCCCTCTATTGCTCTATCTTTGCTGCAAGCATCTCCCTCTTAATCCCAATTTCCTCCCTGAGCATCGAGATACGGCTATCCAACCTTGACGACAAATCTGTAGAATTCGGCGCCAAAGCCATAGCTTTGTCCAGCTTTGCCCCGGCACCCTCTAGAACTTCCTCCCATCCATCACCTTCCTTCCCTCCCGCCTCCTTCTCTTTCAAATCAACAACTGCTAATTCAAACATCGCCAGGCCACTGATCCAGGTGCTGACGCGGATATCTCCATGCTCGCCAATCGCGTCCTGGAAGAACGCCCGGGAAGACTGAAAGTCCTCTGTCACCCGGTGAACGATGCCGAGTAGCAGCGACCGCAATGCGAGCTCATCAGGCGTATCCAGGTCTAGTGGTACACCGGCAGGGGGAAGAGGTAAGTCGAGAGTTTCCATGAATGCACTCCGTAAGCTGGATCGCGGCGTAAGCGATGCCCAATCTCGAATATGAGCCTCAGCGACCGATTTCGAGATGCGCTCGTGTGTGTTCCAGACTATACGGATGTCAGCTTCATTTGAAGGGTCATCAACAATTTCTTACATATCGCCATCTCTAGATATCAGTCAGAGAGACGCCTAGGCTCAATTAAGAACGAACGTACCTTCGGCCGGACTGATCTTCATGCACTGCACAAGTTTCTTCTCGTCTCCGCCCCGTCGTTTCTGTTTTTCCTTGTAGAACTCGACTGTAGATAATCGTGAGTCAAGGTCCTAATACCCAAAGGATGATGATACCAACTCTTCTTCTTGATCAAGACCTCCATCGGCAAATCTTTTCCGCCCATCTTTCGCTTATCAATCATCCCAGGAATGGCATCGAATAATTCTTGTGCCTTGTCTAGGTCACCGATAGTGATGTAGCAACCTACGATAAAGGGTATCAGGACAAGAATACCAGACAGGAAAAATCTCACCGGTAGCAATGAAATAGTAGGTGGCAGGGCTCCAGTTGTTCAACTCTGTCAACCGTATGAATTCGATGGCGGCTTCCTCATATCTTCTCTCGGCCAGCAACGTCCAGGCCAGCTCGAACACAAGCAGCGTATCGGCCTGCTTAAACGACGCCTCTCTGTCAGGCTTCAACCCATCTCTCAGAACTGCAATAGCCCCTGGAGCATCGTATGACATACGCTTTATTTTGGCCTTTGAAGAACATGTCAGCAGGAAAAGTAGGCTTCGATAATATGCAGACCTGGTTCAGTATCCACAACGAGCCGGCCGGATAGCGTTCGCTAACACTGGCTACCATTGCACCGTATTGCTTGAGAATGTGCGCCTCATCTGCCTGATAGCCGGAAAGAAGGAGAACGACACCGTGATATGTCATTAGCACCAGGGCAGCAAAAACAGAATGCACGTCAGTTTTAGCGGCAGAGACCGCAAGAGCTTGTAAAGCGAGCTTGCGATCATGCTTAAAACCAAAGAAACCGACGACACCCCTGAAAAGGGTGAGTAGGTGACGTGAAAAGCAGAGGCAGACTGACTGTATACGTTTAGGCAGCAGAGAGAAGACGAGGTTAAATAATCCAAAGCCGAAAGCCGTCCCGGAGATGATAAGCTCTTCGACGGGACCTTCAGGAATGATAGGTTGCGGCACCGCCAGTGTAGAACCGCCAGACCATTTGCTGAAAAAACTTGTCTTAGTAGCGTTGGTGGAGACGGAACGGATACTGGGATTGGAAGGCTTTCGAGATACGGATGGTGACGCGGCCGGCGTTCGATACCCATCTAGACCATTGGGGAACACGGTCTTGAATAATCTGCGAAGAAGTCGTGAGATCAGAATTATATATCGAAATTGGGGCCTACTTGGTAAATTTGGAATGGGCGCTAAAACTTCAGAATTAGCGGCTTGGCTTCGGACAGAAGGGACTTGCTTGCCTATTAAGAGAATATCTATAATATGATGAGAACACAAACAAGAGGAGAGATGACGGTATTACATGCATTGAAGATATCCCATATACGATTCGCTGCATGCAGGCCGGTCAACAGTCACCAAATTATCACACAATCCAGTACACGTACCCGAGCGCATGCGTTATCCCCAACAGAACGACAGAATCAGCATTCATTATCTCCCACTCAATTCCGGGGGGTAGCCGCGCGTTGGTCCTGCTTTTGACAGCCTTCATTTGCTTTCTGGATCCAGCCTCGGACTGGGCCAGCGACTTTGCGGCTTCCTCCATCTTTGCCGACTGAGAAGAGATGAATTTGTCAATATCTTGCTGGATGACGCGTTGATACATACCTCCATTCCCATGGCGGCCTCCAAAAACACGCAAACGCCAGCGCCCAGGGAATGAAACGGCGAATCGTCGTTTGCGAACTCCGTTTGGGCATCAGCAATGGCATTCGAGAAGAGGAAATCAAAGCCCTTGCTGGCTGAGCGCAGCTGCTCCGTCGTCCTGTCGGGTGAGGACATGGTGGTTAGGAACAGAGAGGGGCAACAACTGATGCACGAAGTTTAGTGGCCGATGACGTACTCCAGCCGGCGGCAATGCCGATTTCAATTTGGTGTCAAAATTGTCCCGAAACGGATTACCCTTGCATTCCGGCAGAGCCCGGCATACATCAGGCAGGAATGTAAATTGAATGTAAAAATAACTTCGATCTGAGTGTTTGGTAATACGCAGTGATCTCCAGGGCTATGACATGATGATATATGAAGCTATCCGTAAGAATTTCGTGAAATATGTTAGTTACTCTTCAATTTAGGTTACGCGCGCGCCCCCGTCGGGGTTGAGAAGGAGAAATTATTGTTGGAAAACGGGGTATCGGTTCGTTCCCAGTGTCACATGCGCGGTAGCAAGCCAATAGTATTGCGCTTGGCTGAGCTCTGCAAACGCATGAGGATCTACGCTAAAGTACCTACTTTTATACTAAATGTACTTTTACTAGAACTTTCCACGCTTTTCCTAAGACTTCTACCTTAATAAGCATCCTCGGCATGATGCCGGATTGCCAAATCCCAACAATTATATCTATTACGGGTAAAACATTAAGGGATCTGTCGCTATCCTATCCAAGTAGCTAATGATAACAGTACGACGATGTAAGACGAGCATAAAATGCACAGCCATACTCAATATTTCTTTCACCTGCTGAATTCTCATTTTCTCCTCCTGCTGGAACTTCCGGGTCGTGAAGATGGGCCTGCCTCCCCAATCGCGGGCGAGTCAGACAACTCAGCCTCCGCATCATCGTCCCAAGGATCAAAACCATCGTCGCAAGAGTCCCAGACATCCTCGAAAGAGTCCGAGTAGTCATCGAACACCTCGTTCACTTCCTCTTCCTTGGATTCCTCCCCGGACCGTATAGGTGGCTTCATCCCAAACTTGATATACGCGCGCCGCGATGCTCTGGTCCTGATAATGGTCTTGAATTCCTTGTGCGTTAGTCCAACCTTAGTCTGAAGATCGCGTTCTTGACTGAGGTAGTGTAGGTACGTAGCATGCAATACCTGGAAAACTCCAGAACCGTTGTCGATGTGATCCATGCGAAAGCCATTTGCCTCTGGGTAAAGATGTTTGAACACTGTCTGTCCTCCCGTGCGAAACAACGGATTAAGTTCTTCCGGTTTATTCAAGAGCCTGCATAGTCAAGGAAGTACGTGAGAAAATAAAGAGGAGGAAAATGATGCGAGACTTACGCGTAAGCGCAATTCACACATACATCCCATCGGCCCTCTTCAATCACGATAGGACCCTCACAGATTTCACATTTAGGCTCCTACGGCAAAACGTCAGCAACAGTGAAATCAGGGTCTCAATATAGGACGTACGCCGCAAAATCGTTCCCTTGTAGCCTTCTCGCTGGCAGCCTTCGATTTAGCCTTTGACTCAGCCTTGGCCTTGGCCTTCGACTTCGACTTTCTCGATCGACGCGTAGCAGGCGCTTCGATGTCGGGGACGTCCATCGGAAGGAGACCTCCGGGTAGAGCTGGAGGAAACAATGGCTCCGACGCGGTAGGTTGGCTATCACAGTCGCTGGCTCCCAAAACTGATGGCAGAAGCATCGACCTGGACTCGAACTGCGATGGATGGGAGATGCCTTTTTTCGAGTCATCTTCGTATTCACCAGGAATAGAAGAGAAACTCGTGCGGAAGGACTGATATAAGTTTGGCCATAGAGCGCCGTCAAGTGGCTGATACAGCTGCCGATTTTGCTGGTCCAATAGCAGAGGATCAACGACGCTGTAGGGTGGAGGTATAGGGGTCTGAGCCGAGAAGTCCATGACAGAAACGAGGAGATGAAAGAGAAAAAAAGTAAAAATAACAAAAGAATAGAACAAGAAAGCTAAGAAGCGAACGTGGGGAAGCAATGTTATGGGAGAGTATTCATGTTGAGCGGTTTATATAGACGTTCTGCTAGGTGGCAATCATCCACGCTTCTAGAACGCGCCATCGAGACTATTTGAGATATTTTTGATCATTAGTGAGGGAACAAAACGACCAAACACTTGGTAGAGAACAAAGGCACGAAGCATGATCATTGTCTTCGTGGAACTCACACTTTATTGTTTCAGTAAATGCCACCCGGAGTAGGCTAACGAAGACTTACTTACGAGATTTTAGCAACTTGAAATAGATTGCATCCAAGTATTTTCTAAGAGAAGGTTTGTCTTTAGGAATTCAGTACCGGCGGACTGATGCCGGAAAATGGATTTCAAAGCATAGGATGAATGATATTGGATATCAGTGTTTCCCCATAGCCTACTTGATACATAGATATTGTATTGATCTGTAGAAAAGGTCATTATCATGAAGAGATCGTTGGTTCGTAGAAATATTTACACCTTGGTCTTTCCTCGTTGGTCACTGTTCAGAGGTTAAGAATTCTCTGAGTCGACTTTACATATTGTACCGTCATCTGCTACGAGTTTGAACCTTACTGCAGGAGAGACGTGAGAACCACGGTAGAAGCAGTAGTCAAGACACATAAGGTTTGACGCACATATTTCAAAAGGTTGTGTCTCATCTCTCCGCATACTAGTAAAGTACACAGTCTCTGAACCTAACCAAAGTGGATAAGCATGAGATGAAGCATTCCTCTCCGTCATCGTACCGTTATTTCCCTCGACCCTAAAGCTAAGATCAACGTATCCCTGGGGAATATCAACCTAGACGTCGGACGTAAATCAGCTCAACCAATGTCCTGCGAACGAAGTCCCCGACAGACCGATCCACAAATCCTAGGATGTTCATTGAGCCACCACTTAGTTTCAGCGACAATCCCATCACCGAAAATTATCTTCACCCAGTGATCATTTCGAAGCAAATGTATAAGTTCCTGTACAATCGAGCTGGAAATTTTCTCCTTATTCGTGATATATGTCCAGAACAGCGTCCATGCAGATACACCAGCGATAGTACACGCGATGGCAATCGACCAGCGTTTCTGCATCGACCTGTCATCACCATGAAAGAGCGCGCATGAAAAATAAACCCCCACCTTGACCAGCGGCACTCCTCTTTCTATTTCTGGAGATTCCCTCTCCCTGAGGATATAACGTCGTGGACGTGCTGTATCGGAAAACGTCGTGACACGGGGCGGTTACCTCAGAGACGGTGGAGGGGCAGGCATTTGGCGTCCAAATGTCCTGCTTAAATGGATCCGCCATGATCCATCGCAGTTCTCGAGCATGTTTGCCTAGATGCATCTCAGCAATAAAAACGAATAGAGGAAGGGATCTAGCCGGAATATCCGGCACGGTTCGTATCTGGCGTTCGGTTCCGCCGCAGCCATATTTCTTGACCCTTCGTTATCCCGGGTCGACATCATCTGCAGCTGATGTCAGCGAGGCGCAGCTGGTCTGCGACGATCAGGATTACGGTAGTCGGAAGGATTCAGAGGGAATGTGCATATTCGCTGTCATTTCGGACTCATGCACTAGTAGATAATGTTGCTACAACTGTCATTACTTCTCACAACGAGCCATCGAGGTCGGTAGGAGTAGTTTACTTCTATTTACCTGAGCTGTATCAGCGGAGATGGCCAATCAATCCAGTTTTCCAGTTTTCCGATCCGAAAATATCCGTGACAGCATGTGGGTCCATATGGGTGCATCGCTCCTAAGCAGAGGAATTGCTGCGCAATTGCTAATCCGGTACAGGCGCTGCTCATAATTATATGTAAACAGAAGGAATTGAAAATCTGGGATTTGGTTGCTCCGATCAGCAGCTGACCAAAGCATTTTAAGGTCAGCGCCCTTTCGTTGAACTTGGGGTCAACTTGAGGCAGATAATTTGCTGTACATTCTTCGATACATACATGTGCAGTGAAGTGAATTTCATATACAGTGGACTGTTCCCGGTAATTGAATCCAACAGCACCAATTAATCCAGCTAGTCTGAGTTTTAATATCTGTAACACTCATTTCGGTCGAAATGACCGGGGCAAATATAGGCGTTGAATTAAGGCGTTTGTGAGTCCAGGTTCACCATCAAAAGCACCGCGCACGAGAATAGGTTGCTGAAATGCATCATAAACCATGGATCTCTCCCGCATTGCTTCCACTTTCTTTGGGAGGTATATTTGTATATTCAATCAAAGTCCAACGCTCTCCTCCCTCTCTGCCTCCGAGGATAAACGCAAAGATATTAATTGGGACAGATGAGGCCGCTACGGCAACTCGGACAGCTCCACTTGTACTCGCACAGAGACAGGAAAACCCAGATTTACCGAAAGATATCCAGGCCGCGGCTCGCGAAATAACCCACATTGTTTGTCCGCGATTGCTTGAGTTGAAGAGCAGAATGGACACCCGTTAAGCAGTCCCGTGGGATCACGGATCCATATTACCTTTGAAAGATTCCAGGCGTGCAGTAAAACACGAGGCCTAGGCCCTATGAAGGGACTCTTGCGTTTTGAATTTAGACGAGAAGCCCGGCGGTGGAACCAGATTACCAGACAATCTGAAGGGTCCATCATTCGCTGAGTGTTAATCAGAGTGGATCCACTTCTAAGATCATCGGAGCTCTAAAACTGACAGCATGGTGTCACGATGCGGAAGAATATTTATCAAGAGTGCGCTGAGTGAAAACATATTCGGTTTTATTGACAGAGGACCGAACATATACCGAGCATAGACATCATTGCACTAAGGATTCAAAGACTATCACAAGAAAGCAAGTCCAAAATCAAGGGAAGAGCTTCAGAGATCCGGAAAGATCATATATCCCGGGCGCTCATTGGTACGCTTCTGCTTGCGCGTTATACATCTGAGCATACTCTCCTTCAATAGCCATTAGCTCGGCGTGAGTGCCACGCTCTACGATCTTTCCTTCATTCAAGCACCTACGACACATGTCATCAACTTCCCGCTATCATTCAGGATCTCATCGATTGAATACTCACAAAACCTGATCAGCACGCTTGACGAGATGTGCGAACCTGTGTGTGACAAAGATCTTCGTCATGCTTTTACCTCGCTCCAAGAAACCATTCAATAAATCACGTTCAGCAACAGGATCCATTGCCGAAGTTGCTTCGTCAGCTATTAGGAGTTTAATTCCTCCGTTCAATAGCTTCATACACGCGCGGGAACTGAAACGTTTTCATCAAAACACAAGGGAGGCAATATCGGAAGGAAACGTACGCAAGAATTCTTTGAGTCTCGCCTCCTGACAGCTTCGTAGGCGTCCGCGGGGGATGTTCCTGTTTCTGTACTTGTATTGTTGCTGTCGAGGGAAACCTGTGTCCACAGCCAGAGACAGAGACGTTAAATGAGCGTTCAAATGCGTCGTTGCTGGGAGTGTAAAGGGAATCAAAGCCGTTCTTCTGTTCATGGATAATCGCAGACGATCCACCCATAGTAGCTGCTTTTTCAAGTATCTGGATAGGATGATTTCCCTGGATAACCGAGGTAGAGTTACCGAGAGCCGTGAGAAAGTTATCGCCATAGGATAGTGGATAAAGAACGTCTCCCTGCGAGAGAACAGTGATAGACGATCGAAGAGAAGCCAGCTCATAATCTTGTAACGGTCTCCCATCAATGAGTATCTCCCCAGAAGTAGGATCTCTCAAACGAGACAACAGGTTCAAGAGGCTAGACTTTCCACTGCCGTTGATGCCGACAATAACAATAAGCTGTCCGGGAGAAATATCGAACGATACGTCCTTGAGGGCTAGCTTATTGCCAGGGTATATAAACGAAACATCCCTGGACATTGACGTGACTAATATTCAGAAATGATAGTGGCATTTTACTCACCGGAAAGAGATGCTCATCCCTTCGCTGGAAGGCTTCTCACTACCAGGATACTCGCAATTTCCAGTAGCCATAGTCGAAGTGATATGCAGATCTCGGTAGCATAACTTCGCTTCCTGAAGTAAAGCAACGAAGGAACTGGAATAGCATAGTACCGTCAAATCGGAACTCTTCCTCAGGTTACTGAAAGCTGCCTGAAGAAGCATGCCTGCAGACAATAGAGATGGCGTCAGAGGAGTCCAGAATAACACAACGGAACATAATGCCTATGAAATGATTCACTTCAGTAATTCTTTCGGTAAGATCACAAATGAGCACACCGGAAAGCCGTCAACAAGAATTATGCTAGCAAGATCCCAGTACCATGGAGGGGGAACGCTTATCGAGGCGAAGTCTGCCTCACTGTATTTCTGTCTACCCAAAGATTCGATTTCTTTCTTGTATTCTATTAAAGTATCAATCATTTAGAACAAGGAGGACTAGGATGCGACAGTTACCTTGATATATGTAGCCTTCTGGTACGGTCTTCACCATGGAGTCGCGATAGACCCAAGGATTGAATATCATTTGATGGAGCCCTATCAAACGATCGTAGTGGGGATTCTTCGTCCAGTATACATATCCTGGAACGAGGATACAATGAGCTCCACCGTGATTATCGAGGAAAGTTTATTTACCCGCGCCTCCAAAACCGTTGATGGGCTTGAGCAAAAGGAAAGTCAGAACGCAAGAACCGAGCGTCGTGATTAATACCACGGGCAAGGATCCATCCAGGAGGATAATGAAAACTACAACTTGAAGGATAACGCTTATTATAGCACGTAGTCGAAGAATAATGGCCTTCAGGGTTGCCCACGCCTGGCAGTACGCTTGGTGAAACTCGCCGGGGTTGGGAAAGCTATTACCACCTAGGAATCATGAGAAAGGATGTCTGTACTTGGTCCGAGAGCGAATCATACCAGTTGCAGTATTCAGATCTAGAGCCAAGCTCGCTGGTAACATAATAAGAATTAAGATAACATATAACGCAGCGAACCGATGACTGACTTTTAGCGAACTGAGGATAAAGAAGCAACTTGGTCGCCGAGTCCAGTGCACGATCATTCCCTGTGCTGTGAATTTATCAATACAAAGAGTTATGTTCAGCAGCTAGGACCTACATGAGACGCGCAGCTACGACCGACACTGAGGCGGACGCCAACCAATACAGCACAGGATTTTTAAAGTCTTCCATCATTGTATCTGAGTTGGAAAACCCGGAGGTCATCCACATCTCAATCTACGTAGCTGTATGAGCCACAGAGGAAATTATGGATAGTTGGCATCTTACGGTGTGGAGTCCCACTTTGACGAGGCAAATCGCCACAGCCGGAGAGAGGCTCAACCATAGATTCGCGGTGATGTAGAGCAGGAACGTCGTCGGCGCGATGGAGTAGACATCGTTGAAGAGGCGAAGAGCAAAAACGCCGTGTTCTGAGATGCTGTATACCACCGATATGATAGCGTCGTGAGAGGGTAAGAACCCCTCTTTCTCGTACGCAATCTCGAAGATACCCAGTCGCTCCCGTTGGATAGGACCTTGGGCATCGTCGTTCGGCGTGCAGATGGTAGTCTTGGAGGAGAAAATTGAGTTATCGGACATTGTTGAGGTGAGCGATCGAGGAAAGTTCTGGGTAGTTGGTTGGAATCCTTTCTGTATTTATGTGATACGTTTCGGCTCGGGCTATCCTTAAGTGGATGAGTCAGTAAATCAGAGCCATCTTGTTTACCTGATTCGGGACATGAATTGTCATAGTAAACATCGGTCGTGTTGCAGGTACAACACGCGTTTTGGCCACACTCATTTCGAGAATGGTTGAGATCGAGCGGAGGTTAAAATTCCACGCCCACAGAGAGAACAGAAGTGAATGAGATGGTGGGGATCACTTTGTTCATTTTTAATGATAATAAAACAAGAAGATTAGTGTATCCAAGCCGACAATTATGGCGGTGCGGGTGGGAAGTCGAGTCAAGAGACGATGTAATCCATTCCTGTCTGTGGATTTGTTGCTTCTCCAGGATGACACATGAGTGACAAGAAGCAAGGACACAATCTCATGGACTAGTAACCTCGCGATGTTCGATGCCGTAATAGTGCCTTGTTAAGGACGTACTTCACAGTCTTCGACAGGGATCTATCGTGAAACAGCTTTACGCAGGCGCTGTACCCACACATGTGGTGTGCAAGAGCTTGTCGCAAGTTACACCCTAGTGATGCTATATGCCACACCCCACGAATGCAGATCTTCGATCGTATTTGCGAGAAATCGTGGCAATAAGAAGCTCTTGTAGCGATTACGACGGATAAAGATGCTGTATGCGGAGTCAGAATGTTACCTCAACAGCGGTTCAGTGGGAATTTTTACCATAATTTGATGGCGCTGTAAGATGCGCCTCGGTGGCGGTAACCAATCATTCCAGGGAAAAGAAACAAAGGAGAAGGGTATGGGCGCTAATCATAATCAGGTACAGTCCAATGATCCATGTTTCTAGCCCCGCAACAGGGTGACCTGACCGTTTTCTGAGTTTGGTAAAAAGGTCCCAGTACCGACGATGTTCATTTCCGTAATTCTGATCCTTCAAGGTGGCCGCTGCGAGCCAAAATCATGGCACGCTGCATAGCTCTTGGAATACAGGTCATGTAAACCGTCGCCATGCCACCATGTGCGTGACGCAATGTTCTCCCTCGGCGCGAAAAGCAAGCGGAGAGGCGTAATCACATACTAGTATCAGGCGTTGGAGGTCTGTTGACACGCCATAATTAGCAACGAGATTTTTTACGACCGTGGTCTATGTCCGCGGGTCAGAGGGCGACCCTATGGCTGTGGTTGGTGCGCAAGGTATGTCCAGAGTGTTTGTTGTACTCTTTTAGGAAACGATTATTTCAGGATTTAAATAAAACAAATGGGTATGTTTGGGGAATACCTTCGGAAAACCCAGTTAATAGACTTCATGATTGCCTCATGATCTATTGAGAGCGGAAATACCCCGGTAGGTGCACAACAGAAACCACGCCGCAATCGATTTCGGCGCTTAAATGAAGAGATGAAGTGCATGGTTGTGAAGAGCCAAACAATGAACTGAAATCAGACCTCAATCAAACGTGACACAAAACGGAGGCACATACTTCCTCGACATAGATGAAACCCACCTCGTGTAACAACCCCAGTGCTGCGGGAGCAATGAGAACTGATTTCAATCTCCAATAAGTCTGGATTGGCACAGGGATACGAAAGAACTTCCGTCGCAGCTAAATGGGGTAGGTTAGTGTAGGGATACCTTGAGGGCGCGCCCGGTTACCGAGGCCAAAGTGCCCGACCTGATCGATGGGTGCGCTACAGCTGAATAATAATTTCTGAAAGACATTGAGGATGTATTCTCGCATAAATCAAAAGAAAGGAATAGGAACTTTTGCCAAAAAGAAGTAAGATAACGATAAAGGGAAGGAGCAAGGGGGTAGTAAAAGTTAAGAAAATCATATCGGGTCGATATTATTTTTAAGCCCTCTCCTGACCGACCGACCGACCGTGTGGGAATAACATACCCTTAAAGGACCGATCATGTGACTAAATGACGCACAAGATTCCCGGTCCGTTGTCTTCCGTTGTCTTTCCGTGCGCTGCCATGTCCTTACAGGCTATGATGCTAACGGCGAGTTTTATCCTCATCTTCCTAGGTCAACACACTGCACGGGATAAGTACTACGTTCAAGCAAGGTAATGAACCAAATTCCAATTACTCAATTGAAAGTAGTGTTGCCGCGGCTCAGCTTATCTCGGCTTAACGCTGAAGTCAGTTTTGAGCCATTTTCTCTGACTGCACCAATGTTCAAAATGACAGACAATTTGATGTCTGCATTCACTCACAAGACTTATTGGTATTATCAGTGACTGTGTTCTTGTTCCTCATACCCTTCTATCCTCGGCAGGTGACGGCGGCTCAAAACCGACTTCGGCGTTAAGCCGAGATAAGCTGAGCCGCGGCAACACTAATCGAAAGTTCACATTTCTTTGCTTTGGGATGCCTCTCTTGGGCTCTGAAGCTTTTCTTGGTCATTTAGGCATGTAAATTGGCCCTTGTACTGAGTATGGGGTGCACAGGTGCTGATTTACTAGGACCGGCAAAATTATTTTTAGTGACCTTTTCGACTGACCGACCGACCAACCGGATGTGCCGGGCTGACGGCCCGCAACCCCCTTGGGAAGGATGGCTGGAAGGATCAAGCCGACTTCGGCAATTGCCGGACCGCCTTCACTCCGCGCCATCGCGTAGGAATCCTTTTTCCATCTACGCATTCCTTGTATTCCTTTCGCCTCTCCTCTCCATGCTTTCTTTGTTACGGAGTAAACAGCAGTCAAGAAATACCACCTCTCTGTTACAAGTAATGGCCCGTACGCGCATGTCGAGCTCTGTCTCGGAACAACGCCCACCTAAAAGGGCCCGAAAAACAAAGATCAACGACGAAAAACTGCAGGGTGCTGAGGTTAAAATTGGAAGAAGTCCTGCCTCGTCACACAGCCTTTGGCATGTTGGTGCCCACGTTTCTGTCGCTGGTGGCATTGAGAATGCAGTACTGAACGCGGCGTCTATAGGGTGTGTTACAACAGCTATACCTCAAAATTTCTCGTGCTATGTTTCACGTAGAGCTGATGCTTTCGCGTTATTCGTAAAATCACCCAGGAAGTGGGCTTCTGATCCTTTCAAAGACTCAATGGTCGAAAACTTCAAGGCGCGTATGAGGGAATACCACTACGGACCTAGAGATGTTCTAACACATGGAAGCTATCTTATCAATCTCGGCAATCCAGACTTGTGGGTTCTTCCAGCTGCCAAATGTATTATTTGAAAATTGTGCCTTGTAGTCAAAAGAGAGAAAAGTCATATGAATGCCTTGTTGACGACCTAAACCGTTGCCAACAGCTCGGTTTGGAGGTTTATAACTTTCAGTTAGTGATATAGTCTCTGGAATCAATCTTGGTTAACAATATCTAGTCCAGGTTCGTCTGTGGGTGCAGCGACGACCGCGGAATCAATAGGCCTCATCGCGGAGTGCCTCAATCGGGCGCACAAAGCTACAACATCTGTAGTAACTGTACTTGAGAACATGGTAAAAAAATCAGGCAATCACCCTAGCAAATCTCTAACGGTCTTTGACAGGCCGGTGGCGGTCATATCATCGGCTCTGATTTCTCTCATCTCGCAGATATCATAGCAGCCGTAGAAGATAAATCCCGCATTGGAGTTTGTTTGGATACATGTATGGCTCGCGTTGCGTATCGGTTGTCGACGTTAACACCCTTTCTAGGTCATATGTTTGCAGCGGTGAGTTATGAACCATATGGCAAGACTCCTTTCTCAAACAGCAACAGGGCTACGACATCCGAACCAAACAAGGATGGGAGTGAGTCTCATTCCTCTCGTACTTGACTTCCATTGAGCTTGATATGAGAATAGCGACACGAGTACGACCACGTCTCCTCCTTTATCCTGCCGTTAATTGACACCTTCACACCAGTAACAAAGTTTGATCAACAAGTTGGCTTGTCATACTTGCGCGGAATGCACCTGAACGACTCCAAGACAGATTTCGCGTCAAATCGTGATCGCCACGAGAACATCGGCATGTTCGTTTTATCATCTCCGTTTACATTCCCCGAAACTCACCCTCCGTAGGGGCCGTATAGGATTGGAGCCGTTCCACTACATCCTAATTGATCCTAGAGTTCAAGGTATACCTCTTATTCTGGAGACCTCTGAACCAGAGGCGTGGGCCACGGAGATTGAGGTGCTGAATGAGCTCTCCACCTGTACCAAACTCGATGATAAGAAGAAAAAGGTGCTCCTCTGTCGCATTCGAAAGAGCCTGAGAGGAGCTGGTCCTCACAGGGCAGGTTCAAGACGAATCCAGCGCTCAAAGAAAACCGATGATGATGATGAGGAATGCGATAGCTAAGTTTTCGACCTGAAGATAGCAGTGTCTTATTTACAGTAAGGTGAGAACCTGAGCTTCCCTTGATGTACCGTCACTTATGTAGCTTTAGGGAGAGGCAATGAGGCATGATGCTGGCCACCGTATATTTAACGTTGTGATATTCAGGCTATTTTTACCTTTGGACAGCTCAGTGTCTGATTACATAAGTAACTGCCTCTTCTGTTTTCGCTAAATATGCCCCCCATAAGAATAATGGTCGCTCCGGCACATAATTCACAAGCCCTCATTGGAAGCGGTAAAAGAGAACGAACTTGGTTCTTTTATGCATTTTCGTGCAGCAGTCGTAGCATATCTTTGTGTCCGTATTGAGCAATGACTGAAATCTCCGAAGGGTACTCCGCCGGCCTTCTTTTCGTTTTCTTCCATATACCCTTATCCACTCGTGAACCGTCCCGACCGATACATTTAAGGCAGCGATACAACCATTGCCTTGCATATATAACTTGCAAGTGAGTTGATTATATGCTTTATCTTCACCACAAATCTGCCGAACCCACGCAGTCTGAATGTGTCGCTCGCTAACAGTTAGGTCAGGTGAGTGATTTTCGATTGTAACCAACGTTCCGCCCGCTGATGACCCGATGAGATGTGGCTTTCATTTCTAAGGAGTTAGCGGTGACGATTCTCTATGGGTTCCGTCTGATGCTTTTTGAGTAGATTGACCAAAGGTTGCGTTTCTCCTTCGAAGAATCTGACTCTCTTAGCTTTGCGTCATAAGCCACTGGATATCGCCAAGGAGTCGAACGTGAGAGAAAGCGTCTACGGGTCTACTCTGTATTAGCAACGGGTCTGTGTTGCGCAACATACCAGATACTGGCAGCTATTAATTTAGTGAGTTGCAGTAGTCAATTTTGTTGGGTTTTGCTTATACATTTTCAGCGAATTAAACTATGTTAAACGACTCGGTCTCTGCTTGTCCTTAGACGCTGATTTTCACATTCTTCCACTGCCGGTAGATCGGATACAATGCCGGATATCCTTGTAGGTCAAAGTTAATTGGGCATGGGACCACTGGGCGTCTATCGAATCATCTCTCATGTCTACCATCACCTCAACGCCGAACCATCCCATGTCAACCTGCTCTGCTAGATTACAGAAGGATTTACCGACCGAGCAGCAAGGAAACGAGGCCGGGGAAGAATACATGCATCCGATCACAGTCGCCATCGAGCAATCTGGGTTCACAGAACTAAGATATCTGAATAGTCTCAGAACCCTGGTGCTGTACACTATTCCCTTTCGCTTGTTCATGATATTAACTAGATTTAGGGCCAAGAAAGTGCAGTTATGGAACGTCACTATGAAAGACAACAACACACTGCTGACGGCGCCGACAAAACTATGACTCGCTCGTGGTTTTTGCGGATGAGACAGATCATGCAGGAGATCGACCGATTTTGTCCTGTATGTGGCATTATGAGCGGGGATTTCGATTTTTGGATCTAGGGTTGATACGCCTGCCTGGCGTCTACCCTTGGAAAACGCGTATAAATCTTAATTTTATTATCCTACAAACTACGTTTGTAGCTGTGCGAGTAAGAAAGAACCTGCAAGGCACACAGCAAGAAGTGTTAAACCCCACTGCGTCAGTAAGGACTCAGCCGTGACAAGCCTAAGGGCTCGGGCAACAGACCGGTGATCCGATGACTCAGCCCGAGTGACCGAAGGTCCAGGCAGGTCGAAAGCACATGGCTCCAGCCGAACCGGCATCCCAGGCACTGATGGCCGCCTGATGGCATCGGTCCGAAAGTAAGAATAACAAAACAAAGAACGATCGCGTACGGCTTTACTTACCTGGCAGCTTTCCTAGTCTCTCAGGCGGACGGTTGGCTCGCCGGGTAGATGAGAAACAAGAACCGTAACACCAGGGGCTCTGACCCGGTACAGGTAAAACTTAGTATCATGAGCCAGGACACCAGATTGCGGCACAAGATCATGATCGGGTTCACCTGGGAGCCGGGATATGAGCTCATATCCACCCGGCTCAGTCAGCGGGCGCAGTAATAGTACCTGGAAAGATTGGAAATATAGATAGGGTAGAATAGTATAAATACTGTCCATGTAACTAGCGGGAGGTCAGGTTTCTGACCCCCGGAACGCTACCAAGCAAATTAGTATGGGTTTTGGTTAAGAGCTTCGAGTCCTAGACTCACCTGGAATTGTATTTAGTGACCTGGTCACATTTTGTGTGCAAGAACCGTTCAGAAAGCAGTCAGTTCAGAAAGATACAGACAGACAGTCAGAAGTACAGTCCAGAATCCATGTTAGCACCAGTAAAACTGCAACCAGGCAGACAGTATCAGTTCAGACACTGCACCAGGCAGTTAGTACGCATTCAGGAAACTGCACCAGGCAGCCCGTTGGTATCAGATTGTGTTCGGTAACACAGAAAGTCCAGATTTGTGTCGTTTCAGAATATTGCAATCAAACAAATTATATTCATTATCAACCCAGAACTAGTATCCACAGTACAAGCATTGACCCGGTGTAACTTACCCCTTCGAACCGCAATTATTGAGTGTGTTAGGGTGTGTGTGTGTGTAGCACTTCACCTTCCTTAGCATAGTTAGTACCTTTCAGGGTATGCCAGACCTTCACAGTTACGACGTTCCTCCCCATCTGTGATCCACAGTTGCTGCCCCGGCGGGTTTTCGTCGTACATTCTTGATAAGAACACCCAAGCCAGTGGCTTCGGTATTTCCTTATCTCCTCAAGAAGGCGGTCATCCTTTTCTGATGGATGAAAGTCTCCTGAATCGCTACTCCATCGTGTTCGCAAACATAGCTAGGTTCGAATTAGGCCCCAGCTCCGACCCTGAACTTCTTCCCACCCCTGCCAGGACCTTTGACCTTGTCGTTATGGACGCCAGCCACCTTCGCAATCAACCGCAGAGGGCGGCTCATAAGGTCTATATATCTGAGCTGATCCTAGGACTCAGAGCCGTGAAAATGGGAGGATCGATTGTTCTTAAACTTCACCGTCCAGAATCAGATTACTCAGCGCGTCTTCTTTACCTCCTCGATAAGGTGTCTTGGAGAATCAAGACGTTCAAACCAATGTCCATTCACAAGGATCGTGGTTCGTTCTACGTTATCGTCCGCGGTGTTGGTTTGGATGTGCACCACCGGCCCTCATTCGAACGGCAGGCTCTGTTGTCTCGCGCGGTGGAATCGTTCCAGATGCTTTGGGTCGATTTGGGCGAAGAGGGGAGAGAAAGGAATTTAGTTCCGGAGGATTTGAATTTTATCATCACGGTAGACGATCTCGTGAAAGAGTATACAGATCGTTTGGGATGGCTCGGTCGTAAAGTCTGGGAGATCCAGGCAAGAGCACTTGTGGCGTTATTCAGGAGGGAAGGGGTTGCAGTCAATTAGTCCTATGATCTATCAGCGATGGGTAGGTTTTACATTCCCAAGCGTTTTAAGTGTAATTAATGTGGTCATACCTTCGCAGCATGATTCTCGTTTTTCCGTTATAATCGTACACTTCACGGGTGTAAGCAATTATATAGGGCACCTCATTTCATCTCCACTGAGATGAGCAGCACACAAGGACTAGCAGTGTAACGGGCTTACTCCAAAACCTATCATCCTCTAGTATCCAATCATCAATTCCCATTCTCTTTCCTTCATTACTATGTACTAGTATACCACTCTTACGCGTAGCGACATTGTAGGAGATTATACGTACCATGAAATGCCATTTCTTCCTTTCTATTGTTCTCAATTCTATACTGTGAGTTGCATTGATGAGAAAGAGAAAGAAGAGGCAGGTACATCGAACTACGCGAAAAGCATGACTTATTTTCATCCTTCATTACATATGTCGCAGCGGAATTGTGATCATTACATGCTAACTAACACGCCTCATGTCTAAACTAAGTCCCCAGTCCGTTCCTCCAAATCTAGCGGTCATTCTTCTTGCGTCTTTTTCTTATCATCCGCTACTTCGAAGTAGATGCTGTGAGTCGTAGCGCAAATACCCTTCAACCTCTTCGTCTCGAGACGTTCTGTCGTTGCCTTGCGCTTTTGGGAGCTTCCCCGCCACTCGTCATCGCTATAGCACGCATTGTTGCACCAACCAAACCCCTTTGCGGGTACCTTCATATCCTCGGCATGTCTGCGCAACGTATTGCAAAGCCATGTAGGATTGTTCAACTTCTCCATTCTTGTGAGACGCATTCCCTTCGGGGTGAGCGCCGCCATGTGAGGCAATGTTGCCATGACCTGTTCGTACAGTAGTTCGTTTTCTGCAGTAGGTTCTGGCTCATACCGGACAGCGAAAACATCGACCAATTCGCGTATCAACTGATCGAGACCGTAGACGTCGAAGGAAGGCAGCACCTTATGAGCGCCCGTCAATACACCGTACTTGCCTTCACCACCTGTCTCCCCGCGAGATTCGATTACGGAGTCCTCAAACCATAACTTCAAGTTGTGGTGTAACTTCGTCGGTAGAAATGAATTGCGGGTATGTCGGAGAGTTACGTAGAGGAGAACCCATACGGATGATTCTCTGTCATCTACCAGCGTGTGAACGGTCCCATAGGAAGCCAAAAGGTGCGCAGACATGAACTGCCAGGTACCCTAGAAGATGGGAGAATAAGGAAAGAAGGTTGTGACAGGTTGCGTAGAAAACCTACGGTTCGGCATATGCGTTTGTCGTCACCTCTGTTGTTGAGAATAACACAGTGATCCCAGTCAATGAGGAACCCTCGGTGATCTGGGGTGATCATAATGTTTCCGACGCTGATATCTCGGTGCAGAATGCATGCCCTGTCGAACGCCGCCTGGTGAGCTATGCGCAACAATAGAACGGTTAGATCGGAGGAAATGGACAGGAAAGGATGTAACGCACCTTCCATGGCATCCGCTATACAGGTCACCAAGCCTTTAACAGAGCAGAAAGTCGTGAGATCTCTTCCGACGGTTTTCAAGAAGATTCGGTGGGCCTGCAAGGTCGGGAGCAAGTAGACCTCGTCGTCGGGGAATCTGTGCGACAACGGCCCTCCTACATGTTCCTGTGTGATCGTGATCATGTCAGGGATGTCTCCCCCGGCCTCCATCTCGGCTACGTATGGCACTTTGTGCTGGGCAAGAAGACCATAGATATCCGATTCTTTCGCAGTCCGAGCCGAGTCTTCACGCCAATAATCTTTCATGAATAATATCCCCCACGACGCTTCGCAGGATCAT